AAGTGTTATTGAGCTGGTTTTTGAAGGATCAATAAGGGAGTAGAAAAGAATTCTAGCCATAATGGATGGGTACATAAAGGAAAGGAAGTGTTCAAGAGTTGGATAAGATTATACTCACTCATATGAGATAGTGTATGTATTTTTTAGCTTCAAGTCTGGGCAATGAGGTAAAAAGGTTCCTTAAGGTTCTTTATTCTAGAATTCTATGACAATGGGTTGAGAATTTTGTCATGCAATAAGGTGTCTTCCATGTATTATTCCAAATGTAAACTGCTAAGCAAGATCAGAAGAATTTGAAAAATCTGCCAAAACTCCAGTCTCATACCAGATTCGCTACATGGGCAAGAAGACATGTGATACTTACATTAATTTCTACAAGAATCTGAAAGCGAAGGTGATACAAACAAGAAGCAGAGAAATACTAGGTAGAAAAGGGAGTGGTCCCTGGTGAGGGCTCCACCCTCAAGCCTGGACCTGCAGCCCTAAATGAGAACTTCACATCCCTGTTTTCCCACCCAAATGTTGCCTTTTCCAAAACCACCTTGGCCTGCCCTACCCCCACCCTGTACCCATAAAACCCACAAGCTCCACCAGCAGAAAAGCAGAGCGGAGCGGCAGACAAGGAGAGAAGAGGAGAAGCAGTTGGAGAAAAGCAGCTTGACTTCAGAGGGATGGCTTGATGGCGGGACTTCAGAGAAGAGTTTGGCCAGGAATGGCCAAACTCCAGGGGAAGATTACCTGCTCACTCCATCCCTCTCCAGCTCCCCTTCCCACTGAGAGCCACTTCCATCGCTCAGTAAAACAATCCGCATACACCACCCTTCAACTGGTTCATATGACCTGATTCTTCCTGGATGCTGGACAAGAACTTGAGTACCAAGACGGAAGAGTATAAAAGGCTGTGACCCTCACCCTCCACTGAGGTGGTGAACACTTAGCCATTTGCGGACAGCAAACACTAAAAGAGCACTGATTGTAATACATGCCCTCTGGGGCTCTGGGGGTCACAAACACCCGCTCCCGGATGGCAGAGCTAAACATTGTAACACGCTTGGACGCTGCCATGGGGCCTGCTCAAAGCTTGATCCTACCAGAGAGGAGTGACCGGATGGTTCCAGCATTTGTTTGCCCCGGCAGCTACACCTGCTCACCTGTGTGCTCCCCTTCTTGAGGGGTTCAGAGCTTCAGGCTGAGTAAACGAGCTACCCCTTCACAAGTCCTGTGAAGAGGTCAAGGGAAGTATCCTGTCTCAAAGGTATCAAAAAATTCCCTTGAGTATCCACTGTTACTTTTATTTATACTAAAATTCCATTTTACTCTTTCACTTCATTGTTAATAAAGTCGTTTATTAAGAGAAGAAATACGATTTAAAATAATGAGGAGAGGGTGGAGGGGAAAGAGGGGTAATTCCCAGAGATTATTTTGTTACTTTGAGCATGTTTTTGATTCATAGAAAAAACAAATTTGATTATAGACTTTATAAAAAAGTACTTAAAATTATTTTGTATGTGTATTTTTAATAGCATTAAATACATCTGTAATTATCTCAGATAACAATAGTATTTTGGTGTACATCCTTCTAATCTTTCTTCCTAGATTTTTATTTTATTTTATTTCTGAGATGGAGTCTTACTCTGTTGCCCAGACTGGAGTACAGTGGTGCAATCTCTGGTGCAACGGAGTACAGTTCACTGCAACCTTTGCCTCCTGGGTTCAAGTGATTCTCGTGCCTCAGCCACCTGAGTAGCTGAGACTACAGGCATGTATCACTACACCTGGCTAATTTTTGTATTTTTTTAGTAGAGAAGGGGTTTCACCATGTTGGCCAAGCTGGTCTCGAACTCTTGACCTCAAGTGATCTGCCCGCCTCGGCCTTCCAAAGTGCTAGGATTACAGGCATGAGCCACCGCGCCTGGCCTTCTTCCTAGATTTTTCTAGGATATAAGCACCTCACTTGAAGCAGCAAAAAGACAATACTAATTATAACAATTTCATTGAGTTTAAAGTGTGTTAAAACACACTTAAACAATTATGTACAAAATATTGCAAATTTATTTTTATTTGTTAAAGACAGGTCTCACTCTGCTGCCCAGATTGGAGTACAGTGGTACAATCATAGCTCACTGCTGCCTTGAACCCCTGGGCCTAAGCGATCCTCTTGCCTTAGCCTCCTGGGTAGCTAGGACTACAGGCACACACCACTACACCTGGCTAATTTTTAAATTTTTTTTGTAGCGATGGGGGTCTCACTATGTTGACCAGGCTGGTCTCAAACTACTGATCTCATGCAATCCTCCTGCTTCAACCACCTAAAGTGCTGGGATTATAGGCATGAGCCACTGTGCCTGGCCCATATCCCAAATTTATGTCAATAATTAGCTTGGGGAAGATAGGAGGAGCTCAGTTGCTGAGGGGTTAGTGGGCGCAAAAGAACATTTAAGCTTTTTAGCCGGGCATGGTGGGGCGCACCTGTAGTCCTAGCTACTTGGGAGGCTGAGGCAGGGGAATCACTTGAACCCAGCAGGCGGAGGTTGCAGTGAGCTGAAGTTGCACCACTGCCCTCCAGCCTGGCGACAGAGTGAGACACCCTCTCAAAAAAAAAAAAAAAAAAAAAAAAAAAAAAAAAAAAAAAAAAAAATTTACTTTATGTCTAATGTTGTAACTTTTATTATTATTTTTATTACTTTTTAAATTGAGACAGAGTTTCTGTCACCCAGGTTCGAGTGCAGTGGCACAGTTATGGCTCACTGTAGCCTCCAACTCTCATGCTCAAACAATCCTCCCACCTCAGCTTCCTGAGTGGCTGGGACTACAGGTGTGCACCACATTTGGCTAATTTTTTATTTTTTGTAGAGACGGGGTCTTGCTATGTTGCCCAGGCTGGTCTCAAACTCCTGGCCTTAGGTGATTCTCCCACCTTGGCTTCCCAAAATGCTGGGATTATAAGCATGAGCTACCACATCTGGTCTAATGTAATTTTTAAAAAGGAATAGAGTCAGTGTATTATTTAATATTAATAAAAATTTAAAAATCCAAATTTAAAAAAAGAGTTGTCATATTTATAAAATAAATTTGTGGCTGGGTATATGGCTTGCACCTGTAATCCCACATTTTGGGAGGCCAAGGTGAGAAGATCACTTGAGCCCAGGAGTTCAAACCCAGTATGGACAACGTAGGACATAGTCTGGATTCATCTCTGCAAAAAATTAAAAAAAAAAAAAAATTTAGCCGGGCACGGTGGCTCAAGCCTGTAATCCCAGCACTTTGGGAGGATGAGACGGGCGGATCACGAGGTCAGGAGATCGAGACCGTCCTGGCTAACCTGGTGAAACCCCGTCTCTACTAAAAAAATACAAAAAACTAGCCGGGTGAGGTGGCGGGCGTCTGTAGTCCCAGCTACTCGGGAGGCTGAGGCAGGAGAATGGCGTAAACCCGGGAGGCAGAGCTTGCAGTGAGCTGAGATCCAGCCACTGCACTCCAGCCTGGGCAACAGAGCGAGACTCTGTCTCAAAAAAAAAAAAAAAGTAGCCAGGTATAGTGGTGCAAGTCTGTAGTACCAGCCAAACTGTTAATGATACAGTGATTCTACTAAATCCAAAGATAGTTCCAATAAATATTTTTGTCCCCTCGTATGTCATGAGGATGAATCTCCGGGAAAAGAAAAAGGGCATGTGAGAACAATGTGCAGGCTGTGTGAAAAGTGACACATGATTTTATAAGTGATGTAGCTGTAAGATAAAAATAAATCTTGTCTGGATTCACAATTAGATCTACAAAAAGAAATTTTTTTGAAGACGGTAGTTATGATAAATGGAGAGTTTAGTTTTGTCAGGGAAAATAATGTCAAGCCTTGCCCTGCCACTCCTTCACTTCTTCAATAATTCCTGACTCATTAGTTTCAAAACCATTAATACTGTTTGGCATGATTGAAAAATGCTGGAACCATTCCAGTTCTCAGAAATTCAGGCAGCCAAACTGGTTTTTCATTTTTTATTTTCCTCCAGGAATATGGTGCTGATTATCACCTTCCAGTCACTCTTAAAAGAAACAATGATTAGAGTCAAACAATTCAATGAATACACACTGAATGCTTAAGTATTTTAAAAATATCAAGAACCACTTGGAGTTATAAAAACAGATACTCCATAAGGAGATTAAATAATTAAGCCATATAATTGTGTTTTCATTTTTTTCTTTTCTTTCTTTTTTTTTTTTTTCTGAGATGGAATCTCGCTCTGTCACCCAGGCTGGAGTGCAACGGCACGATCTCGGCTCACTGCAACCTCTGCCTCCTGGGTTCAAGCGATTCTCATGCCTCAGCCTCCTGAGTAGCTGGGACTACAGGCATACACCTCCATGACCAGCTAATTTTTGTATTTTTAGTAGAGACAGGGTTTCACTACGTTGGTCAGGCTGGTCTTGAACTCCTGACCTCATGATCTGCCCGCCTCGGCCTCCCAAAGTGTTAGGATTACAGGCATGAGCCACCTCGCCTGGCTGTGTTTTCATTTTTAAAGCGCACCACAATTCACCTGAAATATGGTGGCTAGTACAGACCATTCTCATTGTGATAGCACTGGGAACATTAGATAAAACATCAGGACGGTCAGATGATTGGGCCCTAGTATACCCACTGTGCCTAACAGGCAGCAGCTGTTCATATCACAGGCATGCGGCAAAATTTAAAGCATCATTTCACATGCTTTCTCTCTATACTAGTCCTTTATCTAATTGGGGTGGGGTTGGTATTTCTGCAGGCAGCATCCTACGTGTACAGCAACTAGAAACAGGAAAGATATATATGAGAAATAGATAACTCAAGTAATGAGAAAAGCTAATAATAGAATGTCCTGCTGAATCAATTCTTTGGTCTCCTGGTGGCTCCATTTAATGAGTTTTCAACACGCTACTCCTGGAATTCTTCAGGAGCTGTCCCAAGCCACATATATCTGCTCTCTTCTATCATGGAACAGTATGAAAAGAAATAGTATGCTTTATATTGCTAGGTAGGTAGTTTTATTATACTGTTACATAGAGCTCTTTCCACGAAAAGTGTTTTTAACATGAACTGCCCATTCTGCAAAGAGGAAAAATATGTTGAATTAGGTAAATACCCAATTCAAAAGATGTTACAGTAAAATACATATAAGACTTACAAAAAAAAAAAAAGGACAGAGACACAATTTCTTATCCTCAATTCTCATCTCCAAAAAGCTATGAAAACCAGTTTCTTTATAAAGTTTGGTGACAAAACCTGACCAAACTTGATCTGAGGCTTTTTACGATCTTTAGTTATACTTAGTGGGGATGTTCATAAATCACCACAAAAATAGGAGTATATTTGATAATGAGCTGCTATCCCAGACTTTTTTCAGTAGTTTTGAGTGAAATATTTTATACAGATCCTATTAGTTTTTGAATATCTCAAACATTTTGATTGCAAAACACAACTAGACCTAAATTTTCAAATACAGGATGGCAAAGCAATATTTCCCCAAACTGTTAATGATACAGTGATTCTACTAAATCCAAAGATAGTTCCAATAAATATTTTTGTCCCCTCGTATGTCATGAGGATGAATCTCCGGGGAAAGAAAAAGGGCATGTGAGAACAATGTGCAGGCTGTGTGAAAAGTGACACATGATTTTATAAGTGATGTAGCTGTAAGACACTATGCAATTACCAGAAGTTATTAATCCACAAAGATAACATATTGTGTTGTTGCTAATAGTTATCTCCCAAAAACTGAAAAGTCCCATTCTTTTCAAGTGCTTAGATACAGTGCTTTAGGACATTCTTATTCAGTAGTTCTAGTGCTTAAAATATTCTTTTTTTTTTTTTTTTTTTTTGAGATGGAGTCTCACTCTGTTGCCCAGGCTGGAGTACAGTGGTATAAACATGGTTCACTGCAACCTCCACCTCCGGGTTCCAGCAATTCTCCCGCCTCAGCCTCCTGAGTAGCTGGGACTACAGGCACGCACCACCACACCTGACTAATTTTTTGTATTTTTAGTAGAGACGGTATTTCACCATGTTGGCCAGGCTGGTCTCGAACTCCTGACCTCAAGTGATTCACCCGCCTCGGCCTTCTAAAGTGCTGGGATTACAAGCAGGAGCCACTGTGCCCGGTCCAGGATATTCTTATTCAGTGCTTCTCAACTTGGTTAAGCATTAGAATCTCCCAGAGAGCTTTGTAAAAATACCCATGCATGGGCCTCATTGTCCAACATTCTGACTGACTTGGTCTAGAAGGGGCCCCTGGCAACAGTGTTTTAAAAACTCCTTACATGATGATTCAATGTACAGTCAGAGCTTTAAAAAGTCTCAATATCCAGACTGTACCTTAGATCAGATAAATCAGAATTTTGCAGTGTGAAACCCAGACATCAGTACTTTTTTAAAAACATGCCCTGGTGGCTGGGCACAGTGGCTCACAACTGTAATAGCTCTTTGGGAGGCTGAGGTGGGCAGATCACTTGAGGTCAGGAGTTCGAGACCAGCCTGGCCAACATGGTGTAACCCTGTCTCTATTAAAAATACAAAAATTAGCCGGGCATGATGGTGCACGTCTGTGACCCCAGCTACTTGGGTGGCTGAGGCATGAGAATCATGTGAACCCGAGAGGCAGAGGCTACAGTAAGCCGAGATCATGCCACTGTGCTGGAGTCCAGCCTGGGCCATAGTGTGAGACTCTGTCTCAAAAAACAAACAAACGAAAAAAGCAAACATGCCCTGGTGCTTCCAATATATACCCGAAGTTCTAACCCAACTGTTGCAACCCCCTGATCTGACTGGCTTAAAGATTAAGGGTGTGATTGTTTTTTTTTTTTCTGTCCTGAAGTCAGTCAGTTCTAGATCATCACCATAGTAGGGCCACCAATAAAGAATTGTAAGCATTATCCACTCTGCTGGTGGTATATTCATAAATCCTTCCCCATTTTCTTTAAAAAAGCAAAAGGGGCAGGAGGAAGAAGGTACAGAAATCACATGAAAAACATTTTAAAATACTTTTAGTAAAATACTCTGTACCATGTCAAAACTCGTTTGGCACACAGTAAATCATAGTGAAGAAAAAAACTGAAAAGCAGAATTTGCCTTAGTTGAGGTTACAGTGTAAGAGAGAATACAACTTAGAAGGTAATAATAGAAAACCATAGCATTTTCCAGCAATTGATATGATAGTAAATTCATAAAGAAATACAATAATTTCCCAATGACTCTTAACTGTTCAGGATGCCAATGCTAAACCAGGCTGCCATACATAATTCAAAGAAAGCTAGAAAATACATTCCACATATTAAATTGAAGATAATTTCTGCTCAGAGAGCAACTGAAACATCTATAGTAAGGTATACATTTTTTAGATATAAGATAAAGTTCTTTTGCTTTTAGTTAAAATAACTTTTTTCATACATTCTAATGGTCATATGAAAAAGATATTTACTTTTTTTCATCACTAACCCTGAGGAAGGAAGAACAAATGTGGAGTAGGCCACAAAACTCACTAGGAACCAATCTCCATACTTTTCCCAATTGTGAATAGCAATTAATGGGAGAAGTTCAGGATACTATACTTATTTAGGCTTCCATACACATCAGCCTGAACTATTTAAAATAGACATAACATTTGGGCAACTAGCACAGTGGCATTTCTCTGCTTCAACTGAGAACTATTTTAAATATCATCACTTTTATTTCCCACACTGGTTTAAACAAACAAAACAAAATAAGACAAAACTTGACACTGATTATGTAAGAACTTTCAGTTCAATATATAGCAGTATGTAGGGACAGTATAGCTTCATTGCTCAAGACTTCCATTCAGCAGAAAAAAATATGCTTAAGTTCTTGGAATTCTTCTCTTTCACTAGAAAGATGCTAGCTGTTACAGGGGAGTTGATGAGAGCAAAATGTGAAATCCCATCACAATGGAATATAGGAGGAGCTGGCATTTCTGCTTTGCCATTACAATTATTCTTCTTAGGATGGAAGTTGGAATTGCAAATTTAGCTGGACTTACCAGTTTCAACCTGTGGAAACGAAATAAAGTTCATCCCCTGGGCCAAAAACCCCAAGCAGCAGTTGGAAGCAAGAGGGCAATAAGAACAGAAGAAAACAGATTCACCGCATTGTTATCAAGAATGGGTTTCCCTGCTATGTGCTTTGCCTCATTTGTTGGGCTGTTGACCACCATGCCAGTGCTTTCATCCAAACCTGGAATGGAAAAAGAAGCAAGTGAGGTAGAACACCCAAACGACTTGATTTTGTTTTTTCTTTTCTTTTCCTTTTTTTTAAATTATACTTTAAGTTCTAGAGTACATGTACTTGATTTTTAAAAAAGAACAAAATAGACTTTTTCCTCCAAAGGAGACAATCTTTGAAAGGTTCTAAGTGACTTGCTAAATGACTTTAATGGATCATTTATATGATGAGAGATATGGGACCCTTGATTACAAATGGCCCATTTAAATGCTTAGTAATTTTCTGTCAATACCTCTGGAATTGCTTCAGAAGTGGAAGAGAGAACATGAAAAGCAGAGAGGGCATGAAAATGGCAGGTTGGGCCTGCTTCCCAGTGGTTCCCCTCCAAGACTGATCTATGAGGTCCCTGGGAGTAGGGATCATGTCTGTGGCCGCAGTACTGTAAACGCACGGTTGAGCATGGGGCTGGCACAAAGGAGGCACACGAAGATTTACAAAATCTCCCCTACTGCACACATTTCTTTTCAACCCACTCAATGCAATCAGAAACTTTCCCAGTTAGAACCTAATTTAGAATAAAACTCACACTCTTTAAAAAACATGTTTACTGTCTGTGTGTGCGTGTAGAGTTATCGACCCTTTAGTGAGAATTAAGATCAGATTGCTTCATCCTTAAAATCTAAATGAGACTAACAAAATGGAGAACAAATATTCTGACTGATGGGGAGAGGGGAGGAAGGGCACATAAATTTTCTGAGGCATGAAGAGCGCTGGGAGGACGGTGCTGAGAGAACCCTTCTCTAGCCTTCCAACCTCTTCCTGATGTCAATCAAAGGAGAAACATGGTTGATGAGAGTGAGGAGCAAATACACACCTAGCAGAATATGTGAGTACACTGATGGGATGGGAGAGACTTAGAAACAAAGCACAGAAAATTTTGAGAAAAACATATTCTACCACTCTACCATATATCTTTTTTTTTTTTTTTTTTGAGATGGAGTCTTGCTCTGTTGCCCAGGCTAGAGTGCAGTGGCATGATCTCGGCTCACGGCAATCTCCGCCTCCCAGGTTCATGCAATTCTCCTGCCTCAGCCTCCCAAGTAGCTGGGATTACAGGCAGGCACCCCCACGCCAGACAATTTTTTTATTTTTAGTAGAGATGGAGTTTCACCATGTTGGCCAGGGTAGTCTCGAACTCCTGACCTCAAGTGATCCAACCCGCTTAGCCTCCCAAAGTGTTGGGATTTAGATGTGAGCCACTACACGCAGCCATCTACCGTATATCTTGATTGAAGCAAAAAACTCAGGGGCAAGAATAGCAAGCATGATACCACAGTAAAAAAGTAGGTGGTATGTATAGTCAGATTAGTACAATTATCCCTCAAAGGGAATAGGAAAATGAATGGAAGGAATTGTATTAAAACGATATGATCCAAAATGTCTTGCTTTTCTGGATTAGGTAATGGCCCACACAAAAGCGTCTGTTCTCTGCACTACTGTATCTTCCCCACACAGCTGCTAATCATTGCTGTGCAGGACTAATTCGACTAATTCTCTTTCAATTAATTTAATACAAAAGAATAAGAAAACCAAAATTGTGAGGGACTTTGCCCTATCATTTCTAGTCCCTCAACACCCTGTGTCTTTGGATTTGTTTTCATTGTTGACATTTTTTCTTTCTTTTCCCTATTTCTTTAACACACCAATAAGTTGCAAGAATGAAGGAATGTTCTTACCAGTATACTGCATTATAGCCCCTAAGTATGAGTCCACAATTGATCCTAGTAATCCAGCTAAACCACCAAATGCAATAATTGGCCACTGGGGGGCAGAAATGTCTAAATCATTCACAAAAATCAGCTGTGTGAGGAAGTATGCAATGCCCACAAAGGTACCACCAAGGAGACTGGAGACAAGGCCCACCACTGTAACTCCTCCATTGGTACCTGAAGAAGAAGAAACATGTAGAAAATCATCTGGTTAATAATCAGCAAACACATAAAGGCAAGGACAGCAAGGTACCCATCTAATCAAGACTAATTTAAAGAAAGCATTCTCTTTAAAGCAATCTAAATACTGTAGCTATTTAGAAAATAGTATTTTCTCCTCAGTAACTCTTGACATTTTAAGTGATGAAGCAGAATGGTTCAATGAAGCCAGATTCCCTGGTTTCAATCTTGGTTCCGCTTCTCTCTCTCAATCTCTCTCTCTCTTTTCAGAGACAAGGTTTTGCTCTATCAACCAGGCTAGAGTACAATGGTGTGATCATAGCTTACTGCAGCCTCCAACTCCAGGCTCAAGTGATCCTCCCACCTCAGTCTCTCTATTAACTGGGATGACAGGTGTGAGCCACCTTGCCAGGCCCAATTCTGCTACTCTTAAGCCGTGTGACTGTAGTTAATTTATCTAACTTCTTTGTCCTTTAGTTTCTTTATAAGACAGAAATAATAAAAGAACCAATTCATATGATTATTAGGAGTACTAAGTGGCAATCCATGTAGAGCAGTTACAATAGTGCTCTGTAGTAGGTATCTAAAATGTGTTAGCTGTTATAATGATGATGAAGAAGAGAAGAAAAAGGAGGAGAAGGCGATGATGGGGGATAGGATGGGGTAGAAAGAAAAGAAGGGGACGAAGAGGAAGAGAAGCATCAGAAGACAAAAAGAAAAAGCAGTACAGGTTGAGTATTCTCTTTACCCGAATTGCTTTGGACTAGAAGTGTTTTAGATTTCAAATTTTTTCAGAGTTTGGAATATTTGCGTTAATATAGACTTACCAGTTGAACACCCAAATCTGAAAATCGTAAATCTGAAATGTTCCAATGAACATTTCCTGTGAGCATCATGTCAGTGTTCAAAAAGTTTAAGATTTTGGAGCATTTTGGATTTTGGATTTTCATATTTGCGATGTTCAACCTATGTAGTTGTTGATAATGTTGATAATGGAGAATTGAGATATATGTTAAAGCACTGATACCATAACAGGCCCTCAATAAATATTCCATTGTTCCCTTTCTTTTCCTTCCCTACTGATATGTTTGCAAATCAATCTCTAAGTTCCTGTATTGCTTATCTAGGTCTTGCTAACATTTCCTGCAAATACTATTTATTATTACCAATTTAATAGTCTATAGAAATTTTCCAATTATTAAAGAGACTAAATAAAGTTTTTAAAAGGCTCTAAAATAAGAAATACATTAAATCAAGAGGTTTTTTGGTTTTTTTAAAGAATCTCAAACCAAGACTCACCAACTGTGTCTACCAATGGGTCAAAAAGAAGAAAAGGACTCACCAACTGGAACTTTCTCCCAGGTTGTTATCAGTCTTGGAGGACTTTTACTCAGAACTGTGCCAACTTCTGAAGCCCATGTGTCTCCAGCAGAGCAGGCCAGTGCAGCCAAGAGAGACAAACACATCCAGGAAGCAGAGTACTGCTTGGAAAAATCGACTGGGATTTCCCCAGGGCCATTTTCTATCATGTACAGCAGGGCCAGTTCTGTGGGTACAGCTCCATTACAGAATACCTGAATCCAATTCCTTTGTCCACCTAGAAACAAACAGATAAAAAGGACAAACAAATGCTTTCTCCTCAGAAGAAAAACCATGCAGTTATAGGTGTTTATGTTTTAAAGTTTATGAAAAGAAAAACAATGAAAAAATATTTCAAAACAGTAAAAGTGTTATGGTACATTTGCCCAGATTCTATACTGTTATTAACAAATCTGGAAAAATTATGACAGACTCTAGTGCTTCTAAAATTCTGCTGTTATTTCCTATTGTTGTGAAATAAATTATAAACTCAATTTGGCTACTAAAGGAATTCTCATATAAAAAGTGATGTGTTTTGACAGTCTAAACAACATTCTGATTGAAAGCTTATGTTGGCCAGGCGCAGTGGCTCACGCTTGTAATCCCAGCACTTTGGGAGGCCGAGGCAGGCGGATCACGAGGTCAGAAGATTGAGACCGTCCTGGCTAACACGGTGAAACCCCGTCTCTACTAAAAATACAAAAAATTAGCCAGGCATGGTTGCAGGTGCCTGTAGTCCCAGCTACTCGGGAGGCTGAGCCAGGAGAATGGCGTGAACCTGGGAGGCAGAGCTTGCAAGGAGCCAAGATTGCGCCACTGCACTCCAGCCTGGGCGACAGCGAGACTCTGTCTAAAAAAAAAGCTTATGTTATGATGAAATGAAGTTTACTATTTTGAATAATATCAAACATAATCTTACCTTCCTTATACTCTGAATCTAGACGCTTCTTCATTTCTCCCTTCCATTTAGTGAGTTTTGAAGAAGACAAGAAAAACATCAGCAAAGAGGTAAAAAAGCTGAAATTTGCAATGGTTAGGATAAATCCAACCACGAGCCCTGAAAGAAACATATATAAACACAGAATTATATTCAATTCATACATCAATGCCGTGAAAAAAGGATGAATTTTTTCCGTTTTTATGTTATAACCTGAAACGTACATTTCTAACAATTTGCATTTTGCCAATTAAGTTGTTACCAAGCAGTAACCTGAATGCGATTTTGAGTACACATTTTTTACCATATTTTAATCTCATTTCAAGCAATGCCATATGAATGTAAGATATTATTTTAGATAATATTTTTTAAATACCTTTATTTTAAAAAAGTAGAAATAGAGATGGGGTCTCACTATATCGCCCAGGCTGATCTCAAACTCCTGGGCTCAAGCAAGCTGCCCAGCAATGGCCTCCTAAAGTGCTGGGATTGCAGGAGTGAGCCACTGCACCTGGCCTTCTTTTTCTATAATAACCCTTTCCATTGCTTAGCTCAAAGTTCAGATATCATAACCAATGAGATAGTTATTCATCGACTCTTCCAGAGATGCTCAATTACTGGTATTTAACTTTGGTACCTTTTAATTGAGAGCACAAGAAATAGGGTAACTTGAAATAAAGTATTAACAATAACAAAGTGCTTCAGCTCTGGAGTTGAACAGTCTAGAGTTCAAACTTTGGCTCCTTCACTTACCTCTTCAAGATTAGGATAAGTTACCCAACCTCCTGAAGTCTCAATTTTGCACTGATGAAATGAGAATAATCAGAATTTACTTTGCCAGCTTGCTGTAAAAAGTCAGGGATAATTTTTGCAATATGCTTATTATATTATCCAGGATGTAAGAGGTCCTTAATAAGTGTTACCTAATGTCATGGATACTAATAACAGCAACAGTTCCAGTGGCAAAAGCTCAACAATAATCATGATAAATATTATAATATTGTTATCCAACCTTTAAGTTTTTTCAATTGATTTTTAAAACATTAGAAAAGTTGTACGCAACTACTGAAGGGGAAAGTCAAAACATATGGAGGTATACAAATTGAAAGTCAAAGTGTCTCCCCTCCTCCTCTTCATGAATATTCACTGTTAACAATTTGTTCCGCCGTCTCTAAACAAACCCAAAGTAGAAGAGCCCTAAACAACCTACACTGAGATGTTACAAATGGCATCTATATCCTTTTTACTTCAACCACCTTAAAATAGCACATGAGGTGATCAATGTTCATGTTGGTGACAGCTTCAGATTGAGGAAATGAACAAGACAAGTTTTGAGGGAAGGGTTTCTTTCACGTAGTCCTAAGACAGCTTAGAACTTTTAGCAACTCCCACCTATGTCTACATTTTAGATTAGTAACTGCTATCTCCTGTTCGTATCTTTTCCACCTCTCCATCCTGCAGATCTCTAAATATCATTGATAAGGGGTTCACAGATATGACAATAGGGTACTCCCAAATAATTTGAAGACTTGAGGACTATGGTTGCGTTCTGAGCCTTAAATAGGTAAATTCTGTACCTAACAGATAGCATCAGGGGAGTAAAATGACACTGTCTACAAATTTCTGACAATAGGAGTAGAGTTATACCCCAAATTCCAACCAGGGTGACCTGGGTAATCTCCAGGAGGCGTAAAAGAGAAAGGCAGGACTGGAATTTCATAGCAATTTAATATACTCAGGGCTAACCTATTGATTCATACATATTCTATGATAATTTAATTGGCTAGCCCAAAATGTAGAAAGTGAAGGCCAAAAAACCAGAGGTTGGCAGACTTCTTGAACCACGTCCAAGGGAGGGGAACCTGTGATTTGTGGACTTGCATAACTGTTTCTCAGACTTTGTACTCACCAAAACAGCCTTCTAATTATAATCCGACTTCTCAAGTGGCCTGACTACAAGAATAGGGCATGCCTGAACAGTGATGTTTGTGTTCTTCTGCCTGGTAGTTCTTCTATCTGATTAATAAAGTGGCATTCTGGCTCATATAGCAATCCTTTATGACAATGAGCAACATTCAACCAGTTTTCTAGGCTCTAATCAACTCTAGGTACATGACAGAGTGAGGTTTCTACTTCAGAAAGACTGAAACCAGACCCAACGTATAGTGACCAAAAAGAGGTCAGGCCACCCTTGTGAAACCACACAGAGCACCACCACTGGCCTCTCCTGACAACACCCCCTCTTGCTATGCTCTTCCACAAACACTTTACCACAAATCCCCCTCATGTGACCCTCTCCTTATTCTGGCAATGCTTGCTCTCTCTCCAAAGACCAGAGTCCTCCACTTCAGTGTGCAGCTTAGAGACGAAGTGTGACTGAACCCCTGCCCAATCCTCTCAATACTGAGGTATATGTTTCTGTCATGAACGGTTCTAAATACCCAGATCCTGAGGAAGTTCTGTAACTCTTACTTCTCAATCCTAGACACACTAAAGTCATCATGTAGGAAAGTAAAATTCCTTATAACTGCGTGTATTAGTCCGTTGTCATGCTGCTAATAAAGATAAACCTGAAACTGGGTAATTTATAAAGAAAAGAGGTTCAATTGACTCACAGTTCCACATGGCTGGGGAAGCCTCACAATCATGGCTGAAGGCAAATGAGGAGCAAAGTCACATCTTACCTAGCGGCAGGCAAGGGAGTTTATGTAGGGGAACTCCCCTTTACAAAACCATCAGCTCTCATGAGACTTACACACTATCATGAGAACAGCACGGGAAAGACCTGCTCCCATGATTCAATTACCTCCCACCAGGTCCTTCCCTTGACATGTGGGAATTATGGGAGCTACAATTAAAGATGAGATTTGGGTGGGGACATGGTCAAACTTGTATCACTGTGGACAGCAGTAGTGGAAGGAAAACAGTAATAATAACTAACATCTATAAAATATTTGTATGCCAAGTACTGTGCTAAGCATTTTACATGGATAACACTTCAAGATAATTCATTGCCATAGATACCATTATTCCTTCACATTTTATAGACAGGACAAGTACAACACTGAGAGTTTAAGTGATTTGCAGTCATACTCTAGGATAGTATTCCCAACTACTATGATATATTTTAAATCAGCATTAGATTTTTTTTTTAATCCTTAAGGAAACAAAAAGTTCCAAACAGTAAGAAAAGCTGGGTGTGGCGGCGTGTGCCTGTAGTCCCAACTACCCAGGAGGCTGAGGCAGGCGGACTGCTTGAGCCCAGGAATTCAAGGCTGCACTAAGCTATGGTTGCGGCACTGCACTACAGCCTGGGTGACAGAGCAAGACCCTGCCTCTAAAAAAAGGTTTTTTGGGGACAGGGCCTCGCTCTGTCACTCAGGCTCGAGTGCAGCAGCATGATCTTGGCTCACTGCAGCCTCCGCCTTCTGGGTTCAAGCGATTCTCCTGCCTCAGCCTCCCAAGTAACTGGGATTACAGGCACCCGCTTGTATTTTTAGTAGAGCAAGGTTTCACCGTGTTGCCCAGGTTGGTCTCAAACTCCTGGATTCAAGCGATCTGCCTACCTTGGCCTCCCTAAGTGCTGAGATTACAGGTGTGAGCCACCATACCTGGCCATAACTTCTTTTTTCACAAAAAGGTAGAAAAAAAAAAAGATAAACGTTTCATAGAATGAAATAATTAGGAAAAAAGCAAGGGTTTTTAAAAATCAGACTACATCTATTCCTAATCATCTATTATGTATCTAGCACTATTCAAAGAAACATGGGACACAGAAGCATAAGATACTCTTTGTCCTCAAGGAGTTTACAATCTAGTAGATTTTCTTTATGCTCAAACAGATCAAGTGGCATGTTATACCACCATGATAATTTTTAGAAACATGCATATTATATTTTTGCTACCTGACTTTAGAACTATCAGTTACTACTGAAAGTAAGTTAATGACATGCTTCCATCTACTACTACATCCGATCATTTCCATCTCTAAGGGCTGGCAGCAAATAAATGACTTTATTATATTTGAATCCTATTCAATAAGAATACTTCATTAAGCACTAAGAAGCCTAGAACCAGAAACTTTCTTAGTGGGAATACTTCATTTAATTTCACTCTGCAAGCATTAGTTTCAATTTTCTGCAGTTCTCATTGTTTTCTGCCCAGAACTGTCTCTTCATCTTTGATATCTCTCTATATACTTCTCTATTAATGCAGATGATAATAATAATCAGCATATATAATGAGGTAGGAGAGAGGTCAGAGGGGGAGGAGTAATGTGAGCAGAGGTATGGAGAAAGAAAGAAATCTTTGTGGCAATGCCAATTTAATAGTCATTCACGTATAAAAATATGGTTGAAAGTACATAATCACAAACAATGAACATTTTTGCACCATTTACAAAGATGTGTTGCCTCACATAATATCTTGTTTGAGCTTCACCAATAAGCCCATAAGGTATTACTATTGGAGGTATTTTAGAAGAGAGAAGAAAGTGAGGCTCCTAGGAGTTATGCAGCTTTCCCAAGTTTGCACTGATAATAGGTGGCAGTGTTAGGTTTCAAATACATATCTTTTAATTCTAATCAACATAGGACAGGAGTAGATGCCCAAGGGCTAGAAGGCAGCCCTTCCAGCAGCAGGAAAGAAACAACAGGAGAGATCATAAATGCCAGAGAAGCAGGACAATATACAGCACAGAAGCCCAAGGAAGACAGAATTTCAAGAAGGACTTGACCTTTCTTTCTATAAGAATAATAAATTCCAAGGTGAGGATATCTGAGAGCTTTTTTTTTTTTTTTTTTGACACAGGGTCTCACTCTGTTGCCCAAGCTGAGTGCAGTGGCACGATCAGCCTCCTGTGTAGTTGGGACTACAGGTGTGCACCACCATGCCTGGCTAATATTTTGATTTTTTGGTTTTTTTGTAGAGGTGAAGTCTCATCACATTGTCCAGGCTGGTTTCAAACTCCTGGACTCATGTTATCCTTCCGCCTTGGCTTCCCAAAGTGCTGGGATGACAGGTGTGAGCCACCGCGACCAGCCCAGAAAGAACTTTTTTTAGCAAAGCATAACTCCATGTTATTATATTTAAGCAGAGATTGTTCAAGTTATGTTATAAATGAGTTAATACTACCAAAGTGCTAACAGCAGTGCCTGGTACATAGAAAGTGTGATATAAACATTTGTTAAATAGATAAAATATAACCATTCCTAATATTTATTGATTACATGGTAAAATAAAATTCATACAAAAATATCAGTATGTCTAGTTAACTTTAATTCTCAACTACTCCACAAAAGGAAAAGAAATCTCACAATATAACTTAAAAAATATTTCTTAATTATGAAGAGAATTGGCATGATTTTGAAGAACTCTGCCTAATAATAATAGTTACAAGCACTGAATAAATGTTGGCTATGTGTTCAGGCAATGAGGTAAGGACTTTAAATTATCTCATTTAATTCTCTCTATGCCCTAAAAATGAAATAAGGGCGAGATCGAGCCTTTGTGGAGCCCGAAGCTTATATAATTTGGGGTTCCCTCTTTAAGAAAAAGAGTACAAAAGTTTTGACCTTTGCAAAATTGACAAAACCATAGGACCATGAGAGCACACTGCTAGTTTATTTATTCAGTTTTATCTCTCACTTCTTTTCCTATTGTTACTATTTTCTAGTCAAATGAGCCTTATTATTCTTACTCTCAAGCCTCTAAAATATCTGGACTTTTGCACTTGTTATTCTGTCGGCCTGGAACATGATTCTGTCAGCTCTCATTGCTAGCTTCTTTGGATGCCAGCGCAAAATGACCTCCTTACAGAAAAGCACCTGACACCATTTACAGAAGAATGCACCACGTCTTCCAACATATGCACTTAACACTTATCTTTTCATTTTTCTCATAAACGTCATCATTACCTGAACAGTTTTATATATTATCTACCTGCCCTAAAGAATATAAGTTTCATGAGAACTGACACCATGTTCTTTTTGTTTACAGATATATCCCAAGTTTTTAGAACAGTGGTACATACTAGTAAGTGTTCAATAAAAATTTGCTAAAAGATGGGTCAGGCATGGTGGCTTACACCTGTAATCCCAGCACTTTGGGAGGCCCAGGCAGGTGATCAACTTGAGGCCAGGAGTTCGAGACCAGCCTGGTCAACATGGTGAAACCCTGTCTCTAATAAAAATACCAGAAAAAATTAGCTGGGCATGGTGGCACAGGCCTGTAGTCTCAACTACTCGGAGGCTGAGGCATGAGAATCGCTTGAATCCAGGAGGAGGAGGAGGTTGCAGTGAGCCGATCGTGCCACTGCACTCCAGCCTGGGCAGCAGAGCAAGACTGTCTCAAAAAAAAAAAAAAAAAAAAATTGCTAAAAGAATGAATACATGGCCTGTTCTCAACTCAGTTTTGGAAAATTAATCCAGAATGCTAAGTTTGGACTGCTCTGTTTGAGATTACTAACAGCAACTTCCAAGAGTTTATTCTCTCCAAATGCTCTATTTTACATCTAGGAGGAGTGCTCCAGTGTTTCTGCTGGTAGAACACTAAAGGAGCAGAAAAGTCAAGGTTCATCTATCCTATTAATTTACTTTGTATCAATCACAAAATTTAATTTGTATGTTACACTAAAAGTGTATGTTAGTTTCTGAAATTTTGACAATAGGAATGCTGAGCAAGATGTAACTTTATCATTGTCTAAAATATATAACACTATGATTTGTAGTCAGTCTCATATATTCAGAATTTAGAAAACATAAATTTAAATTATATAAGCAAGCACTTAGTAGTTACTGTAAACATTCAAAATAAAAACATACCTCCTAGAGCCCCACTGTGATCTAGACTTTTCTTTTTAAGTCCATTAGAGACGATCAGAACAGGAACAACAACAGAAAACAGCCAACGCCATGGAGAAATAGGTCGTAAGTTACCTGAAACATTATAAAGGTGGAGCACAAATTGTGTGAAGTCTGCACAGGTTAGTTTTGGCAGTAAACTTCCATTACTGCTTTTGGACTAAAATACTGTCATAAGTACAAACACCAAGATGAAGTCACCAGAGAAAAATATAGTCATGCATCACTTAAGATAGGGATATGTTCTGAGAAATGCATCCTTAGGTGATTTCATGGTTATGCAAACATCAGACTGTACTTACACACACCTGGATGGTAGAGCCTACTATACACTTAAGCGATATGCTATAGCCTATTGGTCCTAGGCTACAAACCTGTATAGCATATTACTGCACTGAATACTGTAGGCAATTATAACAGAATGTATTTGTGTATCTAAATATAGAAAAAGTAGAGTAAAAATATGGTATTATAATCTTATGGGAACATGTTATATGTGTGGTCCGTCATTGACCGAAACATCGCTAGGCAGAGCACGACTGTATTTATGTTGAGACATGCATGCATATTTTCAGAGAAGCAGTCTTACTGGAGAATGGCCAAATAGGTTATGTTCAAGTTTTGAAAACCTTTTACTGCTATTTATGATAATAATGGATATCTAGATATTTAAAATGAATCTCCGGTTCATTGTTTTTCAAGGGGGCATATATTAAATTTCAAGCACTACCTAGAATGAACTCTTTCTGTAACAGGGTCTTACTCCTCTCTGCCTTTTAGAGGACACCTGATTCAATGGTTAGAAACTGATTATTCCAGAGGTTGCATCCAGCTCACAGACGTTTGGCTAGCAGAGTGTTTTCAAATAATTTCAGTCAATATTTAAAGATTAGAAGATATCATATAAAAATCCAGATTCTTGGCTTCTGTTTTAAAATTGGGAAGTTCTGGCCAACACGGTAAAATTGACTGAAGGTAAAGAGAGGTCCCCTCCTTTAAACAGGCCGTGGCTTTCCCATTTAAACTGCCCACCACTCCTGAAGGCTCCTAAACGCCAAGGCTAAGTGATTTCCTTATGGTAAAGAAAACCGTGAACCACTGCTTGTATCCATGTTTCTATCAAAAATGAGAAAATGGGCCAGGCGCAGTGCTCACACCTGTAATCCCAGCACTTTGGGAGGCCGAGGCAGGAGGATCCCGAGGTCAGGAGTTTAAGACCAGTCTGGCCAACATAGTGAAACCCTGTCTCTACTACAAATACATAGCCAGGCATGCTGGCAGGCACCTGTAATCCCAGCTACTTAGGAGGCTGAGGCAGGAGAATTGTTTGAAACCAGAAGGCAGAGGTAGCAGTGAACTGAGATCGTGCCACTGCACTCCAGCCTGGGCAAAAAGAGCGAAACTCCGTCTCAGAAAAAAAAACGGGGGGGGGAATGAAAGACAAAGAGGGCCCAAGCATTCAACAAAAGATGAGAAATATCCTATTTCTGGAAGTGAAAACTATTACCACACGTCTAACACACAAAAACTTGCACAGTTTCATTCATTTGCATTAGGTGACTGGTCCAAGGGATATTTCAGTTTACAAATCCCGATTTATTCTATTTAGTTCAAGTCATAGTAAATACTATGACTGCATGACAGCCATTCACTAACAAGAATCTTCTCTTATACCCCTCCCCTAAAACTCTGATGTCCCACTGTGAATCATTATGAATGAACAGCCCTGAGAGCTTCTGTATCCTGGAGAACCCTTTCCAATTATTCACGTGTTCTCTTTGCAAAAAGCCTACAGTCTGAAATGGCAATCCCTTACGATATAACCATTTAAGAGAGTTCACTTTCTCATTTTCCTTTTCATTTTTTCCCTTGTTGTAAACTGACCAGTATTTTGTTTTCATAGGAGAAGGAAGTTTCTGCAAATGGAGGCTTACGCTCTAAAGCACCTTCAAAACCTTAAAGATCTGAGTCCAGAGTACCTTATATTTAAGCAATGTAGCTTTAGGCTTTAAAAGGAGTCTATTCTTTTGAAGCAGCCAAATGGCAGATAAGTCCTTCAGCTCCCCAAATGTAAATATTATACCGTCTTTAATTCTTATTATATTTACAGAACATGTGAAACTGATAAACTACATTACTAATTTCTTTTTTTGAGACGTATTCTCGCTCTGTCGCCCAGGCTGGAGTGCAGTGGCTCGATCTCAGTTCACCGCAACCTCCGCCTTCAGGGTTCAAGTGATTCTCCTGCCTCAGCCTCCCAAGTAGCTGGGATTACAGGCGCCTGCCGCAACGCCTGGGCCATTTTTCTAGTTTTAGTAGAGCTGGGGTTTCACCATGTTGGCCAGGCTGGTTTGAACTCCTGACCTCAGTTGATCCTCCTGCCTTGGCCTCTCAAAGTGCTGGGGTAACAGGCGTGAGCCACCGCTCCTGGCCCATTACTAATATTCTTATTCAAAATTAAAAGCATGACTGTAATTGCTTTACAAAGCTATGTTCACCTCACTTATCTTTCACTAAGACAGATGGAATAGTTACTTAACATATAAAGACATTTTGAAACAGGTATAACTAGGCCAGAAGTGGTGGCCTGTATTCCCAGTACTTTGGGAGACCCAGGTGGGAGGGTCACTAGAGCCTAGGGGTTTCAGACCAGACTAGCAACACAGAGGGACTCCCATCTTATAAAAAATAAAAATTAAAAAAAAGAAATAGGTATAACTCGAATTATCACAACAAGCGTTTATTAAAGGCACTGTTTATATTATCTTGTTACTAAGTTAAATCAGGCTATGGAAGTTAAGTAAACACAACCATTCCTAACCATTCAGAGGATACGAGTTTTGGATTTCACAATGGTATGGTTTTAAATTTCACTGACTAGATTACAGAGAAACAACTTAGAACATTCATACTTACCATAATAGGTGCTTGCAGTCATTGACATAATCCAGAAAGCTAAGGAAATGCAAATGATCAGGCTCAATATAACTATATTAGTTATCATCTTTATATATCTTTTGCATATATTGTCGTTAAGATCTGTCATGGAAAATAAGGATGTGAGCTCCTGCGGGGCAGAATATTTAGCGTTTCGGAGAGAAAGTCATTTACGAGGTGAGCAAGACACTTGTTCAGAGGCAAACATAAATCCCAACATATTCCACCGACCAAACAAGCAAAAAAAATCACAAAAATTCAAACTCCTTCCGGAAATTCCTGCTGGACGGAGAGCTCCAATTCCTATGGGCGAGGTCAACGCCTCACCGCAAAAGCAAAGCGGCACCCGGTAGACGGTGAGGGCCGGCTCCCGGCTGCTCAGCGCCTTACGCCGGAGCCCCACGAGGAAAAGAGAAAGCCGAGGCAGCCAATCCGCGGTCCCGGCGCTGGCGAGCTCCACCCACCTCCCGTCGCAACCTTCTCACCCGCGGGAGGCGTAGGTCCGCGGCTGCAAAGGGGCAGCTAGGGCACCCTAACTTGGGCAAGTCTGGGAAGCAAGCCCGACGCGGCTGAACGCAGTCACGTCCGGACAGCTGCACAAGGCGCCCTAGGGTCCAGGTCCAACTGGCCAAGGCCGAGACCCCAGGAGCAAAGCCCGCGCCTCCGCGCGCCCCCGCCTTTAGCGCCTCCCCCGCTGTGGGCATGCGCCGCAGCTGCTTAGGGGGACGTCACCTCGCTGAAGTGGGCGGGCACTGCTGGCATCCTGGCCGGCTACGTTTGCACTGCTTCTCCGAAACCACTTTATAGGTACTAAACAGCATTGTTTACTACCTATAATGTGCTAGACTCCTGGCTGCTAGCGAGGTAAAGTTAAACATAGATTCTGTTACTGAGCTCTCGTCATTATTGTCATAACACCACTTAAATTGTGGAAATACCTGTCCTCACACCCCTTATATTTCAAGTGTGTTCATTTAGAAAGCAAAACGTCTTGTTAGCATAAAAATTCTGAATCGTGGCTGATTTCATTATTATTATTATTATTTTATTTATTTTTTTTTTTTGAGACAGCGTCTCTCTCTGTTGCCCAGGCCGGAGTGCAGTGGCACATCTCTGCTCACTGCAACCACCGCCTCCCAGGTTCTAAGCGATTCCCCTGCTCCAGCCTCTGGAGTAGCTAGGATTAAAGGCGCCACCACCACCCCCGGCTAATTTTTGTATTTTTGGTAGAGACGGGGTTTCGCCATGTTGGCCAGGCTGGTCTCGAACTCCTGACCTCAGGGGATCCACCTACCTCGGCCTCCCAAAGTGCTGGGATTACGGGTTTGAGCTACCGCGCCCGGCTTGATTTCATGTTTTATGTGAAATTAACTTGTTTGCCTGGGTTAACAGTAACTAACTGATAATTACATATTATTTATCAATTTTTTCAGTTAATTGCTGACAGTGTAAGGAGAGGAGCCAAATTCATTTCAGACACAGTATGCAATTGTGTTTTAACCCCCAAGTAGTTACTTAAAAAAAAGCTCACATTATTTTAAATTTCAAAATACATGCCAAGACTGCTTGTCATTTTCTTTGGTAAGGCATCTAATTAAGTAGTTAACTAAGAACCAAATCTGTGAAGTAGGACTAAATAGTAGTGGGCTTCTTGTACTCGATAATATACATATGGTCTTTATGCTGAAATTTATTATGTGCCTACTTTCTTTTTGTCTTAGTCTGTTCTGCATAGGTAAATGTTTGGATTATCTTACCAAGCTGGCCAATATCAATGCTACCAGACTATTGGGTAAAATTATCAATAATAAAAGCTAACGTTTTGTGGTTTGCACAGTGGCATTGTTTTTGTCTCTGCTTAGACAAAATTATGAACTGGTCTGTTTTTTTGTTTTGGTTTGTGTTTGTTTTTGTTTTTGGCCTTGCTTCACCATAGTCACAGAGTGACCCTCTCTGATTAGTTGGTGTTCTATAGGAAAATCATAGCCTAGCTGTGAATGTCAAGCTATCTCCCAACACTGGGGTGTAGCTGTGTCAGGTCAGTCCCTGGATGTCAGGGATGATTTTCTCATGACTGGTAGATCTGGCTAAAAATGCATATTAAATAGTGTCAGTGAACTGACCCTTCAAATGAGTATTTTCCCTTGTATTTTTTTTTTCAGTGACCTATTATTGATTTTTTCTCCATAAAAGTTATTCTAGCTTAAGACCAAAATAATTTAGAGGAGTTAGTATAATTAAAATACGGTAATTCTTCCTCACATGCAATAGGCAGTTTCAGTTACCAAGGGTTAAACATGATCTTAAGGCAGGAGAATAGGGTCTGGAGGCAGGGAACCTAAGGCGGATTCATGCTGACTTCCTAGAGCTAAATCAAAAGGAAAACCCCAACTTTCCACACCTAAGTAACAAAAGCACCCGAAGCTACTCCCTTTGCAACCACCCTCCCTTTTTTTTTCTGCGTGGCAGATAGAAAATTGAAAGTATCTCTGCTTGGTTGCTTTCTGCAAGCAATCAGACGTTTGGGTAGGAGTGTAACTTTGTAACTTCACTTCAGCCTCTAATTGGTTGTTTTTCACAACCAATCAGACTGATTGCTGGCTAGTACTTCATTTACATAGAGTGTACACCAAGTAACCAATGGGAAACCTCTAGAGGGTGTTTAAACCCTAGAAAATTTTGTAAGGAGGATTTTGAACCCCTATGCTGAGGTGGTTCCCACCCTGTGGAGTGTACTTTGTTTTCAGTAAATCTCTGATTTTGTTGCTTCAATATTTCCTTGCTTTGTTTGTGTGTTTTGTCCAATTGTTTGTTCAAAACACCAAGAACCTGGACACCTTCCACTAGTAGCAATCTGAAAATATTAAAAAGAAAATTCCGGAAATATTCATAAGTTTTAAATTGCGTGCCAGTCAAAGTAGCATGATGAAATCTCATGCCATCCAGCTCCATCCCACTTGGGACGTGAATCCTCTGTTTATCTAGCATATCCATGCAATAAACATTACTCTCTCGTTAGTCACTTAGGAGCCATCTCAGTTATGAGATGGACTGTTGCAGTATCACAGTGCCCTTATTTTAGTTTTATTACAATATATTGTTGTAATTGTTCTATTTTATTATTAGGTGTTCCTCCTAATCTCTTACTGTGCCTAATTTATAAGTTAAACTTTATCATAGGTATATAGAAATCGGAAAAAACATAGTATATATAGAGTTTGATATTATCCAGGGTTTCAAGCATCCACTGAGGATGTTGGAATGTATCTCCAAGGATAAGGGGAGAGGGGCTATTGTATACTTTTAAAAGAATCTATTGTTATAAATTTTATAGACTATCAATCTTAAAAATTTCAACAAAGTCTTCGTTTTTCTATTTACTTTAGAAGCCATTTTCTGGCAATGGAAAATTTCTGTTAGGCATTTCCTAAACTGTATTCTTTAATTTAATAGTAGTTGTTCTTTATTAGTAGGCATCCCTACCACCCAAAGATACCTATGATCAAATTTGAGAAAGATTGTCTCTACGTGGGATAGTTAGAGTGTATTATTAATGATTCTAAGAAGTTAAGAAACAAACACATTTGTTTAAATGGTTCCAGCAGTTAATTGTCTTCCCCAGATTTCTTTCCTGTAGAAAACATGCAGTTTGAGACTTACTTTAGCAATCGTAGAATAAACTGAAAGTTCATTGTTGTGCTGCTCTTTAAATTTCACAATGTAAATACCCATTTATGGTTTAGTGCTCTTTGATATAAAGTTTGGATTTTTCTGTGATAGACATTTATATTCAATACCAATCACAAAAATTATCCTAATGGCAAAAAGCGCTTACTGTGTGAAACTATCAGATTTTATTTACAATCTCTTTGAATCTAATCCAAAGGGATTGGTTTCGATTTTCTGAAATGTGCAAATATTTGAGTGATTTGAGTGCCAACACACATATACCACAGTCTCTGCCTTGAAGGAACATAGCAGATGAAAATGGACATGTAGACCATTACATTATAATAAGATGATGATTTTATCCAAGTCATATATAAAAAGGACTCAAGGAGAAAAGCACTTATGTCCCTTTGGTATGTTTAGGGATGGTGTCACACAAGAGAGGGGAACATCCAAGGTAAGAATTGAAAGATGACAAAGAGTTTGCTCAGTGACTAAGCTAAAGGAAGGGCAATTTGTAAAGGTTTGTTTGGTGGTTAAGAAGAACATGAAAACAGGAAGTTCAAGAGAACGGGGAAGAGTTAGAAATAACACATTTTGGAGTGTTTGCTAAATAATTTGTTAAACCAAAAATTCATCTGAGAAACAGACACCTCTTTAAAAAATTTTTTAATATAAAAATAGAGGTGAGGTCTCACTGTGTTGTCCAGGCTGGTCCCAAACTCCTGGCTATAAGTGATCCTCCTGCCTTGGCCTCCCAAAGTGTTGGGATTACAGGTGTGAGCCACTGCATCCAACCAATATGTGCCTTCTTGACATTAAACCCAAATATTTTGTTTTTTAAATGTTTGTAGTATAGATTTTAAAAGACTAGGGAGCAATTTGAAGATGGATTTGTTGTATTAGTTCGAGCTCATTCTAACAGGGCCTTAGGGAGAGGGTGGGGAGCAATGAAGGCAGGAATAAATAAATGGAATACTGTTTACCAGCAACCTTGAGGACAGACACTATGTCTGTCTGGCACATCCTAGTTTGATCAGTGTCTCTTATGAGTGTTAAGATAGTATTTTTGGGCCAGGTACAGTGGCTCACACCTGTAATCCCAGCGATTTGGGAGGCCAAGGTGGGCGGATCACCTGAGGTTGGGAGTTCCAGACCAGCCTGACCAACATGGGGAAACCATGTCTCTACTAAAAATACAAAATTAGCTGGGCATGGTGGTGCGTGCCTGTGATCCCAGCTACTCAGGAGGCTGAGGCAGGAGAATCACTTGAACTCGGGAGGTGGAGGTTCTAGTGAGCTGAGATTGTGCCATTGCACTCCAGCCTGAGCAACCAGAGCGAAAATCTATCTCAAAAAACAAACAAACAAACAAACAAAAAACATAGCATTTTTTGAATTACAGTATTCGAAACAATTTTTTTTTTTTTAAGACAGTCTCACACTATTGCCGGAGCTGGAGTGCAAGGGCACAATCTCGGCTCATTGCAACCTCCGCCTCCCGGGTTCAAGCGATTCTCCTGCCTCAGCCTCCTGAGTAGCTGGGATTACAGGCACCCGCCACCACGCCTGGCTTATTTTTTGTATTTTTTAGCAGGGACGGAGTTTCACTGTGTTGGCCAGGCTGGTCTGGAACTCCTGACCTTGTGATCCGCCCACCTCGGCCTCCCAAAGTGCTGGGATTACAGGCATGAGCCACTGCGCCCGGCCCGAAACAATGTTTTAATCAGAAAAAAATTAATAAAATATCACAATCTTCTTTCCCTTTTGTTAGTAAAATTGTGCTTTGATAATGTCTTTTTTTTTTTTTTTTTAAAGACAGGGTTGTACTCTGTTGCCCAGGCTGAAGTGCAGTGGTGCAATCATAGTTCACTGCAGCCTTGAACTCCTGGGCTCAAGCAGTCCTCCTGCCTCAGCCTCCTGAGTAGCTAGGGGACTACGTCACATGCCTCCATGCCTGGCTAATTTTTATTTCATTATTTTTGTAGAGACGGGTGTCTCGCTAAGTTGCCCAGGCTGATCTTAAACTCCTGGCCTTAAGTGATCCACCCATCTTAGCCCCACAACATGCTGGGATTACAAGCACGAACCCCTGTACTTAGCCTGCAAATAAATTTTTGTGTGAGCCTCAAATTATGGTCAGGATAGAGATAGACTCTTACCATTTTTATAGCCCTTCATATATCTCGTCTAGATTGCCTAACCAGTATCTAAAACAGTGCAAATAAACTATAATGTACATTTAGATATAACTTGAGCAACAAAAATGAAAATAACTTCTCTTCAAGGCTTTACATTATCTTTATTTGTTTTACCATTTGCTTCAGTTTAGGGAGAAGGACTTCACAGAAGTCTTTTAGGGGGTCAGTGTAAAAGAACTTTCACAGAAATATTTATGTACATTTTTGAGAAATAACAGGCATGACAGTAATTTCCTTGGGGAAAAATGTTTAATATCACCATACTCAGAATACATTTTTGTGAATATGCAATTATTTAGTATACATTACAAAATCCTCAATTTTAGAAAGTTTCCAACTGTCTAAATATCAGAAGAATCCAATATTTTGGTACAAAGATGAAACATTTCCTATATTATAGCAAAATTAAAATCTACCCGTATTCTAACATTGAGAAATGAGATAAAACACAGTATTATAAAGTCTACTTTATAGGAAAGATCAAGTGACCTCAAAGACTTTACTATTTTCATATTTTAAGACACATGATTTGTCCTATTTTAGTAACCTGGTTCATATGTTAAACAAAGTGTAATGTGAACAGCAGAGAGGATTTGTTGGCAGAAGATCTATGTTCAATCTAGAACTATCTAGATCACAGACATTTCTATTCCTTGTGCAAGTTGGCACATAGTAAATGCCCAAATGAATAAATAAATCGAATTAACAAAGATGTCTTCATATGTAAATCAGAGGTAATACCACCTACCACACAGAATGTAAGGAAAAAGAGAACAAATAAATACCAAAGTGCTTTATAAGATTCTGAGTTATTTTAAAAATCTGTGTTCATAGGTTTGTTATTTTACACAAAATACCAAATTTCAAATGAACTCCAGTACTAGATTTTGATGTACTATTTTATTTATAGCTATGTTTTCCTTTTAACAAAGATACCATTAACACCACATTTGTTCAGTGTTCATTTTAAAGGGTAAAAATGTTGTTTTATAGCTCCTTCAATAAAACACCATAATTCAGGTCAAATGCCAATGTCCTGTACCTCCTTTGCTAAGTCAATATAAGGAGGAATCTGTTTTGTTTCAAAACAAAAGCATTTGATTATAAAAAGGTCTACAGTTTATAGTTCTTACTGAATTCCAATTCAAAAGCATTTACCAAAGGGACTTTATAGCTATTTCTTTTGTAGCATTTATCATATTGTGTTATAAATATTACTTCTGTCAAGAGATACAGCAACTTGAGGGCAGAAAATAATGTCATATTCCTTTGTATATCAAGTACCTAGCCTTTGGCTGGTTCTTTGTAGAGGTTGGTGCCCAATAGACGGAGGACAAATAAACAGAAGATCTGTGTTGTGACCAGCAGAGGAAAAAAAGCTATTATAATTTCAGTTAGTTTTATGGTCAGGGTGATAAAAAAAAAACCTATTGAACTGAAAGCAGGATTTTAATAGACTCCTTTTAGGTTTTTCTCTGTGAATAAAGCTAGTTCAAAGGTAGACAAATGTATACTAATAAAACAATTTGATGCAAACAGTTTGGAGCATGTTGTCAGGACAGTAAAATGAAAATGACAGAGAAAACACAGAAAAGTTTACTCTAAAATTATTGAGTAGTAGTTTTTTTAATACTGTCAAGTAATAATGAATGAAGATGAAGTAACTTTGTCAAAAAGTTGTATTTTGCAATATTTTATTTTTATGATTTTTAAAATTTATTAAGATTTCAAAGTATTATTGTAGATGGGAACTGGGCTACATAAGTAAGTGTTTTGTATCTGGGGTGAAGGGTGAACCACATGAGAGTGGTTATACTTGGAAAAAATAGTTTTTATTCAAATGATTATTTGTCCAACTTATTTTGAGTTATAAGGTAGATGTGGTCAGTAAATGTTTGATGATGATTATATGCTGGTGAAAAGTTATTTGAAACCATACTAGAAAAAAATAAGTATGTAATGACAATTCCAAGGAACTACATCTAATACTTAAGATAAAGATAAAATAACTAGCAAGATTTATAACATCTACAAAAAGATTTTCATAAATATCTGTTTTAAATACCTCACGGGCATTCTAAGAGACTTTTCCTACCTTTGCATTTCCTTGGGAGGCATTCCTTAGTAAAGAGAGTGCTAAAACTGTAAAAGAATTCTTACTAGGATCCAAGCAAATGCAATCCTAAACAGTTGGCAAAAAGAGGGATTTTTTTTTTTAATCATAAATTAGCTATTACTTTACAGAAAAGTTTTACAGCAATTTATGACTTAGGTTTATGCTACCTTCATATGTTAGTATCACCAGTTTGAATTAAATAAGTTAAGTTAAATAACTTGATTATATATTAACACATTTTTACATGATTTCAACAAAGGTGTTTGAAGCAAAGGGTTCCTATTAAACATTAGTGAAATAAAGCAAACCCTTTAATTGTTCAAGTGCCAATGATAAGAATAGTTCTGATACTTTTATTTTGTAAAATAATTAGCATTTGTATACCACTATCACAGACATACACATATTTCTATAGCGAACATTTAATTTCCCTTATGCACTATGGTTGCTTTATTTGTTTTTGCTGCTGTTGTTGTTGTTGTTTTAGAGACAGGGGTCTCACTCCATCGCCCAGGCTGGAGTGCAGTGGTGCAATCACAGCTCACCACAGCCTCAACCTCCTAGGTTCAAGTGATCTTCCCACCTTACCCTCCCAGGTAGCTGGGAACACAGGCATGCTGGTTGCTCTATTTCACTCACTAAAAAAGGAGATAAAAAGCAAGCTGATGTCTAAGATAAACTGATGCCATTTTAAGTTATTAATACAAATTGTGAAGATATAAGTAGTTTCCTGTGATTAAATTTTACTGTGGGTTTATGAAGAGGAAAAAAAAAATCTCACTATATTGATATGCTATTTCTGAGGTATAGCATGCATTTAGAAAGTAGTTAAAAAGAAAACAAAAAACCTTAGGAGTTTTGGTTGTCAATCAATACGTAAGCACCAATTTTGAAGTTGGAAATGTAAGGTTTTTATTATGAGAAAAAGAGAAGTATACATTTACTTAGCTAGGTCCTGAACTCTGAATTATTTTACAACGTTTTCTTAGGTGAATATTATCAGCTACTAGATTTTACTAGTTTAAAGTACTTGAGGCCTTACCTAGTTTGGATGACTCAATGGTACTTCACATTCAAATATTTTCAAAATATTTTACAACCTATTTTAAAATCTAATATTCTTACGAGAGAGGCCATGACAAGCTCACTTTTACTGGTAAAACAAAATACAGAACATTTTAATTTAAAAACTTGCCCTGTACCTTTTTTTTCTATAAATTTTTCAAATCACAGTGCCAATTATAATTTAATACAAATCCCAGCAGTTTTAAGGTCATGTAAATGTTGGTTAACTGTTATTTAGCATCTTATTTAGAATGCAATATGCCAACTTTGGTACAGGAAAAAATTCTTTTCTAATGTAAGTTAAACATATTACTTATCATAAGCTGTTCTTTTAATAGTAGTTTAAAAAGACAGAAACAAAAAACACCTTTCAAACATACAATTTATTGGCAAAAATTTTAAGTCCGTAATTCTAATGTAAGGCACTTCCATTCATTTTCAAATAAAAATTTCATACAAATTTTTTTATTCTTTTGTAATCAAGTCTTCACAAATTATACAGTAATGTTACTTCAAGTAAAACTTTATTAAATAATGCATTTTGGCGTAAGTGCCATAATTATCTTTACTTCTGAAAAGAATGAAGGATAGGCATCAAGCTCTGTGCAAGCTAAACTGAAATGAAGGTACTCTTGGTCTGTTTTAGATTTAGACTCGGCAGTGTTTTATCTTGTTGATCTTGTTCAAGGATCTTAAAATCTTCCAAAGGAAGAGTGCTTAAGGCAGTTGGTAAAATGTGTTCTGATGTACCTTTAGGTAATACACTATTCGCCTCTAAATTCTTTACCAAACAAGTGGCTTTGATCCATCTTCGAGTTGCTCTGCGTTCCTTTTGTAGGCAAGTTTTCATTTTTCTTCTTAAGCTTGCTATTTCTTTTTCCAGTTTAATGATCCTCTTTTTTGCCTCTATAGGATTCCTAAAGGCATAGCTGTGTTCAAGTAGTACTTGCTGACTACTCATGTTTGATTTTAAATTAGATGGTCCAGCTGGGGAACAACTGTTGTTTTTCTTCAGAAGATTCCTTGACTTGAGTTTCTGAGCCGAATAAAATTAGAGGGTTGAACATAAATTATGAAATATCACAAATAAGCAAATAGTGTCCAGTTTTGGATAACAGAGTATTTAAACTGTTCTTTTAAAAGTCCATATCAAAACCTTAATAGGAAACAGCAGCAGCCATCTCATGTAATCCAAGATTAAGTTTTTTAACTGGCTGAATAAACTCTAGTCACCTACTTCTTTTTGTCCCATATCCAGAGAGATTCAAACATTGATTTGGAAATAGACAATGGACGTCCAAGGTTTTTTCCAAATCATTGACTGTGATTCTATAGAGACTTTAAAGATCCTTTGCAATTTACTAAGGTCAATTTAGAATACATGTAGATATTATTTATGATATTAATTTGATCCCCTTTTAATTAAATACCATTTTCTCAATCTGATGAATATTTTAGAACCAGGGTCCTACTTAATGAAAACTGAAGGATCTGGAGAAATATATTCTTAAGTACCAAGTTTCTAAATATATTTACCTATTCATTTTTGATAGTTACATACGTCTTCAAGGATTTAAAATCTGGTTAGGAACATTTGCCAAAATCAGGAGATTTGTTTTGCTTTTATCTCTTTCATTCAAGTGGTCATCAAGTCCTGTTAATTCTACCCACTAAATATTCCCACCATGAATCCTCTCCTCTCCGTCATTCTTTTTTTTCCTTTCTCTGTTCCACAGTAAGGCTGAACACTGTCATTCTCGATGTCACTACTTACACTGGGCCTCTATCATATCTGTTCTGACTGTATTATTCTTTATTGATCTCTGCACTTCATTTTGATCCTCATTAATCCACATTCTGCCATGAGAATAATTTTTCTAGAATATTTGACATTTCTATTCTGGCCAAATTATTCTTTGCCTACCTATTATCTCAAGGGGAAAAAAATCTTTACATGGCATACTATACAATTTAGGATCTTACCCTATTCTGCAATTTACCATCTTGATTTATACTCCAGCAATACTAAGCCACTGAGAGTTTCCAGATTATATCATATCCTCATAAGTCTGTGTCTTTTATTCATAAACATTTCTTGAAACACATACTATGAATTCCTGGGGACACAACACTGAACAAATAAGACAATATGGTTCCTATCTTCATGAAACCTCAGTTAGTCCCTCTGCCTAGGGAATTGACAGGAACTCTTTTTTGATCTTTGTATCTCTAGCACTGAGCTTAGATTCTGGCATAATGGAAAGTTTACTTGTATTTATTAAATAAATAATCAAAATGTCAAAAATAAGGTACATTTCAAATTCAGTATTTGAGTATATACTATGTCCCAGACACTGTTTGAGGTGCTGAGGATTCACACATGAAAAAGACTAGTTCTTGCCCTCCTGGAGCTTTTCTAACATCAGTGGTAATTAGCTTACCACAATCTGGTCTCCCATTCAGATAATAATTCATATACACTTAAAAGTTTAACTGTTACAAACAAGAGAAACAGTAGTTTTTCCTCTCTCAGAGGAAAACATGTTTGTCCTGCCTTTCAAAGCTAAACTATTTGTGTTCATTTTACCCTTTCTTACCCTTGGTGACCCTGTCTTTCCCAGCTAGGTTTTCCTCTCTGGTCAGATCTTCCCTAACTAGATAAAACATTGTTTTAATTCATTCGTCTTATATCTTAATTCTTTCATTTTTTAATTTTACTTTTTTTGCTTCATTTTTTCTTCATTCTTTCCTTTTAAATATCAGTTGCTAACATTTCCTACTCACCCCTTAGCCCACTGGTTTTTGATCTCATCATGCAACTGTAATTATTCTGTGCAAAGCCAAGATCCCTTTCCTCTATTTTAAACTCCCAAGGCTTCAAAAGCCCACTCTAAATGCCCAAGCTCTCTGAAGATTTCTGTTATGTCTGCCTCCCTCTGAACTTACATTCTTTGGTGTAACTCTGGCTGTGCTGCTCTTAAAGTACTTTACACATGTTATTTGTATGTCATTTTAAAATCAGAACACAGTGATGCTGGAAGTTTCATTACTTATATGATTTTTCAGTTTTACCAATGGTACAATTAATAATAATTGGTAATAATGTAAAATTCCAATATAGTAAAACAATTTGGATTGGGGAAAGAATATTGGAGTCAGGAGACCCAAACTCTGATTCTAGCCTGTACCTTTACTGTACAAAAGGAAGGTCTGCAACTTTTTTGAGGCATATCACTATAAATGAATCTCAGTTAATAACTGCATAAACAAAAAGGAATGGGTTCTAAAAATGGTTTTAAAAACAGGAGAGTAACATTACCTACCATAGACTTTATATGGGTACAAAAATCAAAAATGGTTGGAACAGCATCCATTTTAAGTCTTCGGGTTTGTCCTGTTAGGTCAAAACAGGAGGCTTCAAAGTGCTTTGAACAAAGAAATGTGTGTTTTCCTGGCACAAAATTTTTGCGCCTAACCAGGCGAACCCATTCTTTTCTTCTTTTAGGATCCAAAGGAAACCTTAAACAAAAAGAAATATGCAACTCAAGTTCCAACTATCATAATTCTGGTTGCACCTAAATGATTAAAAGAAATTTCGAAGATGATTAAAAGTGTGTCCCATTTACATAGAAAATGTTAAACTCACAATATCCAGACACTGAAACAGAAACCAATTCATGGTAATGTTTTATAAGTTTGAAAAACTTAGTCAGAAACTGACTTGAGTCGTTTTATATTTCAGGGCTTTTAAAAAGAGACACTTCTTCCCAATTAGCCCTTAATCTGGGCAGTAAAATAAAACATGACTAAACTGATTTAGATCAAGTTTAAGTAGAACCATTATAAGCAGGAATAATTTCACCATGCTTTAATCTGCTGCTGATATATGTAGTCAAGAAAAATCAGGTAGCTAAATATTAAATTTTATCAAGGAAAGCCTAGGCAGATGCCGGTACTCCTTCCTCTATGTCCCATCATTATGACACTTACCACATTATTTTGTAATTTTTCCATTTTAATTTCCAATGACAAAGATTATAAATTTCTTGAGGACAGGGATCATTATATCTTGGCATGTATTTATCTTTGACACTTAGCACAATGCTTTGCAAACAGCAGGGATTCAACAAAATTTGCTAAATTAATACAAATACAGAATAATAATATTCTGTATGTAAACAACAAATATTTTTAAAAAGTCAACTCTTTAATTATGTAGTGCAGCAGAAAGCAAACTTACAAAAACGTAAAATGCTTTGTAGCAATGTTTTTCCTTTCATATTTCAAGTATAAAATACAGTTGACGCTTTAACAACATGGGTTTGAACTACACAGGTCCAATTATATGTGCATTTTTTTCAATAAATATATTGGAATTTGAAACAATTGGAAAAAACTTGCAGACAAACCATGTAGCCTGGAAACATCGAAAAAATTAAGAAAAAGGTATGTCATTAATATATAAAATATATGTAGATGCCAGTCTATTTTATCATTTACTACCATAAAATGTACACATACTAGTCTATTTTGTCATTTACTACCGTGAAATATATAGATTTTAAAAAGTTAAAATTATCAAATTTTGCAGAGACTGTACATGGCATCATTCAGTCCAGAAGGATGTAAACAGATGCAAAGATGCAGTATAATGATAACTGCATAAAACCAACTGTAGTACATACTGTACTACTGTAATAATTTCATAGCCATCTTCTATTGTGGTGAGCTCAGTAAGTGCTGTTGAGTACCCACTTAAAGTGCCATGTGATGCTGATTATCTCTGTCTGAGCAATTTGTCTCTCCAGTAAGTTGTGTATCATGGCAGAAAGTGATTTCTCGCAGTTCTTGCATATTTTTCATTGTATTTAGTGCAATATCATAAACCTTAAATAATACCATGATACCCATATGAAGTGCCATTAGTGATGATGGATGTGCTCTAAGAAGCAGAGTCATGACAATACAAGAAAAATTTGAATTGCTTGAGAGATATATATATCCCCCATAGATTTAGGTGTGCAGCTGTGGTTGCTTGCCATTTCAAAATAAATAAATCCAGGACCATTGTTAAAAAAAAAAAATTGTCAAGCTGTTGCTACAGCTATGCCAGCAGGTACAAAGATCTTGTACTTTTTGTGAAATATCTTTCTATTCTATATTGGAAATGCAGCTTTTATATGAGTGCACAATTGCTGTAAGAAAGTCATACCTATATTCCAGGACTACAGGTAGTTTTTTTTTAGAAAGAAAATTTTTTAGAAAAATCATATTAGAGTTTATATAGAACTCTGGAGAAAAAGTGAGGTTGTCATATGATAAAACAAAAGGAAGGTGAATGATCTGAAGCTGCAAATTTAATGCCATCAGAAGATGTTTGATAATTTTAGAAAGAGGTTTGGCTTAAAAAATGTGAAGATAAGAGAGAAACAGCTTCTGCTGACCAAGAGGCTGCAGATGTTCCCCGATGCCATTAAGACCATTCAAGAGAAAGGCTATCTGTCTAAACAGGTTTTTGATGCAGACAAAAATGCCCTTTCTTGAAAAAAAATGCCACAAAGGATATTTATTAGTAAGGAAGAGACGCAAACATCAGGACTTAAGGCAAGAAGGCATAGGCTAACACTGTTTTGTACAAATGCAGTTGGGTTTATATCAATTCTGCCCTTATCTACAAACCTGCTAAACCCTGAGCCTTGAAAAAGAAAGATAAACACCAGCTGCCAGTTTTTTGGTTGTAAAATGAGAGGCCCGGACACCGAGAACCCTTTTTCTGGATTGGTTCCATTAAATTTAGGAAGCACGTTGCCAGTAAGGTACTGCCTTTTAAAGTTCTTTCCATTTTGGACAATGCCCCTGGCCACCAAGATCCATAAGTCCAACACAGAAGGTGTCAAAGTGGTCTATTTGCCCTCAAATTCAATGTCTTTAATTCAACTTCTAGATCAGAGGGTCACAAGTTTTAAGGATCATTACACATGGTACTCTATGGAAAGGATTGCCAACGTGATGGAAAAAAACCCCAACAAAGATAGAAAACATTATGAAAGTATACAAGGACTGCACCATTGAAAATTATTACAGAAAAAGTGGTGAAAGACACCAAGCCCAAAACAATAAATTCCTGTTAAAGAAAACTGTGTATTTGTGTGTGACCTCACAGTCTTTATGACAGAGCTGATAAGGGAAATCATGAAAGAGATTGTTGATATGGCAAAAAAGGTGGACAATGACAGGTTTCAAGATATAGATCTTAAAGAAATTCAAGAACTGATTGAAGACACCACACCAGAGGAATTAACAGAAGACTGCTTGATGGAGCTGAGTGCTTCTGAACCACTGCCAGATGATGAGGAAGAAGTTGTAGAAGAAGCAATGCCAGAAAAATTGACATTAGAAAATCTGCCAGAAGGGTTCTGATTATTTAAGACTGCTTTTGACTTCTTTTATGACATGGACCCTTCTATAACAGGGTCACTGAAACTAAAGCAAACAGGGAAGAAGGATCGGTACGATATAGAACCATTTTTAGAGAAATGAAAAAGAGTAAGACAGAAATTATGATATATTTCCATAAAGTTAGACCGAGTGTGCCTGCCTTTCCTGCCTCCCCTTCCACCTCTTTCACCTTTGCCATGCCTGAGGCAGCAAAAACCAACCCCCCTCTTCCTCCTCCTCCTCAGCCTACTCAATGTGAAGACAACAAGGATGAATACCTTTATAGTGATCCACTTCCACGTAATCAATAGTAAATATATTTTCTCTTAAGATTTTTTTTTTCTTTTTTTGAGACAGAGTTTTGCTCTCGTTGCCCAGGCTGGAGTGCAATGGCGCCATCTCGGCTCACTGCAACCTCCACCTCCCAGGTTCAAGTGATTCTCCTGCCTCAGCCTTCTGAGTAGCTGAGATTACAGGCACCTGCCACCACGCCCGCCTAATTTTTGTATTTTTAATAGAGACGGGGTTTCACCATGTTGGCCAGGCTGGTCTCGAACTCCTGACCTCAGGTGACCCACCTGCCTCGGGCTCCCAAAGTGTTGGGATTACAGGGTTGAGTCACCATGCCTGGCAGGATTTTCTTAATAACATTTTCTTTTCTCTGGCTTACTTTATTGTAAGAATACTGTATAGAACACATGTAACATAAAAAATGTGTTGATTGTTTGTGCTATTGTTTAAGGCTATTAGTTCAATTTGGGGGGAATCAAAAGTCATACTCTGATTTTCGACTGTGTGGTGAGGGAGCTTCTGCACCCCTAAACCCTGTATTGTTCAAGGGTCAACTATATACTGATACGCATCCAGTGTGTACCTGTTAAGGAAGAGACAAATATAAGGGGCTCTCTCTAAAAATTATACCGGTAACTTGGAAATATAAGAATCAACAGTCGCATGTAGTCAGCTTGTGTAAAACTCTTTGGTTTGACTACATTATCCTTTAGATATTAATTATGAAATCACTGGTGCTTAAAAAGAACCACAAAATCCAAGTTAGAAGATCATGTGGTTCAGAAGCCCCCAAATGCAGCCTCATTAGGTAACAGCTTTGGGTATATCGCATGTACTAGGTTTGCTAACATTACCAGCAATGAGGGGCACAAAGAAATGAATGTCTGGATTTACAGTCAACACTCTCCCATCTTCTGTCTCCATCCCCCTCAACCCTATAGGCACCCTGATCTGAAGATACTAACATCTGTATATCACTCCACAATTCACATATGCATTTTTTTCTATTTTACAAGAAAATAGAGATTTTTTTTTTTTTTGAGACGGAGTTTCACTCTTGTTGCCGAGGCTGGAGGGCAGTGGCAGGATCTCAGCTCACTGCAACCTCTGTGTCCCGGGTTCAAGCGATTCTCCTGCCTCAGCCTCCTGAGTAGTTAGGATTACAGGCGCCCGCCACACCTGGCTTTTTTTTTTTTTTTTTTTTTGTATTTTTAGTAGAGACGGTGTTTCCCATGTTGGCTAGGCTGGTCTCGAACTCTTGACCTCACGTGATCCACCTGCCTTGGCCTCCCAGAGTGCTAGGATTACAGGCGTGAGCCACCGCGCCTGGCTGAATAATTTTCTGATAACTTATTTACTCTGCCTAGCCTCACCTCTTAACAACAATCTAGTCTCATTTCAAAGATCTCTGTCCCAGTATTTGACAGTTTGAAAATATTTCCTAAAGACTAAGCAAAAAATAAGGCTTTAAACATATTTCTTCTTGTCAGGGCCTCGATAAAGACTCAATAAATAAGTACTATCATTGTATTATTATTTGTGTAAGACTCTTCCACTCTAAGACTGTCTTTCAGATATTATTCAGGTCCTTAATTCTCTTTCTTTTAAAGCTCTTTTTAAAACTAGCTCCTTAATTAGGAAATCAAAGCCTTGAATCAAACCTTAACTTGACCAGATTCTACTTGAGACTGTTAAGGAACCCTATCTTATTAAGGAAGTTTTCCATGATCAGAGGACTGGGTTAGATGTTGCTATAGCACTGATATCACAGTTTTTTGGTTACTTTTCTATCTTTCCCACTGGACTGTAAGTTTCTCTAGGGTAGGAGCTATGTTTTTCACTGCTTTGTCCCTGAGTTTAGCATAGTATCTAGCATAGTACCTGTTAAGCACTCAATGAACTTTTCTGAATCAATGAATCAATGAACTAATGGGGTTAATTTGGCACTACTAGTCTTTAGATTTTTAGATTCATAACAAAAAATGAATAATCAATGATTTTATATTTAATTTTGGTGTAATGTTTTTGTACAGCACTAACCTTGATCATGTTTTGGATGTGTTGTTTGGACTTTTCTCAGCACATTCAAAGAGTGGGAGATATAGCCATAAGCTAAATTTAGGTTCACCTTAATTTAATAATAAATCATCACATAAATATGATGAAATTAATATTATGGTAAGAGAAGGATATATTCTTATCTATACAGTAACAGAACCAGGCTCTTACAAATATTTGATGTTTTGAAAAGTCACTCAGTAGTTTAAACAGTGCTATTTTGTGTGCATCTTCAATAATTAGTTGAATGCCTCATACATTCCAAGCACTGTCCTAGGCACTGAAGACACAGTAGTAAACAAAATAGACATAGTACTTCTCTTCCATGAGTGTATACTGTAATGGGGAAGGTAGGGAATCAACTAGCTGGATGCAATGGAACAGTGGCCACTGTCTCTGGACTCAAACCAGGGCACCAATCCTTGCTCCTCTGCATAATATCTGGGTGACTTTAGGCAAGTTAACCTTTTTGGGTCTCCTTTTTATCATATATAAAGTGGTGATAAGAATGGCGCCTAGTGTGGTCATAAGGATTAAATGAAAAAATGTCAGTAAATGCTTAGCCCAGTGCACAGTACCTGCTAAATACTAAATAAATGCTATTTATTATTATAATAAAAGTAACTACAAGTGTCCATGAGTCTTATAAAAGGGTAAGTACAAGGTTGTATGGAATCATAAAACAGGAAGAGCTAGTCTAGTCAGGAGGCCTTAAAAATTATAGGAATCAGCTAGGAAAGTTAGGGTGGGTCAGTAGAGTGTTAAGAATATCTTGGGGACAGAGAATAGTGTTATGAAACAACGCTGGAGGACCTTCTAAGTTAAAGAGTAATTTTGAACCTTGTCCACCTTATCCAAAATGGCAATGGTAAGCCATTAAAAGGTTGAATTGTGAGAGCTGATTGTTAACAGAAAATCTGTGAGCCAGTTGTTAAACACAGCCATTATTAAAATTAAATTAATATAAAGTTGCAATTAAATAAATTAAAATGAAAAGGTAATGAATACCAAAATTCCCAAATTTCCCAGTGATTTTACTGTTACCTTTACTCTTAAGGTTGTCTGTTTTATCTGTATGGTGGAAGTACTATAGAATAGTGTGAGACTGCACATCTCTTCCCAACTCCATAATCAGTGATGTTATATTGATAGCTTGAAACTAGACTTGGTAGTAGTATTTACATCATAGAAGGTGGGGAAACACTACAAATCAGGGCTTTTTCCTCTCCCTAAAGAACCATTTATTAAATATTTAGCAACATACTATTGATTATAGAAGAGTTGCTAGGAGTGCATGGATGGAAACAGTGAGCCAGTTAAAAGCCTACTGTAATAATCTAATCAAGGGGTAATGGTGAGAAGTCAAGGGAGGAAGACTTCCAAGTTTCCAGATGGGTAGTGTCTTCATTTACTGAGAAACAGAGTACAGGAAGTGGGGGTATGTTTGGGGAAGGGCAGTTTGTCAATATAGATAACAAATCTGGGTAACTAAAAGACCAGAGAAATACTGAGTAGACACTTGCCTATAGGTCTAGAACTCATTAGACAGAGATGGACTGGAGATACTGATTTGGGAGGCATCAACAAGTAGATGCTGAGACCACAGAATAGCTGAAATTATTTTGATATGAGTGTGAAGACCTGGGTTAAGGAGTAGAGAGAAGAGTAGCAAAGGAGATTGAAGACAGGCCAAAAAAGTAAGAAGATAATCATAAAATTAGTGTCAATTAATTTAAAAGTAGAGAGTATTTCAAGGAGGAAATGATCACACACCATGAAAAATGAATGTAGAGAGACATAAAGGTCATGTTAGCAAGAGCAATTTCAGATTACTGGGGAGACTTAAGACTAGAGTTGGCTAAGAGGCAAAAAAGATAGAGACAGTAAGTTTAGGCAAAATAACTTGCACATGGAGATACAGAAGTCTACTAATGGCCAGGCGCAGTGGCTTATGCCTGTAATCCCAGCACTTTGGGAGGCCGAGGCAGGTGGATCACGAGGTCAGGAGTTCAAGACCAGCCTGGCCAATATGGTGAAACCCAGTCTCTTCTAAAAAAATATAAAAATTAGCCAGGCATGTGGGCATGCACCTGTAGTCCCAGCGATTTGGGAGGCTGAGGCAGGAGAATCGCTGGAACCCAGAAGGTGGAGGTTGCAGTGAGCCAAGATCGCACCACTGTACTCCAGCCTGGGTGACAGAATGAGACTCTATCTCAAAAAAAAAAAAAAAAAAAAAAGTCTACTCATGTCCCAGTAGTAAAGGAGTGAATCAATTGAACCTGGTTTGTATTTACGAAATAGGAATGTATTTTTATTATAATGATACTATTTTAAGACCTAAATTTCTGAGGTTACACATGAAAATATTCAATTCATAGGCAAGTTTTATGCATGTTATTGTACCACCATCCATCTTTTTTTTGTTTTTTCTTGACCCTGGCAATACAGGGTCTCACTGTATTGCCCAGGCTGGAGTACAGTGGCACAATCACAGCTCAGCGCAGCCTCAACTTCCCCAGTTCAGGCAGTCCTCCCACCTCAGCCTCCCAAGTAGCTGGGACTACAGGCACGCATCACCATGGCCAGCTAATTTTTTGTATTTTTTTGTAAAGACGAAGTTTCACCATGTTTTCTAGGCTGGTCTCAAACTCCTGGGCTCAAGTGATCAGCCCACCCTGGCCTCCCGAAGTGCTGGGATTACAGGTGTGAGCCAACACACTGGGTTAAACATTGTTATTGGTGTCTGGACTACCCTCTCTCATCTATCCAAATTACTAAATTCAGTAGTTTCTCCTAGAACATTTCTCAAATCTGTCCCCTCCTCTCCAATTCTACTCTAATATCACCCTAGTCTAGAAAATTGGGTGGACTTTCCTTGTTTTATTTACTACAGCTTCCTAACTAGTTTTTCTCTGTCAGCTCACACCTTCCCTAATCCAATGCTGATTGTGCCAGCAACTGAGTACAGGGTTTAGTTTAGTTGACATTGTAACAAGATTTCCCTGTGAAGGAAAAAATAGGTACATTAATATTCTGTAATAAGTTCCTTTCTCATCAAGTTCATTCCCGATGATGCTTGACCAGCACTTTCAGTAACACTACGATTCTCTATACTGCAACCAGAGGACTTTTTAAATATGCAAATCTAATCGTGCCATTCTTTTTTTAAACTCTCCATGGCTTCTTAAGTACTCTTAGGATAAAACAGAAAATACTTAAGTAGCATACAGGACCAAATCTGTCATCCTTTGGTCTCATTTGAAATATCACATCCTTTGAGAAGTGTTCTTTGACTTTCCAAGACTAAGTCAGGTCTCTGAATGTTTCTTCTGTGGCACTTAATTATAATGATTTATGTCTTTCTCCACCACTAAATTCTAAACTCCAGGAGGATTAGAACTTTCTGGATCCTTAGCACAATGTCAGGTAATTAGGAACTCCGTACATACTTGATGGATGAATGAACAAAGCACTACATATGCATGAACTAGTTTAAAAACAGAAACATCACAAGATTTTTTTTAAGTGGCAGCTTTTAATAAAAGTACAGTTCGTAATAGTGAGGTAGGGAAAAAGGTCAAGAATATAATTTCTACATACTAACATCACATACGTTGTTAGGTATATAAAATATATAAAATCAGGACCGGTGTCACTTAACTTTTTAATGTGTCTTTTCTTGAGGCACGTGGCAGGCACTTGCAGAGAAGGTAAACATTTACAGAGTACCTGTTATTTTCCAAGCATTGTTCAAAGTGCTTTCAAGAGTTCTGGTTTGACAGAACTAAAGAATTTTGATTTTTCTTCCAGCAAACAAAAGAAAACCTAGGTTCTTTTTATTACTCTGTTCTAGTAAGAACAGAAAGGTTATCTTTTGCACTTTAATTAACATCGCTTAATTCCATGGCTATCAAAGATGACTCAATTCCTCCGCAGAATTACTATGTGACTATTAGAAATCTAAATGCCTCCCAAGTCAATTCATCTAGTGAGAATTTCCTAATTTTAACGGGAACACAGCAGGCTTTTACGGTGATTGCTGATTGAATGGGAAGATCTCTTTCTCCCTTACGGCGTCATTCATGTCAAGACCCGGTCTAACAGAGGAATAAAAGAGTAGAAAATTACGATATCCTCTTGTTACTTTTTTACAAAGGGGTAATCACCAAACAGTACTTGGAATTCTTTTAGAAAATGAGTAAAGCTTCCCCGAAAGCAGGGAAAAATTGGGCAGATTTGAGAAAAACAAAGGACGTATGATGCTTCCCTGCTACCAGCTGGGAAAGTTATTAGAATTAGGAGAATCCTCCTGTTCCTTCCACACAAGCGATAGCCAGAATAGGAACTCCAGTTTCCGTCACCCCCACTCCCTGCCCAGGTTACCTGTGGAAGCTGATGTTAATGTGCTTGTTGTAGGTAGTGGCACAGCCCGCCGCGGCGCAATTGGTCGGCATTTCCCTTTCCCACTCATTCAGCGCCCTTAAGTCTCTACTGAGGCGCTGGCTGCTAAGCTTCCTTCGGGCAGAGGCTGGACAATCGAGGCAGGCGTGCCTTAATCGTGAGAGCTTAGTCGTGAGAGCGGAGTGGGAAGAGCGGAGTGGGAAGAAGGGGTGTGTACGTGGGGGCGGAGGCGAGGGAGAGTCAGCCTTCCCTTTCTCTTTATTAATATGGCGGACTAGAGCCCACAGAACTGGCCCTCCTGGAGCTCTAGTCGCCTTCGCTTGACTTCACCAACATGGCGGACACAACCCGTTCTTTCTCCCCGCCCCCAAAAGGGAGCGGATCTACTGCGTTTCTTCAGCAGCGGTCCTCACAGCAATTAAAAGGAAGTGTTTTCCCCTCCGATTACTATAAATTATAAGAGTTTTACAATAAAACTCTCTCAAGGATGCAACTAAGAGCAGCTCCACCTACTTCTGCATGCACCCAGCTGTACCAGGCCAGATCCTGCAGTGGGTGTGACCCGTAGACCGGAAGAGTGAACCCGAAAAAAGAAGAAAGACTACAAATCCTAGTGAGTATCGAGTGGTGTTATTATCGCGTGAACTGTGAGCCTTTGTTTCCTGCGTGTCGCAGGAAGTGACGTTTCGGGTACAGCCGCTACCAGAGTCCCTTTCTCGCGAGGCGGAAGAACCCCGATCGCTGAGGAGCAAGGGGGCGCTAGGAAAAGGAACTGGATTGCGACGGTCCGGCGAGAGAGAGCTGGGGTGCGGGGAAGTTGGGGAACAGAGGCCGCTAGGTGTCCGAGTAGGGTAAGACCGCACCGACCCGGCGGAAACGAGGCAATTGTCGGGCGGATCCCCGGACGGAGAGCTAAGGTTGTGTGGAAGGCGCTGCTCCCCGGATGGCGACCGCAGATACTCCGGCCCCGGCCTCCAGTGGCCTCTCGCCGAAGGAAGAAGGGGAGCTGGAAGATGGGGAGATCAGTGACGACGATAATAACAGCCAGATACGGAGCCGGAGCAGCAGCAGCAGCAGTGGCGGCGGGCTGTTACCCTATCCGCGGCGAAGGCCTCCTCACTCGGCCCGGGGCGGTGGATCCGGCGGAGGCGGTGGCTCTTCCTCGTCATCGTCCTCTTCTCAGCAGCAGCTGAGGAATTTCTCACGCTCGCGGCACGCGTCTGAGCGGGGCCACCTCAGGGGACCCAGCAGCTACCGACCCAAAGAACCATTCCGGTCTCATCCGCCCTCTGTACGGATGCCTTCGAGTTCACTGTCCGAAAGCAGTCCCCGGCCGTCTTTCTGGGAGCGGAGCCACCTCGCCTTGGACCGTTTCCGCTTTCGAGGCAGGCCTTACCGGGGTGGGAGTCGCTGGAGTCGGGGGCGAGGAGTGGGTGAGCGAGGAGGCAAGCCGGGGTGCAGACCCCCTCTGGGAGGAGGAGCAGGATCCGGGTTCAGCAGCAGTCAGAGCTGGCGAGAGCCCTCTCCACCTCGGAAGAGCTGTATCCTTAACGTGGCGGTCGGCGCTGGGTGTGTCACTTACCAAAGTTCCCTTTAGCGTCATTACTAGGTCTGTGAGACGAGTGTAACTGAATCATCAGAACCGCTGATTTCTCCCTGTGTCAGTATACTTAAAGTAAGTTGTTCTTTGGTAATTCCCCGTGTGTCACACTATAGCGTTATTGTTAAGACTGCTTCATTGGATATGATAACGTGCTATGGACTGGGTTAAGCTGATGAAATCCAAGACAGTTAAGTCTGATTTGTAATAATACCTTAGAAGCCCAAGTTTCATTAGCATTTGTATTTTTGCTGGGACAGAAACTTTGTATTTTATGTGAAGTTGACATATTGTTAGAGAAAAAAATATTCATAACCAGTTTGGGGAATACTGTTGCTTTATCATATTGCGGTTTGACATTGAAAATTGTAAAAGTTTCAGTCTTCGCAGTCCTGCACTATTTTTGTGATTCTGTTTTTATCTTGATTTATTCCGGTTGCTGCCTTTTAAATTGGGGGGGCGGGGGAGGTTAAAAAAAAAAAACACTCTGGTGTCTTTAACAAGTCTGTTTCAGAGCTTTTTGATTCATTTGATCTTTTTGGAACGTTTTATCTCCTTTACGTTTGTATCTGTGTTCACTTTTGCGCATTGTGTAACTCTTCGTGCTGACTAAATGAGGGCCAGAAAGAAAGAAAAACTTATCAGCATTTTTATTTTAATACGTTAGAGTGGAGGAATGTGTATGCGAGGGTGGAGATTACGGATACTTTGAGAAAGGAAATAGTAACATACCAGATTTTTGCGACTTCTAAGCTTATTCTCAGTTTTAAACATTACTGAGTTTACTCAGGATTTATACAGAGGAATCAGTCATCCGAAGGTTTCCTGTTTTGTAATGGGTTTGTAAAACACTATCTTGACTTACACTGTGACCATTGCAAAAGTTTAAAGACTTTCATTACTGGTTGTAATTCCCATAGTGTGATTTTTAATTTCGTCATTATATATGAAACTTAAAAGTAATGACAGTTATTTGGAAGACAATCAGAATTACTTTTATAGAACACTTAGGTCCAGAATAGGTCTTTCTGAAGTGTCATCATGTAAAAGGGGCAAGGAATGTACATTTAGGTAAGAAACAGCAGCTTCTGATGCTAGTCCCCTGAAAAACCTTACTTCTGCAACGAAAAGTTGGGTTAGGAACATTTTAGGATTGTTTCAGAGAAAATCATGTAGGCACTGGGTGTGGTGGCTCACGCCTGTAATCCCAACATTTTGGGAGACCGAGGCGGCGGATCACTTGAGATCAGGAGTTCGAGACCAGCCTAGCCAACATGGTGAAACCTTGTCTCTACTAAAAATAAAAAAGTTAGCCAGCGTGGCATTGGGCGCCTGTATTTCCAGCTACCCAGGAGGCTGAGGCAGGAGAATCGCTTGAGCTCGGGAGGCGGAGTTTCAGTGAGCAGAGATTGCACCTCTGCACTCCATCCTGCACGGTAAAGCGAGACTCCATTTCAAAAAAAGAAAAGAAAAGAAAATTATATAGATGTTTAACTTTTTAAAAGCCAGCACATGGTTCTTCCAAGAAGGTTAGAAAACCTCTGTCCACGGTGTTTCTTAATCCATGGATTTGTAGTCTATTTTCAATCCAAAAGCCAGAAAGGCTATTTGAGCATATGTGTGTGTATGATTTAAAAATTTTTTCAATTAAAAAAAATTTTATTAAATTTATTTTTAAAAATTTGGAGAGACGAGGTCTTGCTATGTTGCCCAGGCTGATCTTGAACTTGTAGCTTCAAGAGATCCTCCTTCCTCGGACTCCCAAAGTGCTGGGATTTATAGGCGAGAGCCACCAGTCTATATGTGTTTTGTAAAGGTACAAAGATGAAACCTGTAGTTTGTATTAGGGAAACAAATGAAAATAAGTAGTTGTAGTTTAGTATAAAAAGTTGAAACTGAGGTATGTGTATAAAAAGTACTATGGGAGCTCAAAAGTTTTTCTTAAAAGTTTTATTCTGTGTTAGAAAAGGGGGAGGTGAGTGGGCTTTCTGCTTTTGTCCTCTTTCTGCGTGTTTATTCAATACTATTTTGGGCCTCTACCATAGACCTGTATTAATTGGTAAGCTGGTCTGCAGATAGTGGTACAGTGACATATGATGTTGCAAAAAAAAAAAAAAAAAAAGTACCGGAAAATATCCAGTCTGTGTGACTTTGATTTCTGTAGTAACTTGTCATAAATAAGATATCTTACTGTTTTTCTTTTCACAGATGCCGCACTTAAAAGGATGCTTGTTTTGATCCTCTGCTCATTGTTTTCCTCATGAAGTATCACTGATTCATCCTAGAGGTGGTGTTCTTTTTAAGAATTTGAGAAGGAAAACGTAGTTTCCAGCTACTTTTGTATAATGTGAGCAAACAAAATATTTGTTACAATACTTTATTCAAATTTATTTAATATCAAGATTGTACTCAGTTTAATTCATATTTCCACTGTGTGATTATAATAATACCTTTTTTATTTTGCAAATACTGTATAAAGAAATAATGCAGGTTACTCTGTGGCATATTTTTATAATTTAGAAGTAAAGTAGCCTGAGTATAGGATTTTTTTATTTCTGTTTTTGTCATAACTCCTTTCACTGTAATAACTAAGATATGCTAGTTGCAACTTTAAAGAAATAGAATAAACTAAATTCAATTGCAGTTCTTATTTTCATCCTTAGTTTTTCTTAATGATAGACACTTTGTCAGTACATCTTAGCCTGTCTCCCTTGAATGACTGCTCTTTTAAACTTTCAAATCTGATGAGAGCTAACATAATTAGGCCAGTGTCTCTCATCAGTAAAAAGTCATTCCATTTTCAGCTGCAGCTGAAAAGGTTGAATAGCACTTCTTTTTGTTTAAACCAAGGTTCAATTAGAAATTGTATCTTGACAAGCGTGAAATTAAATCTGGTAAGTGTTGGTTTGATCTTAGCTATTCTGTGTAGATAGGGGTAGATTTTCTTTAGCCTTAAAGGAGATTAGTCAGTTATAGTTGTAACTCAATTGCTTTTCCTTATTTTTCTATTTAGCATTTTTGTTAGTATATTTAATCATTTCCCTTTGCAGATATTTCCAAGGTCTTCAGTCTTTTTTTTTTTTTTTTAACTGCAGTTGTGCCTTTAAATGACTCCAGTGAAAAGTAAGATATAAATGCAGATAATTACAGAACTTACGTACAAAGAGTGCATAAGAGGGGAAAGGGGAGTGAGAAACTCCGCCTTCATAGAGGTGACGCTCAAATTGGGGTTAAGTTGAAGAACAGACAAACTTAGACACAAAGCTATGCAAAAATTGTGATGAAAGGGGAAAAAGTAAGTTTGGAAAGGAAAGCACAGGTCAGATTATATTTATTCTCAGGATTTTGGACTTTTTTATTAGTGAAATTTAAACAAGGGGAGTAATCTTATATTTTTATTCTAGAAAGATTACTCTGACAGCAGCAGTATGAAGGATGGCTTGTAGGAGATGAGAGAAATATCTTTTCACCAGGGTAAACTCTCCTGTGGTAGGTAGAACAGTGGAGGTGCTGCCTTAGAATGCTCAAAATAACAAGAGAAAGAGGCTAAGTAGTGCTGTCTGAAGAGCACCATTATTTCACAAGTTAGAAAGGACTCAATGGAGACTTAAAAGACAAAAAACAAATAGGGAAACAAAGGGAAATGGGGAGTTATGGAAACCAAGAGAGAAGTGGTTTATGGTGTCAGATTCTCATAGGGGTCAGGTAAAAAAAAAAATAAGGTTTGAAAACATTGATAAGGAAACTTAGCCACAGCAGTCTCTCTAGATTAATGGGACAGAAACCAGATTCCATTTGGTAAGAAGGGTACAGAGAAACTAGTTTTCTTCCAAGAAACTTGACTTTGAAGAGATCAGAAAACCAGAGATTTACTAGAACAGTTTTGCTGTAGAACTGTTAAGATTTTCAGATGTACTTACTGCTTATTTTTGTTTCTCAAATGATGGTAATTCTCATTTTTAGAACTGATCATCAGGAGAGTTTAAAAACCTTTTCTGCTGCTTGTCCTGTGAGGAGTTTAAACAGAAGAACCATATTTGGGGTACTGAATTGTTACATCCTAGCCAACTGAAAATGATCTATAGGCTGGGTGTGGTGGCTTATGCCTGTAATCCCGGCACTTTGGGAGGCTAAGGCAGGCGGATCACCTGAGGTCAGGAGTTCAAGACCAACCTGGTCAACATGGTGAAACTCCATCTCTACTAAAAATACAAAAATTAGCCGGGCATGGTGGCATGCACCTGTAATCCAAGCTACTTGGGAGGCTGAGGCAGGAGAATTACTTGAGCCCGTGAGACGGAGGTTGCAGTGACCAGGATCGCGCCACTGCACTCCAGCCTGGCTGACAGAGCAAGACTGTCTCAAAAAAAAAAAAAATTCTATAAATGGTATATTAAAACCCTAGGAGGTGCTGTCTTTTCTCTTGCTAATATCTGGTCTGGAAAAATGAGGTATAACAATTCTCATGTATGAATTGTTTAGAATAAAAATTGTAGTTTGAAATTGTGTAGCTGTTTCTAAGGAAGAAGTTACTTTTCGTGTATCACTGTGTTAGAGAAGAAAATAAGAACAGTTGCTTCAGATTATTTTCATTACATTGTCCCTTCTCTGTAGGGGAAAAATAGGAGATATATTTTGAGTACTATTTTAAAGTGTTTTTGTTTTTTTTTTTTTCTTTTTTTTGAGACGGAGTCTCCCTCTGTTGCCCAGGCTGGAGTGCAGCCGTGGGATCTTGGCTCAGTGCAGCCTCTGCCTCCTGGATTCAAGCAATTCTCTTGCCTCAACTTCTCAAGTAGCTGGGACTACAGGCCTGCACCACCATGCCTGGTTAATTTTTATATTTTTAGTAGAGATGGGGTTTCACCATGTTGGCCAGGCTGGTCTTGAACTCCTGACCTCAAGTGATCCTCCTGCCTCGGCCTCCCAAAGTGCTGGGATTACAGGCGTGGGCCACCGCGCCCGGCCCCCTGAAGTGTAAATTATCCACATCTGTGACAAACCATTCAGTTTCTCACTTCTTCATTCAGAAAATAATCTTTAACATACAGCTAATTATGACTTTCCTGGCACTTACAGAAGGAAGGATGCTATAACCTAACTAGGTGGACTATCTGTGGATACTACTGGTAATTATGACACTAGTGATTTTGTAAGTGGACTATTTATATGGTACTTATTAAATTCAAATATGGGCACATAATGAAAGTGGGTATTAGCTGCACATACATTAAATGGAATTTAGTAATTTAAAAATATCGATTCATTTTTCTTGAAAAATTAAAAAGGGAGAAAATTCATCCATAATCTATGTTTTTTTTTTTTTGTTAAATTTAACTGTGGAAAATTTTTGGAAACTGGTTTCCTTAATATGCTGCTCAGCCAAAAGTTTTGGAAGGTCTCCATCAAGAAAACAAAATTATTCATCAAAAAATGAAAACTGTGTGGAAGAAACTTTTGAAGATTTGCTTTTAAAGTATAAGCAAATACAATTGGAACTAGAATGCATCAATAAGGATGAAAAACTAGCATTGAGTAGCAAAGAAGAGAATGTGCAGGAAGATCCTAAAACATTGAACTTTGAGGACCAAACTAGCACTGATAATGTCAGTATTACAAAGGATTCAAGTAAAGAAATAGCTCCTGAGGAGAAAACACAAGTCAAAACTTTTCAGGCATTTGAATTAAAACCACTCAGGCAAAAATTGACTTTACCAGGAGATAAGAACCGTTTGAAAAAAGTTAAAGATGGAGCAAAACCGCTTTCCCTGAAATCCGACACTACTGATTCTAGTCAAGGTAATGGAATTAAATATTTCAGTTAGTAATGACTGTTCTTTCTCTAAAGGAGTAACTACTTGTTTTGGTAGTGTACTTCATTTAAATGATTGTACGCTCATTTAAATGGTTGTAATTATCTGTAAATTTTGTACTTTCTGTGTAGACATATTATTGAATAATTACTAATTTTGTTTACTTTTAGTCTTTATTTCTTTATTTTTTTTTGCCTGACATGCTGGCCTCTATAATAGAATGTTATACATAAGTGGTAATAGTGGACACCTTTGTTTCCTAACCAAAGAAAATGGTTTTGACATTTGTCATTAAATATGATGTTAATTTTTTTGTAAGTATCCCTTATGGGGTAAAGGAGGGTTTTACTCCTATTCCTAGTTTGAAATTTTCAGTGTGAATGGATGTTAAAGTTTACAAAATCTTTTTTCTTCATTATTGGGATGAGCATCTAATTTATTCTAAGTTGTTAGTGTAATGAATTATATAATTTATTTCTAGTATTAAACCACCCTTGTATGCTTGCGTTTAATACAGTTTATGATATACCATTTTTAAATCATGGATTTGGCTTTTTTCTTTTCCTCTTTATTTTTAAGATGTAATTTATATACAGTAAAATTTACCTTTTAACATTATAAATGTGCGTGTAGTTCTTCAGGTTTTGACAAATGCAGACAGTGCGTAACCATCACCAGCCACCATTAATATACAGAATTCTTTCATCAACCTCAAACAGTTTCTCCAAGTGTCTTTGTAGTTACCCCTCCCTCAGCCCTTAGTTCACCTGGTAACCACTGATTTGTCCCTATAGTTTTGCCTTTTCCAGAATGTCACATTAATGGAATCATACAGTATATTGCCTTTGATTATAACTTCTTTCATTGAACATAATGTGTTTGAAATTCATTCATGTACTTGTATAGGTCAGTAGTTCTTTTTTGTTGAGTATCCCATCATACTATAGTTTATCCATTTCCCAATTATGTTTGGGTTTTTCCAGCTTTCGGCAATTACAAATGAAGGTTTGCTAGTGTTTTGTTTAGAATTTTACAGGCTATGTTCATAGCCTGTAATTTTTTCCCCCCTCTTTTTCCTTGCCAGTTTTTAGTGTAAGGTTGTGATACTCAAATCGGTTGGGGCTGGTTTCATCTTTATTCTCTGCAATAGTTTAAGATTGGAAACATTCTGAGATACTTGGTAGGTCTTGCTGCTAAGTGTCTGAGCCTGGGTGGAGTTTTTTTCCGAGAAGGTTTTAATCTGACTTTTCGTGTTTTCTATTTCTGTTAAGGCAGTTTATGTAAACTATATATTTTTTGTAATGTGTCTTTCCTATAAGTTACAGAAGTTATAAAAATTATTCTTAAGAATCTTTACTTTTTTATCTATAGTATTTATAAGTTGTATCTTTTTTTCCCTGCTCTCTTATTTAATTTCCCCTGAAATAAGTACATAGGTTCTTAAACTTTAATTTCCCCTGAAATAAGTACATAGGTTTTTTCTCTGCTCTGTTCTTGAATTTCCCCTGAAATAAGTACAGAGGTTTTTCAGCCTCTCTCCTATTAAGATCATTTTAGGCCATCAAATTTGACTTTAGTTCTGTCTCAATCAAGTTGGGATGTTTAACTTTTTTCATTTGTTCTAAATATTTTCTAATTTTTATTTTTCATTGACTTGTAGGCTACTTGAAAGTGTTTCTTCGAAACATGTAGGTTGTCTAGCAGTGTTTTTTAATTGATATCTAAGTCGATCATACTGTCAGAAAATAAGATTGCTATGATAACCAATCTTTTGAAATACTTAAAGACTTCCTTTATTGTCTAGTATGTAATCAGCTCTTGTTAAGAGTTCTGTGTATGTTTGAAAGAAGTTTGTAGATTACTTGAGCTTTTTGTGTTCACTTTTTTATTTTTTGATATGCTTGATCAGCTACTAAGAGAAGTTTGTTAAAATTTGCCAGTATGATGATGGATTTGTGATTTTTACTTTTTGCTTTAATTACTTTGAAGCTGGGTAATTAAGTCATTATGTGGTGACTATCTCTGATGTTTTTGCCTAAAAGACTATTTTGTCTTATATATTAATAGCCACATCATCTTTCTCTTTATATAATTTCCCACCCTTTCAGTCTTTCTATATCCTCATGTCTCAGATATTACTTGTACATAGTATAGAGCTGGTTTTAATTTATAATTCAGTATGACAATCTTTGTCCTTTAGCTTAAACATAGTCTACTCACATTTTTTATGATTATTGACATTTGGTTTTATTTCTTCTTTTTTTTTTTCTCTCTTTTTAGTCTCTTATTTTTCTTCACACAATTTTTTTTTTTCATTTGCTAGTTTGGTAGTTAAATACTAAATTTCTGGTCTTATATTCCTGCCAGTGTTTAAAGTTAATCAAGAACCTTACCCTTTCCCCAAAATACAAAGAATGATATTTGCTTAGTTTTGCCTATATTTTTAGCACTTTCTTGGCTGTTTGTATTATGTCTGGAATTATATATGTATAAATACATTCTCTTTGTGTGTGTGTGTGTGTGTGTGTGTGTATGTTTTAGATAAGGTCTCACTGTGTTGCCCAGGCTGGAGTGCAGGGGTGTGATCATGACTCAGTGCAACCTTGACCTCCTGGGCTCGGGTGATCCTCCCACCTCAGCCTCCTGAGTTGCTGGGACCACAGGCATGTACTACCATGCCCGGCTATGTTTTAAAAATTTCTGTAGAGACGGGGTCTCAGTATGTTGTCTAGGCTGGTCTCAAACTCTGGGCACAAGTGATCCTCCTGCCTTGGCCTCCTGAAATGCTGGGATTACAGGTGTGAGCCACCATGCTCAGTGCTTAAATACATCCTTTAGACATTTTTGCTTTTAATGTGTTTTTGCTGGGTGGAAAACGATTTCTGTTTACTCTTTTTAAAAGATATTTTCCCTGGGTTTAGAATTCTAGGTTGTTAATTATATGCTTTTTGTTTGTTGGTTGGTTTGTTTTTGAGACAAAGTCTTGCCCTATCATCCAGGCTGGAGTGCAGTGGTACTATCTTGGCTCACTGCAACCTCCGCCTCCTGGGTTCTAGTGATTCTTATGCCTCATTTTCCTGAGTAGCTGGGACTATGGCACATGCCATTGCACCTGGCTAATTTTTGTATTTAGTGGAGATGGGATTTTGACATGTTGGTCAGTCTGGTCTCAAACTCCTGGCCTGAAGTGATCCACCTGCCTTGGCCTCCCAAAGTGCTGGGATTACAGGCATGAGCCACCACACCCAGCCCCTAATTATGTTCTTACTAACAATATTTTCTGATTTTCATTGTTGATTTTCAAAAGTTATCAGTCTTAATGGTTTCCAATTTGAGGATAATCTTTTTTCTTTGATTGTTTTAAATATCCTTTTTGTCTTTGATATTCTGTAGTTGAACTGTGATGTGCTGATTGTAGATTTCTTTTTTTGTATCCAGCTTGGAATTTGTTGTTTCTTGAATCTGGATTGGATCTTGCGTTGGTTCTGAAAAAATGATCATTATCTCTTAGAATATTATCACATTCTCTGTCTTTTTTGGAACTCTGTATAGATGTATGTTATGTTAAGTCATCGTACTTTATCGTTCATGTCTCCTAATTTCTCTAAGTTTCTGTCACTTTGTAATTGACAAATTCTGGAAAATTTTCTCTGATACATCTTTCATTTTACTGATTCTCTCTTCAGCTGTATCTGATTTGCCTTAAGCCCACTTACTGAGTTTTAAATTTCAATTACAGTTTTTATTTTTATTTCATTTCTGTTTGTTTTCAAATCACTTTGATCATTCTTTGCACTTTTCTTCTCCCTGCTTGTAATTTCAGCTTTATCTTTGTTTCTTTAAACAAATTAACCATAGGTCTGTTTTGTTTTATCTCCTATCCCTGCTAATTTTCAATATGTCAGGTCTTTGGGGGTTTGATTTCTGATGTTTGTTTTTGTTATTACTCATTTTTGGTACTTTCTTTCTTGAACAGTTAGTGGTTTTGTTTTGTTTTGTTTTAATGTGAGATGATCATTTTCTTTTGAATTTTAGTGGTGGGAAGTTTTTGAGACCTGGGACAAAGATGCATTCCCCAGAGAGAATTTGCTAAAGACTTTAGCCTTGAAATCATTTCAACCCTCACTGGCTGCCCGTATAGTGTGAATTTGGTTGTAAACCTAAGTGATGATTATTTTGGGTTGCACATTCTCAGGGAGATGCCTTTCTTTCCCCTCTTCAATTTAGTACTATGATTCTATACAAGTAGTTTTGAAAAGTATAACACAGAGGGATAGAAAAGACACACAAATAACTATCATGGAGTATAATACGAGTTATGTGTGAAAGCCTAGAGTAACACAGGAAGGATTAAATATCCTCACCTGGATTTAGAAAGGTTTCATAGAGATGTAAATGTTTGATATACTTCTGGAAAAATGAATCTTTTCCACTGGGGAAGTCAGAAGGAACCAAATGAGCAGATAGGCACAGAGGGCTTTTTAAGGGCAGTGAGATTCATCAAATATGTATGCAGTATGAGAGATAATGGTGTTTTTTTGGTGAGTGGTTGGACATAAAATTATAAAAGGACAGGTTAGTGTTGGATTAGGAGGGGCGTTTAATATTTTGCTAAAGAATTTGAATTTTGTTCTTTAAACATTGGGTGGGCTGTTAAATGTTTTTAAGCAAGAAGATGATTGATCAAATGTGTGTTTTAGAAAAATAACTGGCATCAGTATGGAAGAGTGATTGGAGGAAAATCAAACAAGCTAAAATGTCATCTGAATCAGTAAATTATATAATTGTTTCTACATGTATATTTCCCCACCAATCCTCACCAAGACTCTACTGTCAAACTTATGTTATTGGTGAGCCTTTTTTCCATATCTCTTGACAACTCTTCTATACCTTCATAATTTTTTAGGCCTTTTACTCAAGCTTTATTATTGTCAATATATAAGCTTGCCTCTTATTTGAGGTAATCACACTCAATTCCAGCTTTTCACTTCCTGACCATAAACTTGTTTGTAATCCGTATCAATTTTCACTTCAGTTCTTTCATCCTGAGGGTAATGATTCTCTTGTTCATGGCCATTTTGTTTTAACTTGTTCCCCTGGCTCTAACTTCTTCTGCCTTCTCTGGGACCTTGCTTTATTTATTCTGCTTTATCTTGAACCATTGTCTCCTTAGGGTGTTCTTAATATATTTGACTTTTCCATCCAAAAATGGAAATCCTCTTCCACCTTATCCTACATTCTGTCTTAAATTATGTCAAGTATTCTTCCTCTTTTCAATAAGACTTCTGAGGCGTCTAGTCTGTACCAGCTTTTCGCTTTACCTCTCATTTCCTTATTAGCCCAGTACAGTTTGCTTTTCTACCCCCATCACAATACTGAAACTACTCATGGTAGTTTTCTGTGACCTAATTGCAAATTTTAGTGGATGTTTTTTATTTCATTCTTCCATTCATTGAAAAATTAGTTGAGCACTTTATTCCACGCTCTTGGAAATAAATTGGTGAGCAAAATAGTCACTTATGTTTTCATGGGCTTGCATTTTAGAAGGTAAAACAGTAAACATGATGAGTAAATTAACTGTTATGAAAGAGAAAAAGTATAGCAGGGTAAGTCAGAAAGGGATATTGAGGATACAGGTTGCAGCACTAATAGGGTGGTCAGCATAGGTATCTATTTGAAGGTGAGATTTAAAAAAAGACTGAAGACAGTAAAGGAATAGCCAAATGGATATCTGGTGGAAGAGGCTTCTACACAGAAGGAATAACTAGAGCAGTGATTTTCAAAGTGTGGTTTCTGGGGACTGCATTATCTGGGAACTTGATAGAACACAAATTCTCAGTTTCTACCTTGGATCTGTTGAACTGGGAGCTCTGGAAATGGGGCCTAGCAATCTGTATTTAACCAGCCCTTCTGTTGATTCTGCTACATGCTGAAGTTTGGTTGTTGCTGAACTAGAGAAATGACCATAATACAGAAGGATGCCTGACATGTTTGGGGAAGAACCAGGAGTCCTGTGCTAATACAGAAGAGAGAGTGAGGGGAATGAATAATGGGAGAGAAGCTGTTGGAGATGGCAGGAGGGCACAGATCTTACAGACAGAGCCTTGTAAGAACTTTGTTTTTCTATTCCTAGTGAAATGGTGACCTCTTACAGGGTTTTGAGCAAAGGACTGACATAATCTGTTTTTTTTATATATATATATATTTTTTTTTTTTTTTTTGAGACGGAGTCTCGCTCTATCGCCCAGGCTGGAGTGCTGTGGCCGGATCTCAGCTCACTGCAAGCTCCGCCTCCCGGGTTTACGCCATTCTCCTGCCTCAGCCTCCGAGTAGCTGGGATTACAGGTGCCCGCCACCTCGCCTGGCTAGTTTTTTGTATTTTTTAGTAGAGACGGGGTTTCACCGGGTTAGCCAGGATGGTCTCGATCTCCTGACCTCGTGATCCACCCGTCTCGGCCTCCCAAAGTGCTGGGATTACAGGCTTGAGCCACCGCGCCCGGCCTGTTTTATATTTTTAAGGCATCACTCTGACTGCATTGTTGAGAATATTCTGTTGGGGGTAGATATCTCAGCTATATTCAGTGATGTTTTTCTTCCTTTGAAATTTTGGAATTTCTGTAATGGATTTTAAAAATAACTTTCTGATTTTCCTTTTCTGTCTTTTGTTTGTTTTAAATAATTACTTTTCCTATGTAATTTCTTAATTTGTCATGTCCTCAGTGTCCCATTTTCTAGGGGTGTTCTCGTTGTGGTTTTAACTACTACCTATGTGCTGGTGACTTTAGCTCACATTAGACTTTTAGTGGGTAATATTTTAAATTCTGTGTGACGAGAACAGTGTTCATTTTGGAGGTTTTGAGTAAAACTTGAGATAATTTTATTGTACAGACCTATGACAGTGATAGAACAATGTCTAGTTACCCATTTGATCAGTTTAAACCTGCATTTATAATCTTTGTATAAAGTTATATTTATTGTCTGGAATTTGTATTTATTGAATTTATTGTATTTATTATTTTGTTTTTGTTTTTGTTTTGTTTTTGAGACGGACTCGCTCTGTTGCCCAGGCTGGAGTGCAGTGGTGCGATCTCGGCTCACGATCTCGGCTCACGGCAGGCTCCATCTCCGGGATGGACACCAGTCTCCTGCCTTGGCCTCCTGAGTAGCTGGGACTACAGGTGCCCGCCACCATGCCTGGCTAAGTTTTTTGTATTTTTAGTAGAGACAGGGTTTCACTGTGTTAGCCAGGATGGTCTCCGTCTCCTGACCTCGTGATCCACCTGCCTTTGGCCTCCCAAAGTGCTGGGATTACAGGCGTGAGCCACCGTGCCCGGCCTATTGTGTTTATTTTTAAGGTAGCAATGTAGTCGTAAGGTACCTGTTATGTTAATAGATGTTTGCCTCTATGCTACATTAAAGGGAGGTGCTGCCATTTTGTATAGACAAGTGAGATCCTAATCGACCAGTAGATTTCTCATGACCTAATGAAACTCATGTAGGAGAATAATTTAGTGTTTAATGTTTACCTGTTTATTTTTGTCTGATAGTTATTACTATTCTGTTGTTTTTAAAAGCTTGATCATTTTTCCTACAATGGGGCATACGCATTCCCCAAAATTACCACACTGCAAAATTGTGCAATAAAAACAATAGGGTGTGTGGAGAAAATGGGGTTAGAGGAACAACACTCAAAAACTTTATCCGTGGCACATAAAAGATAGGAATAAATGAAAAATGATAGTACAGCTTTGCATGTGAAATGGGGGAAAAAAGTGTGAAATATTAAAGTAAACATGTCAGCATTCCATAAAATAGACCTGAAGTATACCTGTGGAAGTGGAATGTTTGCTACTTATGAGTTATTATGAAGTAAAACAAGGAGTGTTACCTGAAATCAGACAGTAAATTGTAGTACCAGATGTGGATGGATGTGACTTATAACACACACAATGAACTTGGGTATTTGATAGATGTTTGAAGTGTATGTTTGTGTATTCCTACATGGCTCAGATCACTTGGGTGCAGTTTTCTGCAATCTTAGTGTTTCTCTGAGACAAATCACACATATAAATTTGTGTTATGCTCAAATTCTTTTCTTTTCTTTTTTCTTTTTTTTTTTTTTTGAGACAGAATCTTAACTCTGTTGCCCAGGATGGAGTGCAGTGGTACAATCTCAGGTCACTGCAACCTCCACCTCTCAGCTCCAAGCGATTCTCCTCTCTCAGCCTCCCTAGTAGCTGGAACTACAGGCACGCACCACCATGCCTGGCTAATTTTTTGTATTTTCAGCAGAGACGGAGTTTTGCCATGTTGCCCGGGCTGGTCTCGAAATCCTGACCTCATGTGATCCACCTGCCTCGGCCACCCAAAGCACTGGGATTACAGGCATGAGCCACTGCACCTGGTTGCTCAAATTATTTTCTACTGTATCAATCATGTTGCAACAAGTTCACATTTATAGACTAAGCCTTTCAGCAGAACTCATTTGTCTTGAAATTTGGTCATTGCCTTCTATTTACATTGATTGAGGTGCTTGATTAGTCATTTCTCTCTTTATTGAATAAGTTGCATATTCTTTGGTTCACTTGAGCAGTCAAATTAGGATGTTTGGAACATTGACAGGTGTGGTGTTATGGTAAAAACACTAGGCTTGAAGTTAAGATCTAATTTAATCCTAGTTTTGCAACTTCAGTTTTGTCATCTTAAGGAAAGATTTCTGAATTTTTAACATAATCTGTTTTAGCTACAAAAGTATCTCAACAGGATTGTAGATATTCTGTAACTTTATTATGTGATGTTTAAAGCTGTTGTAGATTACATAATATATAAATAAGGTTTCGTACATTGTTTCATCAGTCATCTGGGCCCAAGGCTAGATGTTTAGAAAAAAATGTATGGATAGACTTAATTTTATTGATACTTAAGCTGCCTCTACCGATGCTTTTCTAGGTAAATAAAAGACCAATTCTCTAATGCACAAATGTAGACATTGAATTTATTTCAGTTTAGAGGACTGGATTAATTTAGTCATCATTATATTCTATCAGTGTGGATAATCCAGTTGGTAATTAAGTGTTGCTGCTTGTTTCTATGCTTTATAAATTCTGTTCTTATTTGAAATGACTGTTTGTAGTTCAGAAGTCATTTTATTGAAAGTGTGGTTTTATTTTAATATTTTGAATCATTTTGCCTTATAACTTTCAGGAATGAGGCTGATAAGAAGTTTGTTCAGATTTTCGTTCTCTTTAATGGTGTTTTCCTTTGGTTGAGAGATTGAGAAAATGAGACCCTTTAATGATATCTTTAAAATAATTACCAGATATTATATAGGATTATTTTATTTTAGATTGTGGCTATCTTTTGGAGTATTCAAAAAATATTATTTTATTTTAAAGGATTACAAGATAAAGAACAAAATTTAACAAGAAGAATTAGTACCTCAGATATTCTGTCTGAAAAGGTAAGATGCTGCAAGACTGTATCATCTCTGTATGACCCATTTTAACATTGCTTTATTTTGTTCTTTTGTAAGGGAAATTGTCTTACTTTCACTCATTTTCGTTCATCATTCCTATAACTCCATTTGGACATAAGCCTTAAAGATAAGAAATTCTGTAGTGACATCTTGGAGTCTCTTTCCCTGGGTTCTGCAAATTATGTTTAATTAAATGTTATATATATTCATACAGGATCTTTTTTTATCATTTGTTTTTTTGAAACCTGTAATTTTGATCCAGATATTTTCTCCATTTTTTGTGGATTATCCTGTGTGGGTAAGCTTTTGGAGTTAGGTAGACCTTCACCTGGTATCAAATTCTATTTCCACTTCTTGTTAGCTGAGTGACCTTGTATAAACTATTTAGCCTTTGCTTGCTTCTATATTCTTTTCTACAAAATGAACTTAACGTCTTCTGTTATCTGGGTTGTTGTGAGGCTTCAGTATAATGAAATACAGAAGCATCAAGCACTGTGTTTGAATGTAACAGGCACTCAATAACCCAAGCCTTTTCAGTTTGTTGAATTAGAGATCTGAAATATCTGTAGTTTTTTTCTTTTGAGATTTCAGTTTGTTTTTCTGTATAAATTGAAATGATTTAAATGGTCTAGGAGCTTTAGGAAAAAGATGGCCCTGAATTTAGAAATCATACTATAACGTACACATACATATTTTTAATACCCTCACAATTACCCTGTGAATCAAGTTGACATTATGTACATTCATAGATGAAGTAAGAGTCCTGTGAGTAGATTAAGTGACTTCCCTAAAGTTATATAGGAATTAAGTGTCAGAGCAAGTAATTTAATGAGCTTGTCTGACTAATGGGAACTAACGAGCTTAGCTCTGTGCTCTTGCTGTTCAAGTAGCTACCTCACGTATCATATAGATGGGGGACAGAATCAGTGGTTTCTTTCATGCCAAAGGGAGTAGTTGCAAAAAATAATCAAAAGTCTCACTGGGCGTGGTGGCTTATGCCTGTAATCCCAGCACTCTGGAAGGCTGAGGTGGATTGATCACTTTAGCTCAGGAGTTTGAGACCAGCCTGGGCAACATAGTGAGATCCCAACTTGAAAAATTAAATAATTTAAAACAAAAGAAAACAAAAAGACTTTGTCTCAGTGGAACAGTGAGGATAGCTTTATTTTAGTTAAACTCTCTACATGAGTACTGTTTAATAGAATTTTCTACAATAATGGAAATGTTTTATAGCTGTATTCTCCAATATGGTAGCTGTTAGCTACACGTGGCTATGAAGAACTTGAAAAGTGATTAGTGTGGCTTAGGTCCCAATTTTTAAATTCAGTTTTGGTAATTTAAATTCAAATAGCCACATGTGACTCATTGCTGCCATATTGAACAGCACAGCTCTACAATTTCAGTACTAGACAATAGAATTTGATACAGTTAAGTGACTGAGAACTTAAAAAAGAATCATGATAATTTTAAAATTATTGCTTACATGTAGTTATCAACAGTGGAAAGGGTAACTGTATTCTGGTTTGGTTAAATTGAAGTACTGAAGTGTATGACAGTTCAGGGCTTATAGTAGTTCATATTCAGGTGAAATCATTAGTTAGTATCCACTGTTTTCTTTATGTTTAACAATAGAAATAATTTAATTGGATTTTAGGAGAAAATATAATTACGATTTACCTATAAGAAAAAGTTATTAGATAAGTAGGCCTTCATCTTTTGGAATCTTTTTTGACTCTTCCTTTCCCTTCTATGCACATACATAAAGAAAAAACAGAGTTTGTGTTTAACTTCAAGGGTGGGGAAGACAAAGCTATCCTCCCACCCCTTATTAAAATCAATGGACTCTAATTATGAGCCTCTTCGGAGCCTCCCATTTTTCAGTTCTATTTTTGCTATTATGTGGAGAATATTTCGAAAGTGAAATGCAAAAGTTATTTCAATTTGAAAAAAGTCTCAGACATCTGCTTTTAACATTATTGTCCTGTTTTAGCTTTCCTGAAGAAAAGTCTTATGTTTTCAAAATATATAAAATATTCAGATAAATATCTGTAGCCTTAGAACACGTCAGCTGTAAGCAAATCTCTGTAGATTTTTCCCTTCACTAGTAATTTAAAGAATTAAAAAATGTACACATAAAAGAAAATTTGTACATTTGAATCTTGAGTATGTCTGTTGTTCTCTATTACTGGTGAGGTCAGCAAATCGCGTGATCAGGGAACCACTTCCTCCTTCTTTCCTTACCTCTCCTGGGTCTTATTTCTTCATTGCATTTGCTGCCATCAGACTTTTACTCTTTCAGGTTTGGGAAGCCCTCTTAAATGTTAGCTACTAACTCTTTTATTTTTTGCATTATCCTGTTCTATCAGTTGTACCGCCTCACCAACCCTACGTTACATATATACACATACCTTCTGCAGACTGATCTTCTATTCGTATTTTAGGAATTACATTAGAGTCTTAGGCTATGGGAAGTAAATTAGTTTACTTATTTTATCTGTATTTGCCTTGTCATATTTGCCTTCAAACTTTAAATTTTTATCTTATAAAGGATTTGACTTGATAAAATGTATAAGCTAAATAATAGAATTAAAAAATTTTAGCTCTTTCTTTTTGCTTTAAAGAAACTTGGTGAAGATGAAGAGGAACTATCTGAATTACAGCTTCGCCTTTTGGCCCTTCAGTCAGCCAGTAAAAAATGGCAACAAAAAGAACAGCAGGTGATGAAAGAAAGCAAAGAAAAGTTGACTAAGACGAAAACTGTACAGCAAAAAGTTAAAACAAGTACAAAAACACATTCGGCCAAAAAAGTTAGCACCACAGGTGATCATTTTTATTAAATTCTTGTGTTTTTGTTTTGTTTTGTTTTTTGAGACAGAGTTTTGCTCTTGTCACCCAGGCTGGAGTGCAGTGGTGTGATCTCTGCTCACCTCCACCTCCACCTCGCGGGTTCAGGCGATTCTCCTGCCTCAGTCTCCCAAGTAGCTGGGATTACAGGCGCCCACCACCACGCCCAGCTAATCTTTTGTAGTTTTGATAGAGACGGGGTTTCGCCATGTTGGGTAGGCTGGTCTCAAACTCCTGACCTCAGGTGATCCGCTCGCCTTGGCCTCCCAGAGTGCTGGGGTTATAGGTGTGAGCCACTGCTTGTTAAATTCTTCTAGCTGAATTCATGTATCAGTATAGTTTTGGGATTTTAATTCAGAGTTTTGAGTTTGGGGAATTATAGGGCCCTAAAATGAAAGACAGTCTTATATAAACAACTTAAGAGGAGCATCATCATTGATGAATCGATAATGAAAATATTTTTTAAGACTCTTATTTTTCTTTTATCTCCTAACAGATACTAATGTTTATGTATTTTTTATTTAAAGCTAAACAAGCATTGAGGAAGCAGCAAACAAAGGCATGGAAGAAGCTACAACAACAAAAAGAACAGGAAAGACAGAAAGAAGAGGATCAGCGGAAACAAGCTGAAGAAGAAGAGAGAAGGAAAAGAGAGGAAGAAATCAGAAAAATTCGAGATCTCTCAAATCAGGAAGAACAGTACAATCGATTCATGAAATTGGTTGGTGGCAAGAGGAGATCAAGAAGTAAAGTAAGAAATGCAAAAATATAAAATCAAAATGTTACTCTAAGTTTCCTTAAAGTCTTATTTCATAGATTCTGTCAAATAAGAAAGCTTATTTTATAAATAACTCTTGGAAGAAAGGAAGGTAGATTATAATTGGGAAAGCATCTTTTGTAATCGTAGGTATTAGAGGACAAAATGAAGGCTAAACTTATGATTAGCAGAGACTACTTTTAGCTTTTTTACCATTTTCTATTTAGGTGAAAGTAGGATTACTAAATTGTGAAAACAAAATGGCTGTTTCTTAAGTACAGGGGTAGAATTTCATTAGTTTTTCATTGTTTAGTAATGTAGATTGACAAGTGTGTCATGACTAGTATGGACTATTTTAATGTTAAATCATCATATAGTAATAACCTTAGTGCATGTGGCTATTTTGTGTTTAGTGGTCAAGCATTTGTTGAACATTTACTATGTATATGAATATACTTGTTTTCTCTTTTTCTCTCTCCCTCCCTTCTTTTATCCTCTGCACCCAAAAAGAAGAAGAAAAACCCAAAAAGAGTACACTTGAGAATGTATTAATGAAGAATAGAGGGATATTAAAGAGTAAATTCATTAATTGGAGTTAGATTTGCTTAATCAAGGAATATTGTAAATATTTATACTTTGAACTTTTTTTTTTTTTTTTTTGAGAGGGAGTCTTACTCTTGTCGCCTAGGCTGGAGTGCAATGGCATGATCTGGGCTCACTGCAACCTCCGCCTCCCAGGTTCAAGCGATTCTTCTGCCTCAACCTCCCGAGTAGCTGGGATTACAGGCGCCCGCCACCACGCCTGGCTAATTTTTTTGTATTTTAAAAGTAGAGACGGGTTTTGCCATGTTGGCCAGGCTGGTCTCGAACTCCTGACCACATGAGCCACCGCACCGGGCCAATAGAATCTTTTTCTAGAGATAAATATGGTATTATTTGCACATTATTCTTTACCTCCTCCTCGAGAGGTTTTGCGAGTTTTTAGTTTATTATAAACTGTCTCTGAGTGAAACATAGTAAGAAGTAGATAAGAAAACAGCATACAATAGGTAAACACATTTACCCAGAATTTGTAGTTTTCAGGTATCATTAATTTATTCATAATTAAAATGTTTTTGAATTTTTAGAGAAATGTTCTCTATGTAGTCATGACGACGTAAAACTTGCTTGTATTCCTCTAGTTTCTTAATCATACAGAAGTCATAAGTGTACACGAGTTTGATGTCATTTTTACAAGAAGAGCTAATTATTTAGTGGCTTAACTAACAGTGGGGGATTTCATCTGTATAGCTAGTATTTTGGAAATTCCATTATCTATCTCATACAGTTATGAAACGTCAGCCAGTGTAGCTGTCATTTAAATTGAATCTCCCAAAGATGTGATAGGCACATCTAACTGAATCACCATGATTTTTTATACTCTTCCCTAGAAGATAACTATCAGTTCTTTTGTGATTTGTAACCCAAGACAGAAAATGCTTTGAAACTAAAAAAAAGTGTTGTATACTTAGTCTTCAGATCCTGACCTGAGGCGATCCTTAGATAAGCAACCTACTGATAGTGGAGGAGGCATTTATCAGTATGATAACTATGAAGAAGTTGCTATGGATACAGATAGTGAAACCAGTTCTCCAGGTATGAGCCAAAACTTGAAACCTTTGTGTATTTACATGTATTAAATAGAGAATAGTCTTTATGGTACTCAAAACCTTGAAAGAAATGTGTCATGCAAGTGAGATTTGCTGATGAACTGTATGATGATAGACATTATTTGTTGTTATAAATACTTAGCAAACCTCAAATAAGTAATATTAACCTTTATTTCCGAGTGTTTCTAGATAGCCTTTAAATTAAAAAATAAATAAATAAGGCATTGTTTAAACTCTTAACTATTGCTCCAGAAAGTGAAGATTGGACCGGATGCAGTGGCTCACGCCTGTAATCCCAATACTTTGGGATGCTGAGGTGGGCAGATTGCTTGAGGCCAGGAGTTGGAGACCAGCCTGGCTGACGTGACAAAACCCCGTCTCTGCTAAAAATACAAAAATTCGCTGGGTGTGGTGGCATGTGCCTGTAATCTCAGCTTCTTGGGAGGCTAAGGCATGAGAATTGCTTGAACCTGGAAGGTGGAGTTTTCGGTGAGCTGACATCGCTCCACTGCACTCCCACCTGAGTAACAGAGAAGATTCTGTCTCAAAAAATAAAATGAAAAGTGAAGAATGGAAAAGATGAGAACACTACTCTTTAGAAAAACAAACTCTTGATGTTTATATCCAAGATTCTTTCTGCTTTAGTCAAAGAACAAAAGACCTTTTTTGCTATTTGGCTTCCTGTCTCCTTCTAGTATGATAATTTGTAGAAATTTTGAGACAGAAAATTATACTAGTGGCATCTCAGGAAAGACTAGTTAGAACTGGTCAGGGCTATAACTCTCCTTTAGGTTGCATTGTCTAGAATCTGACTTATCTTTGAGGGCCAGAGACTTGATTTTGTTGATGTTCAGGGGTGATTGGCTGTGAGAGACCTATTCCTTCACAAATAATTTAAAACACGTAGGACTGAGGCAGATAACAGAATGCAGTTGGCATTCCAGGAACTGGAGAATTTGGAAGAACACATAATCAGTGTATTTCTCCCTGTAGTCACATGGTGAGACCAAATCAAAACTAGAATCCTACTTTGGTGTATCTAGACTAGAGACAAAACAAAATATGTATTATTTGGCTAGTGTTTACCAAAATGCTCATTTTTCAGGTTGTTATTGTAAGCTGGTATATGATAGTCTTACATTATATTATGTTTTGATAACGTAATTTAACTTGCTTTGGTCAATCTTTAATTTTCTTATTTTCAGATTCTTGGAGATGATTCTTTGTAATTCCCAAGTATTGACAATATTATTAATACTTCATTTCTATAAAAGAACTTTATGATCTATGCTTTTTAATGATTTTGTGAAACATGTAGAGAACATACTCTCTATGCAGCTTTGTCTAATTTTTTTGCCACATTAACTGCAGATATTTATATATATATTTTTTTCCATTCAAGATCAATTTTTTTCTCAAATTTTGCCAACACAAACATACTATATTTGAGGAAATGTGCATTAAAAATATCTTTTAATTCGCTTTATCTTGTATTTAAAAAAATGTTTTCCATATAGAGTTTTTCCCTTGAGGGGGAAAAAAACAAGATAATTCAAATACAGTAAAAAACCAGTTTAGGATCTGAGGTTCCAGGCAGTTGAAAAATTGCTGGAAAGTTATTTTTTTTTTCACCAGGATACCACAATGGCAGAACAACTTAAAAATCAGAATACTAAAATGGTGGGGTGGTCCCGGCAGCTTCCCCATCCAGCTGGAGCACACAGTGCCACCAAGGTAGAGAGGCCAGGGTCAGAGGCAGTGGGCATCCCAATGCCAGCCTGCCCATCCATGTAATGAAAGCAGAGCAGGAACTGCAGCTGCATGGCCTTGGGAGCAGGTAGACTTGTGGAAAGCCAGGCTTTGAGGCTGCAAATACTTTGAGTACCACTGGTGGTCCCAGAGCAGGTGGAGCCTGTATCTGCACCTCTGTTCCAACCAGCCTCCTGGCACAGGGCTAGGCCCACATCCTGGCCTCTGCATCTTGATCTGGGCTGGGACTGGTCCACCTCGTATTTCTGGCCAGTGCTCATACTGTAAGCCAATCACAAGTTATGTCAACTTCTTTCCTGTGTTGAAAAACAAGAATGACTGGGCACAGTGGCTCACACCTGTAATCCCAGAACTTTGGGAGGCCGAGGTGGGAGGATCACCTGAGGTCAACAGTTCGAAACCAGCCTGATCAACATGGTGAAACCTCGCCTCTACTAAAAATACAAAAATTAGAGCCAGTAGTGGTGGCTTGCACCTATAGTCCCAGCTACTCAGGAGCCTAAGGCAGGAGAATCACTTGAACCTGGGAGGTGGAGGTTGTAGTGAGCTGAAATCGCGCAACTGCACTCTAGCCTGGGCACTGAGCAACACTGTGTCTCAAAAATAAATAAATAACAAGAAAGCTTGACACAGAATCAAGAGCACAGTAGAAGTGCCTACTGTTAATACTATTAACTGAATCAAACACCAGCAAACACTTTCCCCGTTCTTTGTCCTCCTGGATGATCCTGACATGGTGGGTAGCATGAACCAGCACGTAATGGACTTCATCTTTTCTGCCAGTAGTTTCTAACATTCATGAATGAAGGCTCCTCTTGCTGAGGGCACCCTCTACCTTCCCACTGTCCTTTCAGACCCCCTAGTGGCGGGCCCAACACAAAGGTTAGAAAGTCCTCAGAAGCCTCTCCTGGCACCTGGCAGTGAGTCAGGGCTGGTTAAATCTGGATAAGGACAGTGCAAGCTGGAGGGCTTTCCTTGGAGATCAGTGCACTCACTAGGTCCACCCTCTCTCCCAGGTACTAGGAAGGGAAAACATGCCAAGTCCGTAAAACGAGAGCACCATCAAATGTCAGACTATTAAACATTCAAATGTTCATGGGGCAGAACACTGAGCATAGACATAGCCTCTCTCTACCACCTAATAACACAAATGTGACACAGCAGCCACATCTGCAGCGCTATGTAAAATGTTCCAAAGATTAGTGTAGATTCAGATGATCTCATTTGGGACTCAAGTCAACCCCATATAAGGCATGTGGATAATAATGTATTGACTTGTGAGACAACTGGGATAAAGAAGAAATGTTAGATTTTCTCTAAGATTATGTAGTTAGTGGGTAGGGTAGTAAGAGTAGTCTTTGAAACTGCTGTATTTCAGTGAGCCTAACAAGTCATTGAAGATAAAATACACAATTATTTTTATCTGCTACCAAGGAAGAAAAATGCTGAGATGCATCAACTGTAATTATTTCAAAATTAAAATGTGAAAAAATGTGCACCTTATTGACTAAATACACTAAGTCATTCTTCTCATTCCTGGTTTTATTTTCTTTCAACACAGCTTATATAGTCCATGTCCTCAACTTTTTTTTGCTCCACAAGAAGGGAATAATGAAGTCACCACATCATTGTTTTCCTTTGGCTAGGGCACTTTGGCAGGATTCAAGGGAATTTTTTGTTTCATTATTTCTTAAAAAGTATGCTTGTGGTTTTGCTGTTTGTGTGTGTGTGTGTGTGTGTGTTTTAAGTGTGCTTCTAGCCTTTCCTGCTCTATTCCCTGCTCTCATCATTAGGTTAAAAGTGGAACAAAGTGAGAGTTTTCAGGACTAATCGTTAGTTTGAAGTGAATGACTGACTTTATGATGATATGACAATTTTAAATGGCTAGAGATGGACTTATGAGCGTTAAAGATTTTATCAGAGGTTGATAAAATCTAATTTGCACTCCACCTAGATGTATTTCTTCAAACATAACATAAACCTAATGTATTCCTGGTGAAATATTTCTGTTACTAAACTCTTAACAAAAAAATTTGTTTACAGCTCCTTCACCAGTGCAACCGCCATTTTTCTCTGAATGTTCATTGGGGTATTTTTCTCCAGCACCATCTCTTTCTTTGCCTCCACCACCTCAGGTTTCTGTAAGTCAAAATTGATTTCTAAGAAAATTATTTGATCTTGTCTTTTCTAATTTGTTTTTAAAAACAAATGAATGGTTAGGTTTAAAGACGGCTTAAAAAATCAGAATTGCTTACGAGAATTAATAGCAATGAAATATGTAGAATAAACAGTTGATTAAAGCAGCAAGCTATCCATTTGGTAGATTTTTTTCATAGCTAATTTTTAATTTCATGTTGACTTTTAGGTACCTATCATGTTTCCTTCTTCTCTTTACTGTTATCTAGTAGCTACTCAGAAAATTTATTCAAAAACAGAAGTTATCTACTGTTTTGGACTGTCTCTTTTTTAGGGAATTGGAATTTACATGCATTAGGATGCTTCTAAAAATTGATACTCTCTCCTTTCTCCTCTTTTCATAAAGATGGTTATTTTTAACTTGAAAATCCAGCAAAAGAAAAGCATTTTCTATGAAGTTAATTTCTTTCCCCCCGTCTCCAGTCCTCCCACTAAAAACAAAACAAAACCAAAAAACGAAAACAATAAAAGGAAAAGGAAAAAAAGGAAGTAGAGGAATCAGACATTAAAAGTTTTGACATTATGTTTAGGTTGTGAGAGCCTAAGATCAAATTGAGTATCTCTCAGTAGGTGTAAGAGGGAACCTTTCCGTTTCAGGAAAGATGCCTAGTGTGTTTCTAGAACATATATGGTGAGGGGAATATTAGAGCCAATAGTGAGAGAGAAAACAGCACTTTCTTCGTTGTAATGTTTTCTTTTGGGAAATAAATAAATGAACTAAATGCCGAGAGAAATACTGGAAGATCTTTGATGCAAATACATACCCAAATACAGGGATTTGTGTAAAATTAGTTTCCTTTATAGATATTCTATAAGAAGCCATTTTAAGAGAGTAGTGGTGATTCTTCTTGATACTTAATTAATGATTAAGGTACTCTGGACTGTTATTCACAGAATCCCTTGGTTTCTAATTTTTATTTTTTACTGAAATATGTCTCGGGTTTCAGTATCTCTTCTTGCTTTCAGGTAGTCATCTAGAAGGAAGGACCCTGTATAGTTTGATATCTGTATTTTCTAGAATGCTAAATGTATATAAGAATGAGAACAGAGAGGTTTCTATAATTTTCCTTGAAGTTAATAAATGTTTCAAATTTTTTTTTTTTTTAAATTTTAAAAATAACACTTTTTCGTGGTTGGCTATTGATTTCTGGGTTTGTTTTGAGGTTAACATATACTTTGCTTACTATACTTACAGCTAAAATAATAATATAAAGTTTATTTTTTTCTAGTTTAATATTGCTGCAGAGATAAGCATTTGAGTTGATAAAATTTGCATTGTAATTATTTCTTTTTTAAAAAAATAGTCTCTGCCACCTTTGAGCCAGCCTTATGTGGAAGGCTTGTGTGTTTCTCTTGAACCTCTACCTCCTCTACCACCATTACCACCTCTCCCACCTGAAGATCCAGAACAGCCTCCAAAACCACCTTTTGCAGATGAGGAAGAGGAGGAAGAAATGCTGCTTCGAGAAGAACTACTTAAATCTCTAGCAAATAAAAGAGCTTTTAAGCCAGAGGTAATTTAGGTACCTGAACCTCTAGGTGGTGCTCTTGAGCTTAGCTTTACGGTAGTCCTACTTTTTTCTGGTTACTTGGGATTCATTGGACTTTTCTGCCAAGTGGGGATAATTCTAACATGCTCCAGATTTTTAAAGGTGGCAGAAATTTATTTTTATTTGGAATGTTTCATATCTTTCTCTTCCTTATATAGGAAACATCCAGTAATAGTGACCCACCTTCACCTCCAGTTCTGAACAATTCACATACTGTGCCAAGAAGCAATCTATCAATAGTCAGTATTAACACAGTGTCTCAGCCTAGGATACAGAATCCAAAGTTTCACAGAGGACCTCGTCTTCCACGAACTGTGATCTCGGTAAAAACAAAAATTTAATGCTACTTTTATTCAAACAGTTGTGAGAAATTTCTATGAAGTTTAGCTGTCCTGTTTTCTACCCCTTAGTTTATTTATATATATACATATATTCACATATAAATACAAATTTTTAAAATTTATTTTTAATTTATTGATAAAATGAGAGCAACACCTTCACTTGAAAACTGGTAGAGTTTGGTGATAGTGTGTTGGGGGAGTTACTGTTTTCATCAGAGTGGTATACTTTCCTCTGTCATTTCTTCAGCTTTTTTTCTATAGAAATTGGCTTATTCAGATTTTCTATCTTTTTGGAGTCAAAATTTTAATAAATTGCATGTTTTTTATTTCTCCCATCTCTTTGTATACTTTGTGTATGTTTTTCAACCAATGACTATACTATTATGGAAGAAATTATTAGTGATGTTTATTAAGGAAGTTGAAATGATAGTTTGTTTCTATCTTGTTTTCTAATGGCTTCAAAGTAAAATAAATAGAACATAGACAAGTTGAAATCTTGCCTCTGTTAGGTAAGCCAGTTTTGGCAATTTACCCTCTATATGTAACCACAAAGTATAGAATTTTGATAATTATGTAAAATTAACAAAATAATTTTTCTTTGGTTTTAAAAGAGTTAATTTAAATTGCATTGTGGTTCTTTATATAGAAAACGAAAATAAAATTTTAATGAGAGTAATTATAGTATAGAAAGACTTAAAGAGTATACAACATTTTATGTCTTGGGCATGTAACCAGTATTGGTTGATACAGTGGATTATGTAATACAACCCTAGAAGGAGACATAAACTGTCTACTTGGAGCCCATTATTTTTGTGGATTGAAATTCAGAGAGGTTAAATGATGTCCTTTTGTTATCACGAGTAATAAATATATTGTCTTTGCAGCTTCCAAAGCATAAATCAGTGGTTGTAACACTAAATGATTCAGATGATAGTGAATCTGATGGAGAGGCTTCCAAGTCAACAAATAGTGTTTTTGGTGGATTAGAGTCCATGATTAAAGAAGCAAGACGAACTGCTGAGGTAAGTGCAATAATTAAAGGTGGAAAGAAAGATGACCTTTTGGCAATCAGTAAAGTTTATTTTTTCCTGAAAATTAAACCATAAAGTTACAAATTTTTAATAACATTGATTTGTGAACATATTTTAAGTATTTGTGCTATGAGGACTTTATATAATGAAGCATGTATCAATGTAGATTGATTTTACTATTAAAAGTTTCCATTATTTGTGTTTCCTATTAAGTGTTTCCTTTTTCAAAATAGTAAAATTGGTTGGATAATTGTTGTTTGTAGTAAGGAGACTATTGTTTTAGAATTATGTTGTGTTACCAGAAAACAGTTTTTATTAAAATTTATTATCTTAAATACAACTTCTATCCTTTTTTCCCTATTTCAATTGTTGTTTAGCTATTAAATAATATAATGATTTTCAGACTGTAGATCTTGACTACTTGGTGGCATATATAATTTAGTAGTTATCAATGAACATTGTTTTAGAAAAAAGAATAGAAAATGATGAAGACATTCCGGTATTTCTAAATAAATTCAGTATACGCTGGGTTGCAATGTAAAATATAAATCTTAGTATGGAATTTTGGAAAGCTGATGATCTAGTTGACTTCAAATTTTTTTTTTTTTTTAGCAAGCTTCAAAACCGAAAGTACCTCCAAAATCTGAAAAAGAAAATGATCCTTTGCGAACACCGGAGGCTTTGCCTGAAGAAAAGAAGATTGAATATAGATTGTTAAAGGAAGAGATTGCCAAGTAAGTGTAATTTTATGTAATTTACATTAAAAGTATGTGATGTTTTCAAAACTTCTCTTACAGAGTTCATTGGCACTAGGAAATGAGTGATGATAGTTTTATCCAAGATACAGAGTTAATGTTTTATAACTCACACAGAAGAGGGAGCTGGATGGTCATACATAGACTTGAATAGAGTGATGTGCTGAGACGTAACCAGCTTAGAAAAAAGATGAAAACTCTCAAAGAGAAGGACTCCACTATCAACTTTGAATGTTAACTTGGGTCATGCATATTGGTCATCATCTTTATTATTAGTCGGTGTGATTAATATTGTTACTGTATGAAGTAGAATACGTTTTAAAATTAGTTTAAGTTTATTCTTGGGTATAATGCATATATCCTTTTTGATAATTTTAGCCGTGAGAAACAGCGTTTGATTAAATCAGATCAGCTGAAGACAAGTTCATCATCTCCAGCAAACTCTGATGTGGAAATTGATGGTATTGGCAGGATAGCAATGGTTACTAAGCAGGTTACAGATGCAGAATCCAAACTGAAAAAACATAGGTGAGCCTTGTTATCTTCACATATCTAATTGTTCCTGTAGTAGAGAAATATATTTTTGTGGTATATGTTATTAATAAGCATACTATAGAATTATACATTTTCTCACTTAAACTTTGTAGAATGTAGAAGTCTGTCATTTTGTTGAATGATACTACATTTACATAAAGTAATGATATTAATGTTTAAGTAAAAATACCAGCCAGGCACGATGGCTCATGCCTATAATCATAGCACTTTGGTAGGCTGAGGCGGGTAGATCACTTGAGGTCAGGAGTTTGAGACCAGCCTGGCCAACATGGTGAAACCCTGTCTCTACTAAAAATACAAAAAAAATTAGCCGGACATGGTGGTGCATGCCTGTAATCCCAGCTACTTGGGAGGCTGAGGTGGGAGAATCGCTTGAACCAGGGAAATGTGTGCCCACCGCACCTGGCTCAACACTGAGTATTTACTATAAGTTTTCAACAGTAATTGACATTACCTCAAGCTTAAATGGTGTTTGTTTTTTTTTTTTTTTAAAAGAGATCAGCCTCATAGTTACTATTATCAGTGTAGCAGTGTTACTTTAAATACCTGTGTGATGAATATAAAAATATTCATCCCTTTAAATTTTTATCTGTGTCCCATTGTAGATGCATTTTTAAAAATTGTGTTACTACTTTGAAAATTTTTTATTCTGACAGTATTAGTCTGCTCTTGTAGGGAAACATTAACAATAATTTTGTTATTTCTCATTTAGGATTCTCTTGATGAAAGATGAATCTGTTTTAAAGAATCTTGTGCAGCAAGAAGCCAAGAAGAAAGAATCTGTTAGAAATGCTGAAGCAAAGATTACAAAACTTACAGAACAACTTCAAGCCACTGAAAAAATTCTTAATGTTAACAGAATGTTTTTGAAGAAGCTTCAGGAACAAGTAATTATTTTAAAATACTGTAGTCTCCCATTTACTACACATTTTTATAGGCCAAATTTTCTGTAAGACAAACCACCATATACTAAAGCCAGCAAAATATGTGTAACCTATAGTTTCTCATTGATAAATAATATTGGAATATTTTTATTTTCAGTTGAATAAAGCTGCGGTGTTTGAGAAGAAGAAATTTCCTGTTTTAAGGTTTTCATTTACATTTTGAGGATTATTCTATATTTTCAGATTCACAGAGTTCAACAGCGTGTTACAATTAAGAAAGCTTTGACTCTAAAATATGGAGAAGAGCTTGCTCGGGCAAAGGCAGTGGCTAGTAAAGAAATAGGAAAACGTAAACTGGAACAAGATCGCTTTGGGGTGAGTTTTTTATAGAAATATTTTACTTTTAGAAAGCAGAAAGTTTTTATGATAGTTTTAAGGGTAAGATGTATATATAAAGTAACTCTTTGCTATAAATTCCAAGAGATTAAGATTAAAGCTTTGTTTTTAAATGACATCCACATTTTTGGATGCCTACTTTATTATTTTGTCTTGACTTTGTTTTTTTCATAAGTCATAGATTAACTAGCAAAACTTTTGGCTACTTATGTTAAACTCTGTTTTATTCTCCATATTGATTTAGTTTTGGAATGTTAGCATTGTATGGTGGGGATAGCACAATTATCTTACCAGAAGTTGTTTATAAAATCACAGTGATGTAAAGTATTTATATCATTTTTCTCCCTTAGCCAAACAAAATGATGAGACTGGACGGTTCTCCAGTATCAAGTCCAAGAAAGCATTCAGCAGAACTAATTGCTATGGAGAAAAGACGGTTACAAAAGCTGGAATATGAATATGCCCTGAAAATTCAAAAATTAAAAGAAGCCCGGGCCCTTAAAGCAAAGGAACAACAAAATATCTCTCCAGTTGTGGAAGAGGAACCCGAATTTTCTTTACCTCAACCCTCACTTCATGATCTGACACAAGATAAATTAACCCTGGACACTGAAGAAAATGATGTTGATGATGAAATTTTGTCTGGTTCAAGCAGAGAGCGAAGAAGATCCTTTTTAGAATCCAATTATTTTACTAAACCTAACCTTAAGCACACTGATACCGCTAACAAAGAATGCATAAACAAACTTAATAAAAATACGGTGGAAAAACCAGAACTTTTTCTAGGGTTAAAAATTGGTGAATTGCAAAAATTATATTCAAAAGCTGACAGCCTAAAACAGCTGATTTTAAAAACCACCACAGGCATTACAGAGAAGGTTTTGCATGGTCAGGTAATTGAACATTTCATATTTTCTCTAAAATCTGGAATTCACCCCAGCCTTACTTGCCTTACAGAATTTTATTTTCTTTTGCAGGAGATTTCTGTAGATGTGGATTTTGTCACAGCACAAAGTAAAACAATGGAAGTGAAGCCATGTCCTTTTAGACCCTACCATAGTCCTCTTCTAGTTTTTAAGTCCTACAGGTATAAAAGAAAGATTCAATAGCTTGAATATTGGGATTTCTCTGGTTTTTAATATTTTACCTTGAAAATTTGATGATAATGAAAAAGCAGTTGAATCATTGCTCTTGATAACCAGACTTAACCCTTTTAAGGAACATAAAAATTAAGTGTCCTGCTATTGGGCTCAAACCACACTCTTGGATTTATCAATTCGTATCAAATTCCAGTTTCTGGCTATTGGTAGAAATGTGGAGAATTTTGGATTTCTGTTTGTTAGGGATTTTAGGAAAAATAATTGGAGTCTTAGAGGTTTTTTTAATTTTTGATTTTTAATTTTACTATTATTCAGTGTAAGAAGTGCATTGGCCAGCCTTCAGAGTATTTATTTAGATGTTTTCAAATGATTAACTTTGTGGGTCCCCCAAAGTTTTTAGACTTTTAAAAGTTGTGAGAATGTTAAAGGGTTGCATGTTTTTATCTGAAAATTGTAAGGCACCTTCCAGGTAGTATAGACTTTTTCCAGATTTTCTTGTCTTAGCTGGTGATGTGTGTAAGAAATACCAGTATTATATACTATTTTATCATGTGGTGAGAAACTACTTTTAGAATACAAGGTTTTTTCTATTTCAACTGTTTTATGTTCTTGGTAAGCGGCTTGTTTCTATCACTTGATATTCTGGGTGTTTTCTCGAATTAATTTTGGCATTAATTTAATTTGATAAAAACCTCATAAATAGTAAGTATGGAAATTTTAACTTGAAAAAGAAAAACTAAAGTTTTCTTAGTTTTCTGAGGAATATTTATTGGGCATAATATACCTGTTCACTCTTTTCACCTTAGATTTAGTCCATACTATCGAACCAAGGAAAAACTTCCTCTGAGCTCAGTGTCATACAGTAATATGATTAAACCGGATCAGTGTTTCTGCCGTTTTGATTTAACAGGAACATGTAATGATGATGATTGTCAATGGTGAGTAGTTTTTGTGAACCTTCTGTAATTTGAAAAACGGTCTTATTTGCTTAACTTTGATATGTACATGATTATCTTTTCTGTGTTTTTTTAATCTTAGGCAGCATATACAAGACTATACGCTTAGCCGAAAACAATTATTCCAGGACATTCTGTCATATAATCTGTCTTTGATTGGTTGTGCAGAGACAAGTACTAATGAAGAAATTACTGCTGCAGCAGGTTTTTAAAGATTAAGTCTTATTCTCTCTCAAATGAAAATTGAATTTAAGCAACTTAAAAATTATATATTTAGTTGTTGACATTGTAAAATACTTACTATAATTCAGTGTGTTTACCCATAATGCTTTATCTAGATTTGCTGTATCCAGTATAATTAAGGTAAAAATTTACTTCCTCTGTTAACTAGCCACATTTCAAGTACCCAGTGGCCACATGTGGCAAGTGCATGCCAGCACAGATTTAAGACATTTCCAACATTGCAGAAAGTTCTTTGGACAGAGCTCATTTAAATATTTAGTTCCATTTATTTAAAAGAAAATATTAAGCTATTTGTATAGAAACTTTCCTGTTGATTTTACTTACTGTTTTCAAAAATAGAGGAAGGCTGGAAATTACGATGGCTGTTGTTTCCAATTCTATAATGAAATAAGACTTCATACACTTTGTGTAGAAAGCAGAGATTACTGTCACACATTGTGAGCAAATATTATTAAGCTTTTTCTCAGATTTGGTGCCAAGTAATAAACCTTAAGCTACAAATCTTTTGAAAGTAAAGGAAATAATAATTACTAAATTTGGTGTTATCACAGCCCAGAGTGATTGTAATGTCATTGAATCTATTTTATTGCTCCCAAATTGGGACTTTAACTTAATTATTTAGTTCATTTCAGGAACTATTTTTTTTTTAGCCTAAATTGGGTATATGTGGTAGGATTTGCTATAGTAGTTAAGATAATACAGGCTTTGCCCTTTCAAATGCCATAGGTGTTACTGACTAGTACCATATACTCGCCTTTAATTCTTAAACTAGTTCACATCATACATTTTAATTATCCTAGTCTCTTAATTGATATTTGTCATGAAGATTGCATTGCATGTATTTCAGAGAAATACATTGAGAAACTTTTTGGAGTAAACAAAGATCGAATGTCAATGGACCAGATGGCTGTTCTCCTTGTTAGCAATATCAATGAAAGTAAAGGTCATAGTAAGTACATATATAAGAGAGAGAGAGAGAGTGTGTGTGTGTGTGTGTGTGTGTGTACTGCATCTCTTTCTGAAAAGGACTTTTTAGTTTCTGTATGACAGATTTTGTTGGTATTATGTTCTTAATGTAAAATACATATCATTTCAGGCTGGGTGCGGTGGCCCACGCCTGTAATCCCAGCACTTTGGGAGGCCTAGGCAGGCTGATCACTTGAGGTTAGGAGTTTGAGACCAGCCTGGCCATCATGGCGAAACCCCGTCTCTACTAAAAATATAAGAAGTAACCGGGTGGTGGTAGCGTGTGCCTGCAGCCTCAACTACTTGGGAGGCTGAGGCAAGAGAATCACTTGAACCCAAGAGGCGGAGGTTGCAGTGAGCAGAGATTGCGCCACTGCACTCCAGCCTGGGTGACAGAGCGAGACTTCTGTGTCAAAAAAAAAACAAACAAAAAAACACACATATCATTTTTAAGATGGAGTAAATGTAGTTCTTTTCAAATATTGAATATCCTTCAAAATGTTAAAAAAAAAAAAAACTAGTTATATCAATTAACAATCTTCTCCTATCTACTTTAGCTCCTCCATTTACAACCTACAAAGATAAAAGAAAGTGGAAGCCAAAGTTTTGGAGAAAACCTATTTCAGATAATAGCTTCAGTAGTGATGAGGAACAGTCTACAGGACCAATTAAGTATGGTAAGAAGTTATGTAATTTAAGATCCAGAATTATTAAATTGTGGTGTTCCATCTTTATTTAACACTTTGCTAATCCTTTGGTGTATCAGCCTGCCTAGTTAAAAAAATTTTTTTTGTAAAAACGATGCCATTGGGTTTTTAGGCAGTACAGTTAATTCACTGTGCAGGATTGCCTCTGAAATTGTAGGATATTTGTGTTCATGGCTTCTCTCCAGTAAATGCAAGCAGTACTGCTTAGTAAATAATTATGACTGCTTCAGATATTTCCAAACATACATTACTTGTCTGGGAAGGTAGCTTCCATTTGAGAACCACTGCCCAGCCTGTGTCCTCCTTAAGGGCAGGTGTTCTATTTTACTTCATCTTTGAATATGTTTTCTGACATGCAGAAGGCTCAAAAAATGAGAATGAACAAATGATGGATGAACTAATGAACAGAATAATGTATGAATGAGTACCTGTATGTTTGGCACATTTTACTTTCTAATTTCAAGTTTGCATTATTTGTGAATTAGCAAGTATCCAAGAGATGAATACTATTATATACTTATTTACACTAATGTAACACTTTTTTTCTAGTTTAGATATAGTAATCTTTATAAAGTATGACTTTTAATTACTTAATTATAATTTGCAATTTAACAAACGTGAATTCATTTGATGATAATGAAAAAGCAGTTGAATCATGGTTACTGATAAGTCGACTGAAAAGGTAATGTCACTTAGCCTTAAAATAGTAGAGTCCTAATTACTCCTTTTGTTCTGGTGTAATTTTTAATAGCTCCTCTTTCCACTCAGAAGGGTCCTGGTTTGGGCGATAAATTATGTCATAGCTCTACTTTAAAGCTATGAGCTAGTACATATCATTAGAATCTTTAGGTTTTTAAGTTATTTTAAAGATGAGAACAATTGTTTTCTTTTTCTTGCATCTGTGGACTAAAGAAAATATGAAGCTAATAATACTTTTTTTTTAAAATAGCTTTCCAGCCAGAGAACCAAATAAATGTTCCAGCTCTGGATACAGTTGTCACTCCAGATGATGTCAGATACTTTACAAATGAGACTGATGACATCGCTAATTTAGAAGCAAGTGTGCTTGAAAATCCTTCTCATGTACAACTTTGGCTCAAGCTTGCATACAAGTACTTGAATCAAAATGAGGGGTAGGTCAGCTTCAAATCTTTGTGTAAACAGTTGCACATTTATATTTTTATGTTTGAGGTTTTTTTTTACCTATGGTAATCAGTCAGGTTTCTTTCCTAGTATCAATGGAGTCTTTGTTTTTTGACAAAGCCAAAAGCATTTTATTGTTTAAAAGCTATTAGACAAGTTTAAGATTAGATCTTGAGTTTGTGTGCATGGCTCAGTGTATGGGTAATAAATTATACTAAAGTTTTTTACTCCAGTAGGCTCTTATTTCAAAGTAGGATTAGTTAAAACAGTAAATTCTGATTGGTGGAATGATTGATTATTATTTTTTTAAAAAATCATAGTAGTCATAGTTTTTTAATAAAATTATGATAAAATAATGGTGGAACGGGTTAAATTTTGTTAATTTGTAATGGATATTTAAAGCTTATCTGAGAACCTCCAAATTATGGTGAATTTTCTTTTTGTCTCTGTGTCATACTAAATTATATGTATTTAAATAAGGTAAATAGTAATAACTTATACAACCAATAGTCTGTATTGCAAATGGCATCTTCTAACTTCTTGGTAGTATAAATAAGCCAAGAATAGTCTTTTCATAATTATAACTTTATAGTTACAATAATTCAAGGGTTTTTTTTTTTTTTTTTACACATTTCTTTGAAATATTTGACTATCTTAAAAGCTTCTAAATAAGGCAGTGCTGCAGAGTGCTAATAAACCCACACATGCCTGGATGTGTTGCTTATTTAACTTTCCTGTGTGTCTTTTCCATGTTAATGGGATAAATACAGTGTTTTCTTTTCTGACTCATTTACTGAGTGAAGGCCAAAAGAACTGTACATTATTTTATGAATAGGATCATGAGAAAGAATTATCTTCTCCAAGAGATAGCAAGCCCTTGACCGTTGAAAAGAACTATTATACTGAAAGCTTTGATATTTTGTACTTGCAGTAGCTGGCCTTGAGAGAGAGTCGTTTAACTTTTCCCATTCTTGAACAGTGTAAATCATAAAAGGTGTTGCTGAATATAGACATAAAGCACATTTGAAGTTGATAATCTTAGTGGTTTTATAACACTGTGCTTTTGTCTGTGGTAAATGCTTACTGAACGTTCATTTAAAACATTGTTGAGTCTGTGGAAAATCAGAAACTTTCAGGCACGTGATTTAAAATCTTAATCTAGTACCCCTTTTCATAAGTGATCCTGGCTTCTTGGTAAATTCTAATAAAAATGGAATTTTAAAATTGATTCATTGTATTAGCCCTGTTTAAATTTTCAAGCAGGTTCTAAAAAGCACTCCCATCTTTTCTTTTATATATACAGGGAGTGCTCAGAATCCTTGGATTCTGCTTTAAACGTCCTGGCGCGAGCATTGGAAAATAACAAAGACAATCCAGAAATTTGGTGCCATTACCTCAGATTGTTCTCAAAAAGAGGAACCAAGGACGAGGTGCAGGAAATGTGTGAAACAGCTGTTGAATATGCTCCAGATTATCAGAGCTTTTGGACTGTGAGTAGAAAAGATAACGTACATGTGCGTGTGTGTGTGTGCGCGCGCGCGTGTGTGTAATCTTTTGGATGATCTTAAATATTGATATGTAGCTTAATAGAGCATATGCCTTATCTGAATATGGATATAATAACCTTACTTTCAGTTTCTAGTAACCACAAAGCCACTTCTGGATCAGAATTTAGACTAAGCAGAAGAAAATATTTAGTGAAGCAGTGATTTTTTGTTGTTGTTAACTTTATTAGTAAAGAAAAAATGTAAAATTATTAAAAATTTCACACTTGCCTATATTTACACAGTTTTAGTTTGGGCAGAGTTAAGTGTAGCTTTTGCAAAACACCTGAAAAAATTATTTCTTTTAAATTTATCTTAAATTGCCTCTATAAAATTATAATGACTGCCAGGAAACATTTTTGTCTTTTTATTATTTGTTTCCATGCTTATAGAAATAATCCCAGTCTGTAATTCACACTAATATCTAAAGTTGCCAAGCTAAAAACATTTGATTGAGAAAAAGTGGCCTCCTCTTCTTTCTCCAAGAGAATGAGATGGTTTTTTTGGCTGTCAATTTTTGAGACAGGGTCTTACTATGTCACCCAGGCTGAGTGCAGTAGTGCAGTCATGACTTACTGCAGCCTCTACCTTCTGGACCCAAGCGATTCTACTACCTCAGCCTCCTGAGTAGCTGGGGCCACACATGTGTGCTACCATGCCTGGATAGTTTTTAGATTTTTTTGTAGAGATGGGTTCTTGCTCTGTTGCCCAGACTGGTCTTGAACTCTTGGGCTCATGCAGTCCTCCTGCCTGGGCCTCCCGAAGTGCTGGGACTAAAGATGTGAGCCACCATGCCCAGCCAAGAATGGGATGTTTTTTACCCAGACTTAAAATTATAATTGATCCACTTGAGAAATAAAATAAATATTCACCTGAACTTTTATCACCTGAACTTGGGAGCCATTAGTTTCAGATAAATTTTTAAATAAATCTGTTGCTGTCAGATCTGTCATTTACTTACCAACTGAAGTTGTGAACCTGATAGATTTAGATAACATGATACTCCTTAATAAACTTCCTCCTCTATTTCTTACTCTTTGAACGTAGGTACTGAACAGATTTGGATAGTAAAGGATGCTTGATTTTATTTTTTTTCTTTTTTGAAACCTAGAGCATTGTACCAAAGTGAATGTTGTTGATCACTACAAGATTTTATAAGGTGTGGAATATTTAAAAGTTGTAATATTTTTCTTTGAAGTTGTTTGGTCTTTAATGTGTTTTGTCATGCATTTCCTTTCTTTTTTAAAAAATCTTTTTTGAAACGGAGTCTTGCTGTGCCACCCAGGCTGGAGTGCAATGGTGCGATGTTGGCTCACTGCAACCTCTGCCTCCCAGGTTGAAGTGGTCCTCCTGCCTCAGCCTCCAAAGTAACTGGGACTACAGGCATGCACCACCGAGCCTGGCTAAGTTTTATATTTTTAGTACAGGTGGGGTTTCACTATATTGGCCAGGCTGGTCTCAAACTCACGTGATCCACCCACCTGGGCCGCCCTAAGTGCTGGAATTATAGGTGTGAGCCACTGTGCCCAGCACATTTCTAATATAAGTCTATTCTCAAAACTTTTATATAGTCACACACCTAAGCAACACAAATTGTATGTGATAATAATTGTGAACTTTGGGTATTCATCCTGATCTTGCTGTGATTTACCTTTTAAATCAGGGAAAAGAGAAATGAAATTGCTTCAGTGATGACTATAAGAGTATATCTGTATTGTTTTAGTTTTCATCTGATTCCACTTTTCGATATGTGATAGAAGAGGAATCTAGGTTGTAGTACTAGAAGATGGATTTATACATTTTTACAATTATCCTTTTTGCAGAAGTTGAAGATTTACTATGAGATGGTTTTTTAATGAAATGTGAAAAGTCTGTAGTTTTGGTTTATTCCCGTAAGGCAAGATTAATAATATAAAGGCCCTTTGGGCAGTTTTTACACCTAGAAAGCACCTTTGAAGAGAAGGATTATGTATGTGAGAGAATGTTGGAGTTTCTGATGGGAGCAGCCAAGCGGGAAACATCCAGTATTGTGTCCTTTCAGCTTTTGGAGGCTCTTTTGTTTAGAGTTCAACTGCACATATTTACTGGAAGATGCCAAAGTGCACTGGCAATTTTACAGGTAAGCACTTGTTACAGGATTTAATTGCATTTTGTAGAAAAAGTTTAAAAGGTCTGTCTACACTGTTATCCATAGCATTATTTAATGGTTGAAAGCACAAGATTTGGATTTGAATCCTTGTTCTTCCACTTACTACTAAGTCGTGTGACATTGGGTAAGTCTATGACTATTTCCTCATTTGCCTGATGGGTGTAGTATCTTTTTTTATAAGATACTAATAAGTCGAGTTTTTATAAGATACTAATAAGTAGAGTTTTATAATAAGTAGAGTTTTTATAAGGTTTCAATGAAAGTATTTTATGTTAAGAATCCACAGATAAACTTCAAGATTCAAGCCATAAGGGAAAAAAATCAGTCTGATGAAAATAATCTATATGAGTGTGGTTTAAAAAAATTTTTTTCTTTTTACTGTTTTGTCTTTGTCTTACTAGATTTTAAGTATCAGGACACTTAAGATGTACCAACAAATGTGACCTTTTTATTATTTCATAAACTTTAGCATGGTAAAAATTATGTTTATCTGGTATTGACATCTCTAAATAATTTTTTTATCAAAAAATTTAAAATTTTTCCTAGAATGCATTGAAATCTGCTAATGATGGAATAGTTGCTGAATACCTTAAAACAAGTGATCGATGTTTGGCATGGTTGGCCTACATACATCTTATTGAATTCAACATTCTCCCTTCAAAATTTTATGATCCATCTAATGATAATCCTTCAAGAATTGTTAACACAGAATCATTTGTAATGCCATGGCAAGCAGTTCAAGATGTAAAGACTAATCCTGACATGTTGTTAGCAGTTTTTGAAGGTAAGTATAAAGTTTATAAATTGTAATATCAACTGTTATAACATCAGTGTTTAGAACATTAACTACCCATTATTGTGATTCTCCATAATTAAGTGGAACAAATTTATATCTCTATATTGCAAGTTTTAGTTTCACAATTTATAAGGCAAATTAAGTATTGAATCAGAGAAGATGGTCACTGGCATCTTTGAAAACCAGTAACTGCATGATATTACATTATCTTTCTGATTGTGGCAAAGGGTATCTGTTAAATGTGTAGAGAAAATAAATTATGTAAGTTTGATGAACTGATTAAATCAGAGAACTAGGTACCTTTTTTTTTTTTTTTTTCAGCAGTCCATTAAGGTGGAAGTTTAAAGATTTGTATCTTGTCAGCCAATTAATATTTTCTCCATCAGTCAGTGAGGTTGGTTGCTTCTCTATATTAAATGATAGGCCTGTTGTGGAACACATTACAAGATGTAAAGCCTGTTCCTAAAAGAAGTATATAGCCTAGTCAGAAGATAAAATCTATACATTTGTCATAATTATTAAACATATAAGGCCATATAACTGTGTGTTAGTATATAGTCTAAACTGTATGCTACATAAAAGAGACTAGGGCCGGGCACAGTGGCTCATGCCTGTAATCCCAGCCAAGGAGGCATAGGCAGATCACCTGAGGTCAGGAGCTCGAGACCAGCCTGGCCAACATGGTGAATCCCCATCTCTACTAAAAATACAAAATTTAGCCGGGCGTGGTGATGCACGCCTGTATTCCCAGCTACTCAGGAGGCTGAAGCACAAGAATTGCTTGAACCAGGAGGCGAAGGTTGCAGTGAGCTGAGATCACGCCATTGTACTCCATCCTGGACAACAGAGTGAGACTTAGTCTCAAAAAAAACAAGAGACTAGGATCTGTGGTTTATAGAATTATTTGATACTGGCCATGAACCCAAAGGGAAGAGATTGTTATAGATTGGCATGATAAAGGAAGTCTTCATAGAAGAATGGGGACCTGGAGCTAGATGTTGAAGCATGGCTATCAATATGACAAAGTGGGTCTCCTCAGAGATGGGAGTGGACCCTTGTCTTATTTATCGTTTTACTCCTAAGGTCCTGTAAGGATGTGTGGCAAAATATTAAGTGCTTATTAAATGCTTGTTAAATACCCAGTGAAGGAAGGAAAGTAAAGAAAGGACATTACTGTTAGGGGAGTTAAACAAAAAGCAACAGGTAGATGGGAATTTATGCAATGGATTTGAAGTGTGATTGGGAAAAGGGATAGGTCTTACCAAACTGAGAATTCTGTGCTGGACAATCGTAGTGATTAAGCCTGATAAGTAGAATGATACTTGATTTTCAAGAACCTTGAAAATGTGGTAGACTTGATGGCAGTAGAGGTTCTTTAAGAAAGAGAATGTGCTGGAAGAGAAATTACACCAATGGTAGGAAAACCAACCAGAAGCTGATGGCAGTAACTGAAGTGCAAGAAAAGTATCCTGGGAAGGAGGGTATTAGAGACGTTTTAAGTTACCACATAGAAATACGTGGGAGGGGGGAGGCAGGGGGAGGCAGGGGCGGGTTGCAGATTAAATGTCGGGAAAGAGGAGAAGGAATAATCAAAGATTTCAGAGTTTTGAGACTGGGAAAAGGAAAGTGTCATTAATAGAAAACTGGTAAGTTGGGAAGACTGATTTTGATGGTAGGAGTAGTATTTGTGATTGTAATTGGTCATTCAAGTGGAAACGATTGTTGGCGGTAGGAAATAAGGAAGTGGACCTTGGCCATGCGTGGTGCCTCACATCTGTAATCCCAGCACTTGATAATCTGCTGACGCAGGTGGATCACCTGAGGTCAGGAGTTTGAGACCAGCCTGGCCAACATGGTGAAACCCCATCTCTACTAAAAATACAAAAATTAGTCGGGCATGGTGGTGTGTGTGCCTGTAATCCCAACTACTCGGGAGGCTGAGGCAGGATAATTGCCTGAACCCAGGAGGCAGAGGTTGCAGTGAGCTGAGATCGTGCCACTGCACTCCAGCCTGGGCAACAGAGCAAGACTCCGTTTCAAAAAAAAAGGAAGTGGACCTTACTTGGACAATTATCAATACATAAGTGGATTTGAGTGTTATTCACATAGAAGTTACTGTGTTATAGAATGCTTTACAGTTTTTATAATGTGCTTTTGAAGTAAATTATGCAGTAGTTGAGGCTATGGGATATTTTCTCTGAGGAAATGAGATTTAAGAGCATAACAGTAAGGAGTAAAAGGGACAGTGGAGTCATTAAAATGAGAATAAGAGGAAATGTAAACAATCTCTTGGAAGCAGAAGCAAGAAGAAATTAAGAAGAAGAGGAAGAACACTGTCAAATGTTAAATAAAATGAAGGTAGAGGTGAGCTTTTATGTTTGGTTAGATATGAGTCCTTATAAGTGAACCTCAAGAGTGTAGCTTCAAAATGATTGCATTCACTTTTAAACTCCACGGATCTGGGAAGTTGTGGTACCATTGGGTAAGGAGGAAATGGTCACAGCTGTGCAAAGTAAAACATTGTACCATTTAGTAAGTAGCAACAAGATCAAGAAAGAACTCTTTACAAGGGGAAAAGTGTGTTTTGATGGAGTAAGGAAAGGATCTAGTTTGGAGAGACGTTCAAATGGCTGTGGGGCAGCAGGGCAAGACTTCCTTTGCAGTTGTCAGGGAAAGATGAAAAGATAATTTATTCTATAATTTTTTTTTTTGAGATGGGTTTTAAAGAATTTAGGATAATAGAGATACTTGTTTAAATGAAAACACTGATAGATGCAAAAGCTCATATGGGATGACTTTATTCTTACCAGGAAAGTTGAGGAAAAGTTGAAGGAATTGAATTTTAGGATTTTGGAGATTGCTTGAATAACTTCCTTTGAGTAAAAGCCAGAAGCTCAGTAAAGGTGAATAAGATGATGGATGGGTAATCAAAGGGAGGGGTCATCTTTTCCCATTGGTCTCTAGGAGTTGAAGTAACACAGTCAAATACTTCATTTTTATGATTGACATGATTCATGTTGTGATGTTTTTGGGTAGATGCGGTGAAAGCTTGCACAGATGAGAGCCTTACTGTTGAGGAAAGAATAGAGGCCTGCCTTCCACTTTACACAAACATGATTGCTCTGCACCAACTCCTGGAGAGGTACAACTTAATTGCCAAGCAGCTCACCTTGTATTAAAAAGTGATCTTTTCATGTCTTTAACCTTTTTGTTTTTGTTTTTGTTAAGGTATGAGGCTGCAATGGAGCTTTGTAAATCTTTACTGGAATCATGTCCCATTAACTGCCAGTTGCTGGAAGCCCTCGTTGCATTATATTTGAAAACAAATCAGCATGACAAAGCCAGAGCATTGTGGCTTACTGCATTTGAAAAAAATCCTCAGAATGCAGAGGTTTTTTATCATATGTGCAAATTCTTCATCTTACAGGTAAAAAATAATGTATAATTCTTAAATATGATGCTTTTATATTTCAAATTTCCCTGTCAGCACCAGGAAGTGTTTCCTGGTCCTTTTACCGTTTGCAAGCTGTGTTAGGTGTTCCTTCTCTCTCTGCCATAGTTCTACCTTAACACTTATTACAGTGCTTTGTAATTTTATTCCTAGCTACTTTAATATATGCTATACTAAACTTCTTGAAGGCAAGGAACATGTTTACTCATATTTGCAGCCCAACGCCTACCACAGTGCTAGATGGCTAGTACGTAATTGATGGATGAAATGTGAGCCTATGGTAGTGTTAGAGGTTAAGCTGTTTAATCGTTAGTGGAACTTAATTCAGAGAGTAAAATATAGTAACAGTTTTCTGAGTATGTCTCAAACTCATCCCCTCCGCCCCTTACCCACCCAAGAAACTTAATCTAATGAGTACTTTTTTAAGGCTTTTTTTCTCCCTTGTGACATTTTAATTAAACATTGTAAGCCTGATATATATCCCCCTCCCTCTTTTTAAAATAGAATCGAGGCGATAATCTTCTTCCATTTTTGCGGAAATTTATTGCATCCTTCTTTAAACCGGGGTTTGAGAAGTATAATAACTTGGATCTGTTTCGGTAAGTTGTAGAATTCTTAGTTTGTAGAGGAATGAGAGATAGCACAGTTCAGTAGAAAGATTACAGTTTTTTTCTTATATGATTACATTTTAGACTGACTTTTTAGTACTTGAATACCCACTTAACAGAATACTCGAAACAGAATAAATAGAACAATAAAAATGGAGGCAAGATGGAAAATTCTTTAACATTCTTTGGATTAAACACACTATACAAAGTAAGGCATATATTATAACCATAGTAACTCATTCTTTTACTTTATTATTATTGTTGTTAATTTTAGTACTGAATATTATAGCACTTAGTTATCCCAAGGCAATCTCAGTGATTTTTTACAAAATATATTTTCATTTATTTGATTGGTTATCAAAGTGAATATAAGTAATATGCCTTTTTCTTTTTTTAATTCTGAAGAGAACTACTCTAGCCCTTGATATGTCATGGAGTAAGAAGTTTCAGAGGATCCTTTTCTCAACCATTAATTTCTTAATAGCTCATATAGAGCTGTACTTACTGTCTTTCCTGAGAGTTCCTATTCCAACAATAAGTCGTGGCAGGTTTTGAATAATGATTTTTTAGGGGGGAGCCTCTTAAAATTATCTTTCCTTTGTCCTCCCCATCTCTTTATGGGGTTAGCAAACTTTTTTTTCTTAAGAGCCAGAAAGTAAATATTTTAGGTTAGCAGGCCATGTAGCCATGAAGTCTATTACCACTACTCTACTATATTGCTTTATTGAGAAACCAGCCACAGATGAAATGTAAATGAATGGTTATGACTGTGTTCCATCCAGTACAGCTGTTTACAAAAATAGGCATGGTTTGCTGATCCTAAGTTAAAGCAGAATCAAAAGGAAAATATTTTATCACGACATACTCTATTTTGTATTAGGAAGAACTGAGAGAAGAAAGACCTAAGCTGAATGTCTCTCAAAAAAATTTATTGTAGAAAATACAGATGAGTGAAAATAGAATCTTAAAGCCCAAATTTTTTTAAGTAAGTGATCTATCCAACCTAGACCTTGTTTTTTTTGTTGTTGTTGTTGTTTTTTTAATTTTACTTTAAGAAATGGAATCTCGCTCTGTCTCCCAGGCTGGAGTGCTGTGGTGCAATCTCACCTCATTGCAACCCTCCGTCTCCCAGGTTCAAGCAATTCTCCTGTCTCAGCCTCCAGAGTAGCTGGGATTACAGGCGCACACCCCCCACACCTGACTAATTTTTTGTATTTTAGTAGAGACAGGTTTCACTGTGTTACCCAGGATGGTCTTGAACTCCTGAGCTCAGGCAATCCGCCTGCCTTAGCCTCCCAAAGTGCTAGAATTACAGTTGTGAGCCACTGTGCCTGGCCCACCCTAGAACTTTTTGTGAACATGGCAGTTTTATTTGAGATTTGGGAACACTATTCCCTTCCAGACTTGAGTCTTTATATGTGTCCTCTTATGGTAGCAATTTATTGCCATAGCAATTTTAGTGCCCTTCCCAAAGGACGCTTCTTTCTGCTCTGTTACATCTATGTTAATATTTACAAATAATTACAAATGAAATAATTCTAAATGCAAATTAATAGAAAATAATTAAACTTCTATAAGGAGTTTAGAGATTTTTCAGCTTCTCCATACTCAGTTTCTTCCTCGTTTAAATTAGTTTGCTTTAACATCTCAAGCTCAGGCAAAGGACTAATTCAAGGCTGAACCAAGCTCTTTAGAGATTGCTGGTTCTGGTCTTCCCTTGGGCACGGAGATAATGGGTTTAGTTTAAAAGAAAATGCTACCAATTTCTGCTTTGGTAACTAATCAAAGATTTTCAGATCTTCTTGATGCCAGCTTAATAAGGCAGAATAAATAAGCATCAATAAAAATTTGAAAATGAGTTGTCTCCAAATATATTCTCATTACTAAGTCATCTTTATTATTTTGTAGAAATAGTCATAATTCACTGAGAATTAAGAGAAAAAGGTATTCTGTTTATAGCTTATTTAGACAATAATGAAACCCTTGTTTACACAAAGATTATGCATTTCTGTTCATTTAGAAAGTCTTTTTCATCAGCTATTAGGAGAATGACGATAGATGAGATAATTTTTGGCCTTGCCATACTTACTGTATATTGATACAAGTTTTTAAAATTTATAAATTGTCAATGTTTATTAATAGGAGAAATCTGCTCTTAATTGGTTCAAAACACTTTTAAAATTTCATGAGTAGAAATTGTTAAGCAAAATACTTAGCATTGTAATTTTTACCTGGAGTTGAATCAACTCTCTATGTGACATTTAGTATAAAGATGGCAGGCAGAAGGAACTAGATAGGTAATTTTCATGTGTTTCAAGTCAATTTGAAGATTAAGTAGATAGCTAGAAAAATTAATTTGGGGATATCATTTACTTTACTAAAGTTAAACTAGGGATTATAGTCTTAAGTAGATTAGATTTGAAGTTATCTCTTCTGACCATCTCAGTTTTCAGTGAGGATGTTAAGGGATTAACTCACGGTAATGTAGCTTGTCTTGGCAAAGTCAGGATTGTAACCTGACTTCTAGATGTTCTATTTCTTCTCTTTCTTATGTTTGCCCCTGATGCAGCCTGTCTAATTGATTAAGACTTGTCCCCTTGCAATTATTTAAAAATTTAAGACAAATAGTTATACTAGATTGTCATTTTTGTGATCAATGTATTTCCTTTAAAAACGTTGTTCTTAAGGATGGTGGTATCTTACACACAGATTAAAATACATTGGAGGGAAAGTGGACTTAGTCCAGTAGAATTCTTTACTGATTGACTTTTTAGAGTTACTGGGATTGACTTACAATCCTAGTAAGTATTGTGGTTTTTCAAGAAGGGGCTATAATTTGTAATATTTCCCAAACTTATTTGATCATAGATCTCTTTTGACAGGTACCTTATAGGCTAATGTGTTATAGAATACACTTTGATATCATGTCTAAAATTAAACTTAAATGGGTTGTATGTGTGTATGGCTGTATGTGAGAGAGATTACTTTCAGACATAAGTAATCTTTTTTTTTTTTTTAAGAAAGGGTCTCACTCTTTAACGTGGGCTGGAGCACAGTGTTGTGATCTCAGCTCACTGCAATCTCTGCCTCCTGAGTTCAAGCTATTCTCCCACCTCAGCCCGGGAGTAGCTGGGACTACAGGCATGCACCACCACGCCTGGCTAATTTTTGTATTTTTTGTAGAGATCTTGGGGTTTCACCCAAGTTGTTAGCCAGGCTGATCTTGAACTCCTGACCTTAAGTGATCCACCTACCTCGGCCTCCCTAAGTGCTGGGATTACGGGTGTGAGCCACAGCCCCAGGCCTTGTAAATCTTTTTTTAACAAGAAAGTACAGATTTCATTGGAAAATTTCAGATACTTGGTAGACTCATTTGTTCTTTTTAAACTAGGTTTAATTAGAGGATTATGGGGTTTCGTTTAATCTTGGGGATAGAATAAAAAATTCATTTTAGGAGGAGAGTTTTTCATATAGGTATAAAATAATAAAATTGTGGCCAGGCACAACGGCTCATGCCTATAATCCCAGCACTTTGGGAGGTTGAGGCATGTGAATTACTTGAAGCCTGGAGTTCAAGACCAGCCTGGCCAACATGGCGAAACACTGTCTCTATTACAAATACAAAAATTAGCTGGGCGTGGTGCTGCATGCCTGTAGTCCCAGCTACTCGGGAAGCTAAGACATGAGAATCACCTGAACCTGGGAAGTGGAGGCTGCAATGAGCCGAGATTGTGCCACTGCACTCCAGCCTGGGCGACAGAGCGAGACTCGTCTCAAAAACAAACACACACAAAAAACATTGTGAGTAACGTGTAATCCTAGAGATGTCACCAAACAGGTATGGTATGCATATGAAAAGAAAGTCTCGTTGCTTTCTAAAAAATATTTAAATGAAATTTAAGTGAAACTAACGATTTAAAAAAATATGTGTGTAATTCATGTGTGTATAGGTGTAATTTAAAACAATACTTGGTTTTTTTTCAGGTATCTTTTAAATATTCCAGGACCAATTGACATTCCATCTCGTTTATGTAAAGGGAATTTTGAGGATGATATGTTTAACCACCAAGTTCCTTATTTGTGGCTGATTTACTGGTGAGACATCCACTGTGGAGAGATATTGCATACTACGCCTGCATTTGCTGTTTATTATTGAATTACACTGTGTTTGTTATAATTAACTTGATGTTAAAGTCATTGAAGCACAATTGAAGAGATGCTAAGGTTTACTATATACTAGAGAAGAAAGTTCAAAAGAAGGATTCTATTGTAATAACATCTGTAATGTTTAAAATCCTTTGTCATTCCTTCACCTGATAGAATTGAATGATAGACATGTTTTCCTTCATTTTTTAAACAGCCTTTGTCATCCTCTTCAATCAAGTATTAAAGAGACAGTGGAGGCATATGAGGCAGCATTAGGGGTGGCCATGAGGTGTGATATAGTACAGAAGATATGGATGGAGTAAGTTTAATTTTTCTTGATAAGAATGGGATTTGGGGATAAAGGGGTATGGTTGGGAAAGGTGTGACCAGCTTTCTTGGTGAGAGAACTACTGGCTTAGTTATTCTAAATTACAATATTTTTCTTTTGGCAGTTATCTTGTCTTTGCGAATAATAGAGCTGCTGGATCCAGAAACAAAGTTCAAGAATTCAAATTTTTTACTGATTTAGTGAATAGATGTTTGGTTACAGTCCCTGCCCGATACCCCATTCCTTTTAGCAGTGCTGATTACTGGTCCAACTATGAATTTCATAATAGGGTAAGAACTCAAAACTTTTTTCTTTAGATGTTTGTATAAAACAAAGACTTTAAAAATGATAGCAAAACTCCTGTTTTATATCAAGAGAGCTTTTTCTAGGACTACTTTCTTAACATTCACTATTATTCTTGACCATGTTTCTTATCTATTTAGAGTCTAGCAATAGAACCCTTTGAGGCTCAGTTAAAATGTGCATTAATTATTATGTTATAGTCATGAAAATTTAACATTGGAAGCAAAATAGGGATATTAAGGTGTAATACATATTAATGAAAAAACACATCAAATCAAAGATTCTATTGTAATACCTGTAATGTTTTGCTTGAGTAGCTGAAAATTCTACTGAATGAAAAATTTAGTATCTTCAAAATAAGTAGGAATGGGCTTATACGTTGTAGCTGCTCTTTTTGTAAATATTTTGTCAAGCAAATATAGCTATACATAAGGCATAAGAAAGTTTAAGATTAGATGCTGCTTATAATTCTAAAAGTAGAATCTAAAGATACAGTTTTGTGATTACCTTTTTAAAAAATTTTTTTCAGGCACTACTTTTATTCAGCGCATTATAGGCTAAAAAGCTCCTTGCTAAAGCTTATTGTAGACTAAAACATATATATGTTTTATTTATTTATTTTTGGTGGGGTGGTTTTGTTGCTCATCAGGATAACCAATTATTATGCTTGTACTTCTATGCCATTCTTTATCCCAGGATCTCAAACCACTTTATGGACATTAAGTCATTTACACACGGGCATTCCATGAGCAAGATGTGGCAGGTATTATTAGCCCTATGACTTGCCGAGCTATACAGCAAGTAAAGGTAGACTCAGGAATGAAAACCCAGACTCCTGGCTTCTTGTCAGTGTTCTGCCCATGGTTCTCATCACTAGACCATATTTCCTAATTCGTATTTGGAAAGTCACTAATAAAATTAATGGTAGGAACTGTAACTCACAACATCATACATTACTATAATTGATACATTCATATCTTAAAGACCATTTTGGTTTTCGTGTTAAAACACATAGGTAATTGGATTTCACATTTTGGTTGCATTCATTTTTCGCCCCCCTCAACCTTTGCAGGTTATTTTCTTTTATTTGAGCTGTGTTCCAAAGACCCAGCATTCCAAAACCTTGGAACGGTTTTGTTCAATTATGCCAGCTAATTCTGGACTTGCATTGAGGTAAGAAAAAGTAACATTATTTTGGTTCTCTGCCTAATGGAATAGGCTCTTCATATAAAATTATTCTTGAAAACTTGATAAAAATAGTCTGTTGTTCTATTATGTCCTCATGAATATATACTACTTAATTTCAGAGTTGTTAAGCCAATATTTAGCTGTTCGTTCAAAAGTCAGTGTAAAAATTCTGGTCGCTTCAGAAAACTTCAAGTTACAAGGGGGCAAATAATTCCATTCAAGTAAAGTTCATCTGTGTTCCCTAAACACACACCATCTGTCCTTAGCATGTGCATTATAAGCGGTAAGCTTGTTTTCCATGGCAAGGAAATATTATTTAAGAGGCTCTCATATTTTCACCTAGGTCAGTTGCTCTCAAATATTGGCAAACATTAGAATCTCCTGGGATGCTCATTTAAAATGCAGATTCCTGACCTTGAGCCCTCACACCACATTTTTGAAGCACTGATTAGGGATTTCATATATTCAATCAGAACGAGATTTCTCAGCCTTTCTTTGTACTTTCTCTGCTCTGATACAGCAAACCCACTTTCATCCACAAGAATTATGCTTTTTAATTCAAAAGGGTACCCTGCACGCTAATGCATTGGCCTCCACTTGTACAGTCATTCCCACTGCATCAGTTGTATCTTTTCGTTTTATGGATCATAAGATACCCAAAATATTTATAAAATGTTCCCTTATGTTTTAAAGGATTTACATTTCATTTAGCATGTATGTGGGGAAAATCATATAAAAGTTTAAAAACTACAGTTGAGACAAACATAATGGTAGTATTTTACAATTTTCTTAGCAAGCCTGCCAATCTGTAGAAGCTCATTACAGAAATGTTAATTATGAAACACCTTTGATAAAATGTGAAATAGAAAATGTGGTCATATTTTGACATAATTTTCTATTGTGATAGGCAGTTTAGAATGTAGGTAGTTTACTTGTTTATTTTGTTGGTAAATCCCTACCTCTGTGTTTTGACACTTATTTCCTCTGGTCGTCCCTGTTCTTTTTTTCCAGGAGAATAGAGAACTTTAATGGTTACTATACATGCATTTTAGTTCAAGAAATATTCAAGATTGATCATACTCTAAGAAAGAAAAATACCAGGAAATTGCATTAGTATCAAGCCATTAGTTTAAAAAAAAAATTGGGATGGGAAATAGGGACTCTTATTTGGAGGGAATGCTTTTATGTCCTATAGAAATACATGCACCTTAGTGTAGTTTGGTAAGATGAGCATAGATCTTGACTTGACCTCTTCATAGTTTGCACATTCCTGTCCCAGGGTAATTTTTGTAAGAGACATTCTGAAATATTTGCTGGGTAGCCTTTATGGAATTTAACTAATCAAGATTTATACTTAATCATTGTACTCATAGAGCACATTTGGGGTTCCCTACACTGCAATGCTTTGTTCATTTTCCTGAATGTACTTTACAGGTTACTTCAACATGAATGGGAAGAAAGCAATGTTCAGATTCTGAAACTTCAAGCCAAGATGTTTACATATAATATCCCAACATGCCTGGCCACCTGGAAAATGTAATGCAACAATCATGTACATGTTTTTATAGCTATTGCTTTTATTTATAAGGTTTGCTCCAGACAGGTAAAATCTGAAATGACATCTATATATATGTATTTTTTTTTTCTTTTTTTCATGGACAGATTGCTATTCTTAATTTAGATTTGTTTTTAGCATTTACTGAGGTTTAATGAGAGTGAGTACTCATTAAGAATTGCCTCTAAAAGCAAAAAGCGTAGACTTTTAATTTTCTTTGAAGGAGAACATTTAAGTAACAGTACTGTTATCAAACAAATCTGCTACAGTCATTTTAAGACCGCCTCTTTTGAAATGTGGTGTGTCTACCCTGTTATAGTCTGATTTCTTCTTTCTTTTAAATGTGTTAGTGCTAGGTATTTTTGACTAGTAATTATGAGGTGTTTTGTTTTTGTTTTTGTTTTTTTTTCCTCCCGTGAACGTTATTTATGTTCAAAACACTGGTCTGCTTTTTTCTTGTAAAGTTGATAAAAATTGTTGAATTTTTCTTTTCACTATAGGTTTTCCTCCTTGGAAGTTTAGCCTGTTAACTTTCAGGAAGTTTTGTACTCAGATTCCCACAGTCAGTATTCTGCCAGTGGTGGTGTTTCATTTTGTTCAAAGATATATAAATTTTTCTTTTCCTTTTTCTGTATTCCTTTTTTTTTTTTTTTTTCCTTAGAGCCATTGCTGCTGAGATTGTTCTAAAGGGACAAAGAGAGGTAAGCCATGGTTGAATATCAGATGGGTCACTTTTAAAAAGTTTTTCTGTCCCTTTTGTTGACTTCTCAATTTAAAAGAATTAAAGCACAGAAGTTAACATTTCATGCACACTAGGAACCAGGTGGGGAAACAAAAGTAGTTAACATTTTAAGAGCACCAAATATTTGGAAACTCCAAAACTCAGCATAACCATTTTGTCTCAGACGTTACTGTGAATTACCATTCTTTAAACAGATAGAATTATAAAGGTGTTTTTCATTATGTTTTCTGATGGAATTGTGTGTATATCTATCTTACAGGTCCACCGTTTATATCAGAGAGCCTTACAGAAGTTACCTCTTTGTGCATCACTGTGGAAAGATGTAATGCTTTTTATCTTTTATTTTATCTTGATGTTTTCCTGTAAATTTTCTGCATGTGCCATATCCATTGATGTGGTAATGCTCAAACTCTAGCTAAGTCTTACTTCTATGCTTCCCTGTCTTTTACAGCAACTCTTGTTTGAAGCATCAGAAGGAGGTAAAACTGATAACCTGAGAAAACTAGTTTCCAAGTGCCAAGAGATTGGAGTCAGCCTAAATGAGCTCTTAAATTTAAACAGTAACAAAACAGAAAGCAAGAATCACTGAACACTGGGTGCAGTCAGTTCTAAGTCTTTATAATAATTGCCAAAATTATTTGAATGATTCATCAAGATTAGGCTGATCCCTGGCTAAGGTCTGTGTAAGGCAGACAAGCATTATTGATCATATCAAGTTCCCTACAATACCCTGTCCTCAAAACCGGAAGCAATGAACATGATCCTCTTCGGTTGGATAAATGAACTTCCTGTTTGGCCTGCTTCTAGGCCCTGCCAGATTCTCATAACATCATATACGTAAGTATAGTTCCTCAAAGTGACTGACATTTATTTTAATTTTGCCTTGTTTTTGTTTTTTATTTTCTCCCCCATTCCTTTATTTTGTGTTATTCCTGATTCACTTGACACTCTCTGATGCCTGAGAGATTCCTGTTTGGGATTTAATATCCAGGGCTGTGTTTACAGTAAAAAAGCAGGCAGTCCCTTTTAGTTTTTCCTTTTTAAATTTTTTTGAGATTCTTCATTTCAGGATTTAAAACTATAGCAGTCCATCTTAAGGAAAGTGTAACTGCCATGGCCACAAGTCTGCTAGTTGCACTTGAATGCTCTATCAGGGTTGTTTATTGCCCTTTCTACGTTCTGGACTCCTTGCCGAGACTGTTTAACTTGAAGATTAAAGAAACTATTGCAAATGCCAGTGCATCAGAACCTAAGAGTGGTCAAATATTATGTGCAATTTTTTTGTAAAGAAATTTTAATTTATAATAAAGTTTAACAGTTTAAAGAACAGTTAATATTTGAACTGCTTTGTATTGAAATACTACTTTGTAGTATTAAAATTGTTTATATACTTTTTTAATATAAGTTAACTTTCTAAAAACTCTTGCTGTCTTTATTCACTTTTCACACTGGTGGGAAAGGGTCGAAGTCGGAGATAAAGATATTTACCATAACTTATAGCAATACTTTTTTATCTTGAAACTGCTTTCTCATTAAAAAAAAAAATTTAATGACTTCTTAATTCATGAGAAGATGGATACTGTTGTGAGGACAGTGAACAGAGAGGTTTGCACTACCATTAAATTCCTTGTTCTCAAATTCACAGTGTTTAGAAAGTGCCTCCCAACTATAGTTTGAATGATTTGCCTAGTGACATGCCATCTTATGTTGAATATTAGTGTAATTGAATGCAAAGGAGACCTTGCTTTTTATTTTGTTTTCAGTTTATATTTGGTTGTTTTAACCTTGGCAAGAAAAATGTTAATGACACACACACACCACCACAAGTCTGGTCTTAACAACTTGCACTTGAACTGTTAGAGGCAGAGCAGCAACCCCATGAAATACCAGGCAAACTTGTACATGTTTACATTTGTATAATGCTCACTAAAAATAGAACCATATTTTACCAGACAGGGCGATTTGGCTAGTAAGTGCTGTTTGATGGGGTCAAGAATGGAATCCATTTGTCTAGTGTCTTTCATTTAATCAAAAAGAAAGCTGGAGGCTTACTGGTTTTTCCCTAAAACCAAAAAAATGTGGGTGGAAGATAGTAATCCTGGAGGAATAGATATCTATCTACTCACTGTATGCATTTAACTTTATATAACTTTGAAAGCTTTTCCTGCTCTGATTTTTTGAAAACAGTTGTTAGGTGCTTAGTAAAATATTTCCAGTGTGTGCCTCCATAGTGTAACAGTTTTTAATGTTAACTGAAATGTCTCAGTAGTTTTTAGGAGACAGTGCTAAGCTTGAACTTTTGTTGCATTAACAGTTCCATCAGCAGTAACTGTTTTATCTGTCTCTTTTTTTTTTTAATGAGTTCTTTGCATTGGTGTATGTAGAATTCCACTCAGTGCATGCAGTCACAGGGTCCATCCATGGAGGCTGTACACTGACAACTCTAGGGATGGCCATTCACATGTTCTGCACAGTCATGTAGGAATAGGCCCTGTTTCCTCTTTGATCCATTGTCATTGCTATTTAAAGGTATCTTACACAAATGATATTGCCTTAAAGATAAATTCTCATATCATCTTTTCTTCCTGTCAGTTTATAAACTCACTTTAACCTTCACATTAAAAAAAAAATCACACACACTGCTTAAGGGTGAGGTATATGTTCCTGTCATCCTTCCGTTATCAGTTTTACTTTTTTTTTTTTTAATGAAGTGCTTTCAGTACATGATAATTAAAGTATTAAGCAAATTTGGGTTAAAGTTTTTATGGTTATTGCAGAAACATGAGTATAAAAATATTTAACATACTGTGTGACTAAAGTCTTTCTTTTGGACAGAGAAAAGACTAGTCATTGAGAACTGCAGTCCCTTGTATCTGCCACCCCTGCTGGGGGACAAAACATGCTAACAAAAGAGGCCTTTTTAGGCTGTGGGATTTTATCTCTGATAAAGGAAATGGAGTGGTAGATTGTGATGTATTTTTATGTGTTTTTGTTCATTTTAGAGAACAGCCTAATATTTCTATTTGCCTTTTAACGGAAAGTGGACCTTGTAACGTTGTTTTTCACTCGATTATCTAAGGCGGTTTGCTTTCAATTAAAGGGTGTATAAACCTACATCATAAAGTAAGCAAGAATCTCCAGGTGCAACATCTAAGAGCTAAAGGCACTAAGCAGACAAGAAAAAAGTGATTAAGACTGACAACAAATGTAGAGGGACTTTATTGAAGATTGTAGTTCAAATATTTATTTTTCAAGGTTGTTGAAAAGGTAGGAACATGTGGCTAGAATACAAAGCAGGGCCAATATTCTTGGTTAAAGCTGTCATGTGTTCACAGATAAGTCCTAATTTCCTCAAGTCTGCTTTCATGTCTGTATGTTAACATTAATGTGAGGGAAGAATGGGGAAATACAATTTTAGTGACCTTTCAGGTTTCAGGATTATGCCTGCAGGTGTGTCATTGCCCTTCAGTGCATATTAACAGTAATTATACAGAACATTTTGAACAAGAGCTGGTCAAGAAAAGGCAAGCTTCTGATGAACATTTCTGATATTGTTTCTTTTTTGTTTAAAATTAGGACTATATTTTTCCAAGCTGTGATGCTTCTTAATGTAGGTGGTAGAGTCAAACTGAAAAAGAGCTTTTTCTTTCTTTCGTCTTTTTTGGGGGTAGAGGAGTTTATTCCATATGCCACCAGAATGCCCCCTTTCTACAGGTGTTCCTCAGTTGCATGTTTCACTATTGGGGAGAGGGGCAGTGAACAGCTACCTCAGGACATGCTGTTCCATCCTGTCCTCATTCCCGTCTTCCACCATCATTCACATAACCTTCCTCACTACTTTTTCAGTACTACCTGATTTAGATTATGATAAATGTGAAAAGGTTTTTCAATTTTTTCTGACATCTTTGAGGTAGATAATGGAAACTTGCCTCTGTCTTCCACAAATGGTAAGATGGATATAGAGATTGTCTCCACTTCTCATTTGGTGACCTTCAAAAGAGGGACCCCACAACATGTTTTTCAGAAGCCTCATGAAGAGAATCAGGCATTTTTTCATTTCAGAATCCATTTGAGCTCTGTGCTAGGCATTCTCAATACAGAGAAGAGTAAAGGGATCCCCTTTTACGTTCTAACAGAAGAGGAACGTATGCCAAGGAAGCATCTCCAAAGGGTATCTATCCTAACTTGAGTTAGAAGTTGGGAAAGGCTTCCTGAATGGAAGTTAATCACTGAGCTAAGGGAAAAAATGGAGGAAAAGTTGAGACCAATAATAATTTCAAAAATCGTGTCACTTCTATCTGCACATTTGGAAACCTGTGCATTTTTTAAAAACTTTCTGAAAAGCTTTAACTTTCCAAATTCATTCACAACTGAAAATTCATTAAACATAGTAACAGATGTGTAAAACTCCATAGCAGCCTAACTGTTCAGAAGAGAGTGCCTTTGGGGCACCCTGTGCTTCAAAACCCACATGAGCATGAGTGACTAGGAGTAATCCTATTAGAAGACCCAGTTTAAACAGCATTGATTTCCAAAGTCTGATTGTAATTGCAGCTGCTGCTACTAGCTTTTACTTTTTTCCCTCTCTCTAACTTCTTGGGTAATGCATGAATAAAATGTCACTTGCAACATTTATTATCTACAACTTGCAGAGCACTATTTCAATTCCAGTCTACATGGTTTTCCATTACTTTTTTTTAAACCTTTCCTATGGTGTTGAGCCATTACGTTTTAAGAGTCATGGTTATTTTTCTGTTTATATAGAACTACCCAAAGTGGGCCGGGGGTGGTGGCTTACTTCTGTAATCCCAGCACTTTGGGAGACCGAGGCGGGCAGATCACGAGGTTGATGGATCACGGGGTCAGGAGATAGAGACCATAGAGACCATCCTGGCTAACATGGTGAAACCCCGTCTCTACTAAAAATGTAAATTAGCTGGGCGTGGTGGCGGGCACCTGTAGTCTCAGCTACTCAGTAGGCTGAGGCGGGAGAATGGTGTGAACCTGGGAGGGGGAGCTTGCAGTGAGCTGAGATTGCGCCTCTGTACTCCAGCCTGGGCGACAGAGCAAGACTCCATCTCAAAAAAAAAAAAAAGTGGCCCAAAATGTCTTCACTGCTTTAAACTGGTTTTTCCATATGATCCAATACCAGAAGTGTTTTCAACCAATGTAAAGCTAATTAAAACCAGGAATAAAATGATTCCGTTGAGGAACAACAATAACCAAAAAAAAAGTTTAAACTTAGAGGAATGTGTGCTTCCTAGTTTGATGGAAGGCAGAAGTTCCAGAGTATCTGAAGCCATTACTACTCTTAAGTGGTGGGTGCTGTGATTGATCTGAATTTTCCCTCCAGTGTAAGAACAAAACAATACAAAACAGTGAATAGAACATTAAGAGTATGTGAGTTAATTGTATTTCAATTACTATAGAGTAACATGAATATTTTACTTTTACGCAAGACTATATAATAAATTTTCAAACTATAAACAAATACAACTTTTCAAGGGCTGTCTTCTATGAATTAAGTAAAATTTTAAATTTAAACATGAAAACTATTTGCATAGCCTTTCTTAAAAAGTATATACATTTGCCTTTTGGGAATCTGAAAATCTCAAGACTGATTATCAAGTCCGTTGAAATCAAAGGTAGGTTTACAGTATTGTTTGGTCAATCAAGCAGCTTGATTGCAAAAGTTCTTACCTAGCGAAAGTAAGCCATATGAAAGAGAATGATAGCCAACAGTCTAAAGGAGCTGAATCAATTAGGAAGAATGACAGACTGGTGAGCTGTTTGCATTAGTGGACATAATCAGGGCATATGCTGCCAAGGCCAAAACAAACACTCAACTTGGCACATCATACAGTGAAATTCATTTATGAGATTGCCAGGAGATAGATTTGACATTTCATACTGTTTGAAATGGAGCTACAAAGAAATAGTTTCAGGAAATGGAGAAGTGTGAACCAATGTGAGTGATGAAAAAGTGTGTATCTAAAAGATCTGGGTATTAGATTCAGCTCTACCATAAACTAGCTATGTAATTGTGACAGGCCATTTCACTGCCCCCTGTCTCTTTTTCTGCATTAAAATGGGGAATGATGTGTACTTACCTCAGGGGTGTTGAGATCAAATAATAGGAATTACCCTTAAAAAAAAAATGAGAAGTATTTTGAGTTTAGAATCGTTCCAAAATTTTGAAAGCAGAGATGCTACAAAATAATAGTTTGCTTCCTCTGGACCTAATTTCTTTTCTTCTTTTTTTTTTAATTTTTTTTTTGAGACAGGGTCTCTTACCCAGGTTGGAGTGCAATGGTGCAGTCATGGCTCACTGCAGCCCCAACCTCCTGGGCTCAAGTGATCCTCCCACCTCAGCCTCATGAGTAGCTGGGATCACAGGCACACACTACCATGCTTGGCTTT